TGACTCACGTGCCTCTATCACCAACATGAGAGGGGCTGGGGCTATGGGTGCCAACCCCTGAGCTCACATTCGCCAGGCCAGATCAGCCTCTGGAATTAATGTCAGTGGGAAAGATCTCCAGGTGCTTCTCTCCCACCCCTGCGCTTGGTGCTGAGCGGGACCACGTGCCTGTGCTGGTTCTGCCTGATTCGAGCCCTTCCCACCCACCAGGGTCCCACCCACAGCCGGGGCCCGGGCCCCGGCTGGCTGCAGGCTGCACCCATGACTCAGTGTGCGTCCCCAGGAATGCCAGAGCCCTGCATTTGAGGGCTTAGTCATGGCAGCACCTTGGGGAAAATGGCCTTTGAAACACAGCTGGCCTTCCAATAAGGTCATTCTGCTCACTGGCGTTTGGTTAGGACTGGATGAGGAAGAAGCCCTCATGGCCATCACTGAACCACGTGCCGGTCACTGAAGGACGAAGTTCCGAGGGCCAAGGACCATCTGCCACAGTGCTGAGGCAGTCGTGGTCATAGCTGTCTGCAGGGCAGAGGGGCGGAGGGGGCAGGCCTGGCCTCTCCAAGCTGGCTCTGCAGTGCCCTTCGCGCTCAGGCCGGGCCAATGTCTCGTGTTTCATCTTTAAAAAGATGCAGCAAGATTAGGTGCCTAGATCTCATTAGTGGTGTTAATCCCAGGAGGATTTAAATACCTAGAACCTCATTAAAATTGCCCTCATATTAAAAAAAAAAATTGTCACGCCTGACTGGGGGTTGGGGGAGGCAGACCCCAAGGCTGTTTGCTGACCGACAGCAGGCTGACCTCAGAAGGGCCCAGTGGCTGCCCAAGTCTGCTCCTGGAGCCAGCACCGGTCCTTATGTTCACCTTGCCCCAGAGATGGCTGCCTTTTCCGAAGCACCCACAGCTTATCTGGCATCAGGCAGGGCCAGCCCCTTATCCAGATGGGATGTGTTTGCATTCAAGGAAACCAAGGCTCCCACATTGCTCCACTCAGCGATGTGGCAGCTCGGTCCTCACCTCCCAGACACCCCAACATCTGCTCCAACTCCACTCATCAGCCCTGAGTCCAGATGGGCCCATGGACGGAAGGCGAGGCTGTGACCACTCTCACCTCCTGCAGCGCCGCGGTGTGCGTCTGAAGGGACTTGGACTCTGGGGCTAGAGGCAGTCCAGAGCCCTGCACACCCACTCACTGTGTGAGGTCTGGGCAAGTCACGTCATCCCCTTAGATCCGCTTCCTCCCCGCCGGAGTGCCTAGTGAGGGCCTGTAGGTCCCCAGTGCACGCTGAGCACTGGGCCCACACAGCAGAGGACCAGACCAAGAGCGTCTGCTGTATGGAGTCGCCGCCAAGCAGACACTCACTCAGTGTTAGAACAAAGCCCAGTGGGCAGGACCCTGAGAAAATGGGAGCGGAGTGAAGGTAGTAGAAACAGCTTAAGAGAAGTCCCCGGGAGCTTTTCTTCAGCAGCCCCCAAAAGTCCCCAGCATGAGCCCCGGTCCACCCTGGGGTCAGCTGGCTTCTCCAGCACGGGTCTGAGGGGTGTGCTTTTTTTTTTTTTTTTTTTTAATTATTCTTTCCTAACTGGCTGGGTCTGTGCTGAAAATGTCATGTGTAGAGATGGTAAAAAACATTCAAATGCGGAAAAGTCTACGTCCAACGAGTAAAGTTCCATCTCCCCCGACCCTGAGCCCCTCCCCAAACATCGACATCCACTAGCGTGGCGGCGAGTTTTCCATCAGGCGTGTGTGACACACACTCCCTCCAAGGCCAGGTGCTCAGGAGAGGCCCCCACCCGGGCTCTGCCCCTCAGGGGATGGAGCTGGTCACTCCACACCACTGCACGACAGCAGGTGGAACTCTGCCCGCTCTTTGTCAGCACTGGTTTTGTCTTCTTGTCCTTGCACTCGGCAAGTTTATTAAGGAAAAAAGAAAAAGGAGAGAGAGAGAGGCCGCATGGACACAGGCACAGGGAGCGCATGGAGCGTCTGGAGCCTGGTGTGACGCCCCCTCTCCTTGGGCATGTGGATGGCTGGTCCTCTGCTCTGCTCTGCACTGGCTAGGCCGGGGGCACCCTTCACTTGCATGCGTGTCTGCACACATCGGTGGTGGGAAGTCCCCAAAGTGGAATTTCTGAACCAAAGGGATGTGTTTTTCAAAAACATTGATAGGTGTGAGCATGTGGCCTCTGAAGGCTGCCCCGCAGGGCATTGGGGTGGGCAGGCTCAGGGTCCTGCCCACTGTGGACTCTAACATGGGCGGTGAAGACAGTTTCTTGGTGCCTGTAAGTTGCATGTTTGTGACTGTGAGTGACGTGAAGCATCTTTTCAAGAAGGAAACAGAAAATGGGTGCCAGCCACCCCTCCTGTCAGTGAGGACACTGGTCTCCCCTGGACATTGGTCTCAGGGGGGCCCTGGACCAGCAGGAACAGCACCTCATGGAATCTGTTAGAGAGGCACATTCTGGCTCCCCACCTCTCCTCCCAAATCAAGAAATTCCAGAGGTGGGGTGGGACTCCAGACCCCACATTCTGAACACACCCCCAGCAGTGCTGGTGCTGCTGGGCCAAGATCACGTCTGAGGACCTCGGACAGCAAGCTGGTGCAGCCAAGCTCGGCCTCACGGGAGCGCCCAGCAGGGGTCGCTGTGTGCAGGCTCTGAGGGCTGCTGGGTTCTGTGTTTGATGGATATGGCGGAAGCACTGCCTGCATGGGGAGGAAACCTGGCTTTGAGGACATCTTCAGGAAGTGGCTGTCTTCAGAAGCTTCCAGAAGTGAGCACAGCGCCCCCACGTGTGGAGGTTGCTTACTGCACTGGACAGGGAAGGAATCTTGAAAGGGGGGGGCGGGGGGTGGTGGCCTGGATGAGGCTTTCTTAACCTGGTGGATGGAAGGCCCTGTTCCTCACTGGGGGTGCCAGCCCCGGCAAGCACACTGCAGTCATGCGCACGCCTGTGAGAGAGCACCCGGCCGCTCCCACCCCAGGCCCCAGCTTAGTGAGGCTGGGGCAGGCCCAGACACCAGGTGACTCTAAATTGTACTCAGATTGATGAACGCTGCTGCGTTAGAGAAAAATCTAGAAATCTAGATTGGCCACTTCAAGTGCTGAGTATACATTCAGCTGTGTCAAGTGCACCCCCATTGTTGAGCTACCCACCTCAGGGCTTTTTTCTTACAAAACTAGAACTCGGAGGAATGGTGGGAGCATCTGAGACCCCTGAGGGTGGGCCCTGCAGTCTGCCCCCAGGGCCCCCTCTCTCCTCTGGTCTGTGGGAGGTGAACAGACAGCTCAGGATTTCTAAATGTTTCCTTTGTGGAGTGGCTGTGCAGCTGTGAGGGCAGCTGAGGGTGTGTGAAGCCCTCCTTCCTCCAGCACAGCCCCCCTTCTAGACCCAGTGCTCCCCGGAGCTGCCCTGTCCTTCTGTTGCTACCTCTGTGAAAAGACACGCTTGGATGAGGTGCCGGGTGAGGACAACAATCTGCCTTCAAATTCCAATGGGAGGAGCCCAAGGGGGACCAGCCTACCTCCTCTGGAGCCCCCAGCCCCACCCTCTCTGCCCTGGTGGGAGGCCTGCATCCTGGCCCACTCAGGAGGGAGAAAAGTGGGGATCACAGCTCGCTTCCTTCTCAGGGTTTGCCCAGACTCCCCTCCCGAACCCCAATCTCCCCCTTGGTCTCAGCATCCTTTGCCCGGATGTCCATCCCTGTCACAGTGAGGGATGTTTTCAGGAAGAGGCAGGGGTGTCAGGATTGTTTCACATCTTGAGCTGGGTGACGGCACAAGGGTGGACACGCATGTAAATTCATCGCCTGGGCGCTCTCTGAAAAGAGGGTACCTTGGTTTGCAGGACACGTTGTCGAAACAAGATACTGAACAGTATGTCTGCCACCACTGGTCTCACAAGAGAATACAGGAAGTTACCGTTTACCACGTCATTACCTTGTGTGGATTTGGTGCCACATGTGTGAATTGCCTGTCAAAAAAAAAAGTTTAATGCAGATTCCTGGGCCTGGTCCCGATCTTCAGCTTCTGGGGGGGTGGGGCGCCCAGGAGGCCCTTGTATTCCATTCTAGATCCTTCCTCTCCTCGTGCTGGTCTGTCCATGGTGAGCCTCTTGCCCACGTCCCTCACTGTCTCCACTAAATCCAATGAGGCTCCCCCAGGGCCTAGGGTTGATGCTTGGGAGGATGCGGGGTTTCACCCTCGGGGCTGCTAGCCCTCTCCGTTAGCAGAGCTGCAGAGACATGACTTCACCATCTTCCCCAGGAGACTCAACTGAGATCACCCCCCCAGGGAAGCGGGGCCCAAACACCCCCTCCCTTTCGAGGTCTCCTCTGTGTGTTCCTGAATGGGCCTGCCTCCCTCAGCGCCCTGTTCTTACATCATCGAGGATATTTATCCTATCACTTTAACCCCACAGAGGGTCCAGGCTGTCCCCGTGGTCTGACGTGTGTCTTTCCTTCCCTCCCCCATGCTGACAAGAGCCTGTAAATAGCAACACTCCATCCTGTCTTAACACCAGGAGCCATTGTACACGTTGCAGCCATTATCCAGGTTGCAGCCTGAGAAGCGAACCCCAAGGGGGCACCTGCCTTGGTTCACAGCTGTGAGCACATCTGCGCTCCCACACCCCCTGAACGGCTGTTCTCATGTCCAAGAGGGTTAGGGCTGCCCACAACCACCTAAAAAGTAGGCACCTCAGGTGCTCCATCTGATACCGAGGGGCACTTCTTTCCAGGTAGCCACAGAGAAGTGTCTGTCTGTCTCACATACACCTCTCTCTCTCTCTCTCTCTCTCTCTCTCTCTCCATCCACTTAGTAACCCTCCATCTCGAATGTTCTCCAATCCTGTAGCACTAAAGATGATCAAGCATACGTCCTACCTCGAATATACGCAAACCTGTGGATTTTTTAGCGCATGCATTTTTGCTTTTAATAAATGGATTTTATGAAACATCAAAATAAAAAAATAAATGACTGAGCAACCCTGCCTCTGCCCACAGGCTGCACCTGGGAATTTGGAGCCATGGTCAACTACATCAAGAGGACGTACCCCCTGACCCAGCTCGTGGTCGTGGGCTTCAGCCTTGGGGGTAACATCGTGTGTAAATACTTGGGGGAGACTCAGGCCAACCAAGAGAAGGTCCTGTGCTGTGTCAGCGTGTGCCAGGGGTACAGCGCCCTGAGGTGAGTGACCCCGCCCCCCCTTCCTCCCCCCTACACCCTACCACCTGGTCCCCCGACTGCGCTCATGCGAGGCCCCTGCTGGTCCAGGCAGGCCAGGGCATGCAGAGGCTGGCCAAGCAGACGCTTCTCGGCCTTGGCTTCACCTGTTTGGCTTCTCAGCCTCCTCAGTCTGGGACATGCATCTGCATTTGGGGTTCAGCCCCATACCAAATAAGCCCAAAGCCCCCCGCACGAGCTGTCTCTTTGAGGTGGTCTCCCTGGAGTTTGCAGAACCTTGGGGTCCTGAAAGAGCACAGGGAGCTGCCAAACCAGGACCCGAGAACTGGGCCTGGGACCCCAGTGAGCTCCTCCCTACGGGAGGGCTGCCTCTGTGGGCCGGGAGGCCCCGTGTCCTCACCTGCCAGCGGCCATCCATGTGGGCCTCGAGGAAAGGCGGTCTCTCCTGGGTCTCCTACCTGCAGCCCCCAGCATGAGTCAGCCAGGCCAGCATGTTCGCCATGGTTAGCCGGGGCCCTCAGTGGTCTCCAGCTCTCGAGTGGCAGGACTCGGTTACAGCCCTCATCCTCACCTGGGCGTCGTCTTCTGCTCCCGTTACCTTGGTTTGCCTGGAATTATTCAACTCCCGGTTCACAGCCATCATGAAACCATACTCAGCCAGCTCCTACCCTGCCCCGTCCTAGACAGTAGGCGGGCAGGGAGGAGCCCGGCCGGGGCACCTCCTGTTCTTAGCAGCCTGTCAGCTGTCCCATGAACACTGCTCGAGTCCCTCCCTGCACCAGGCACTGTGAAATGCTGTGAGCACCCTGGAGTGGACAAGCAGCAGGTCGTGGAACAAGTTGGGGTTTTTTGCAATACCCCAAATCTTAAATGACAGCAGCTTCATTTCACTCCACTGCCATAGCACCCTCTGCTGTTGGCAAGAACTCATGATTGGCGCAGTTGGCAAACTAGGGTGTCAGAACTAAGCAAAAAGAAGATTCCAGGAGCTCGAATCTGGGAGGTGCAGTGACAGTCTGCATAGCCCCCTGGAGGCCCCAGACACCTCCCACCTCTAACGACCGTGACAACATGGGCTCACTGAGACCCTGTGGGCCCCACTCCTGGAAGGATGCAGTCAGGGAGGTTCCTTTGCACGTGGGCACAGAGCTTCCCGGGGGTCGGGACCCCTCACATTTTAACAAGACCACTCACTGGAGAGCAGTTTACTCTAAACTAGTGTCACCTTTCTCTTTCCACCAGCTTGAGGGCGATGGGTCTTTTCAGCACAGGGACACTGGCAGCCCCATCTGGAGCATGAGGGGCCTGGCTGCCCTGCAGGGCTACACAGGACCCTGCCGGTAAATCCCTCCTAGATGAGTCTAGAGACCCACCTGTCTGACCAGCCCCTCCCCCTAGACTCCCAGCCCTGGGGACTCCCCTCCAGCCAGAGCCAGCTGGCTCTGACACCGGTGGCCAGTGATGCAGGTGCCCGCTGGCCATTAGTGAAGCTAGTTGCTGCTGAACCAGCTCCCAGGTCACTGTGTGCTGAGCCGCTGCCGGGGGCTACCCTTGCCCCCAAGTGACCCCACAGCCAGCAGACCTGTTCCCTTCACATGGGCAGCTGCCCTGGCAACGTGTGTGGTCAGACCCGGCCTCCCTCCACCCCCATCCTCCAGTCACCTTGATGGAGGAGGCCCTTGAGTAGCCTTTCATGCAATGACTCATGACCAGACAGGGCGAACAAGGGAGGGGTGGGTGTGCCAGGCAATCCCCCCCAGGTTCATTCACTCGCTGGTCGTTGCTTCTGTCAGCTACACATCCTGCCAGGGATGAGGATGCTCCCGCAAGCGGGCAGACGGTCCCATGACCTCGCCCAGTCAAAAGGCAAGGGCTGCTTTGTGGGGTCAGGAAAATCGGGCCTTCGTTCCTGAGGAAACCCTAAAATGCAGGTGGCCAGGTGTGGGAGACAGGCCGTGCCCCAGGACCTCGCAGACCCCCATGGCAGCTGAGCCACTGACAGAGCAACAAACCAGCATGCCGCTCCCAGAGGACCAGCCCTCACCTGGGGGTGGGGGGTGTGCGTCGCACGCCTCAGCCTCTTGGCCCGCATTTCTCTTCTAGCATGAAAGAACCAGGTCCATGTTCCGTGCCAAGCGGTGTAGATTTCCTCTCTTTTTACTTTCAATGGGCCAACTCCGGACTCGGAAGGCATTTAAGACAAGAGAGCCTCACGGTTCCTAACTCCCTCCCATGGCGGCGCCTTCGGCAGGCTGGGCCTGCAGCTGTGTTGGGGACTGGCCGGGGACTGGCCAGTCCACCCGCGTCGGCCTCCAGCTAGGGCAAAAGGCTGCTACGTTTAGACAAAACTGTGGGCAGGATACCGGCCTTGGAAACAGCCTGGCTTTCCCACAGTGGGTTGTTGAGCTGCCCTGAGGGCTTGTCCTGGGGATCTTGTGAATTTCTTTAGTAGAGAAACGAGGGTGTCCAGCTTGCCTGTCGTCTCCCCAGTCCCACCCCCATACAAGCACCGCCTCAGGGAAAATGCTCTGGTGGGTGGAAGGGGCGGAGGTAGCCTCTCCAGCCACGGGGTGCCCCTCGCTGCCCAAGCCCAGCCAGGCAGACGTGAAGGAGGGTTGCTATATAACAGTGAGCACTTCATTTGAAAATGGTTCCGGTGGTGCATTTTATGATATGGGGGTGGTTTTTTCAACAATTTTGTTACATGATTACGATGGACAGAGTCTGCAGGGAACCCCCTGCCTCCCCAGATGAACACAGTCCTCGGGCCGGCGTGGTGGCGTTCCGGGGAAAGTGTCCTTGGAGCCTCCCAGGCCTCGTTAAGGAACCCGGCTATGTCCTAGTTCCACACCCCAGAAATTCTTCACCAGGCTGAACCTGCAGCGCCCCTGCCTCCCCTCCCTCTCTGTTTCTCTCCTTCTCTGCCCGCTCCCCACCCCCGACTCGTTCTCACCCTCCATTTTTCTCAAAGAGCGCAGAAAAGCTGCCTGGTCTCGGGGCCCCCCTGCCCTGAGCCGCAGCTTGGTTGAGCCAGGAGATTGGATCGTGTGGGTATTAGACGCTTTCTCCCCCGGCTCCTCCTCTCCCCACTCTGCTCCGTGCCCAGAGAGCCGAAGCCCCTTGGCTTTGGCGCCCATTTTGTGATGGGAAAGCTAACCCTCCCCACAAACATTCTCCGCACCGTTTCCACCTTGGACTTGGGGCTCAACCTGGCTCTGTTTTCTCGCCACGTGGTGCTTTTCCGCTTCTCCCCCTGAGAGCTGACCTTGTTCTGAGTCGCACACAGGGTCCCTTTCCCAAACTGTCCCTCTGCACAGCCGCTCCCCCTCCACCCTCATTGTCAGCTCAGAAAAGCTTGCTCTTGGGGTAGAGGCCCTGGGGCAGTGGAGGCTTTGGTACTGGGGGTTCCCATGGCTAAGGGGAGCCGCATTGCTGGAAGAGGGGGTTGAAGTGTCACCCCAAAGCTGCTGCCCTCAAGGGTTTCTCTCGCGTCTCGGGTTCCGCACGGCACCCGTGCCCGCCCCTCCCCGTGGCCGCGCTCCCGCAGGCCCCCTCACTGCCTGTGCTTCTTCCAGGGCGCAGGAGACCTTCATGCAGTGGGACCAGTGCCGGCGCTTCTACAACTTCCTCATGGCCGACAACATGAAGAAGATCATCCTGTCGCACAGGTGCGCCCCGCGTGCTGGGGACAGCTCCCGCCCGAGTGCGTGGCGTGTCCCTAAGAGCCACAGCTCCTGTCCCTCTTGGAAGGAGATAAGAAGGCAGAGGCGGTGACTGGTGGCCGACAGCCTTAAGACCTGGACAGGAGCTATCAGGCTCCCCAAGTGGCTTTCTCCTCCTAAATCCCAGTAAACCCCGAGGAGGAGCCACGTCTGCACCGTCCCTTCCCAAGGCAGGGCCGTCCCGGGGGCGGCTTGCCGTTGCTTGGGGAGCTTTCTCCTAGGAGGCTTCGTGCTTGGGCACCAAGACTCTTGCCACGCAGCCACATGAGGGAAGTCCAGCCTCTGTGCCACTGTGCATCCCCACAACTGTCCTGCCCCTCTGCTCAGAGCCCCACCTGGGTGACACTGACATATCCTTAGGGTCGCATTCACTGCTAGTGAGGCCTTCTCCCTGGTGATTACTTACAGGCTGGCGACAGCTTCATCCCGGTGGTTGTGCCCATCGGTGTGGTCTGCCCCTCCCCACACCTCCCGGCCTCTCCAGCCTCCGGCCTGTCCCACACCATATTTGCCTTTGCAAATACCATCCCAACATCTCTGCTGTCAGGTGCACCTCAGCCCTCCTCTTCCAGGCAGCCCACCCTCCACCCCAGATGGTGCTGCTGTTGCTTCTGGGTGTGAGTCCTGTGCCCTTAATGCAGCTGTAAAGCTGTGAAACGCTGAGGCATATTTTCATTCCTTGGCACATAATGGGCACCCAGAGTATAATTTGTACCCCATCCCGGGGTGGGGGGGTTTAGGGGGGAGGGCTCATGCTCCCCAGGCAGGCTGGGCACAGCTGCCCATTGGGCTCTGATGTCGGGCACCAGTTGTGGCTGGGCCCCAAGTCGGCTCAGCTGAGGTCTGGATGCAGAAGGGGTGAAGCCACGCCTTCGACACCAAGTCCTAGGCCTCTGTCTGCCTCTCTGCACCCCCGAAATGGAAAGTGACTCTCCGGGGAATGTTTGTGTCATCCCAGGGCCTGCTCTCGGCGCTGATTAATTAGTCCCAAAGGTTCACCATGAAATTCTTAATCCACTGGGACAGATCTTTGGATGTGCTCTAAGTGGGTTTAAAACAGAAAATCAAACCTTTAGAAATGTCAGGGATACTTTAAGTTGGGGGTTCAGTCCACAGGTATAGAATCTTCCCAACTATCTTTTGAAAACAATTAACGCTAGGGAAATCTGCTGTTGCTTCGGGAGAGGTTGTGTGGGGCTACGTGTCGTTTCCATGATGATACTTTCCCAGGCCTCAGGAGACACTGGGCCTCCTTTGCCGTGGGCCGGGAGCCCCAGCCAGGGCGGAGGCCGGCCTGTGTGCGCCTGACCTCCACCTCCATTGTCCACTCCCGAGAAGTAGAGACAATTACTCTTCTGAATAGACATTAGCTTCTTAGCCTACACACTGGGGAGCATAGACTTGCCCAAATGCCAGCCAGACTGCCTGTCTTCCTTGGTAGCAGTGCAACAGCTCCTCAAAGGGCCAGGTCCTGCCAACACTAGCGTAAAGACAGGGCCCCCGGCTTTAGACTGAGGTCCCCGACTGTTTGGCCGACTGCCCAGCACTCCTGCACAGCCCACCCTGCGGGGAGAGTTGGGTTACACTCTCCTGAGCTCAAACCCAACCCTTAGTTTGTCTCACTGCCCCTGAAATGAAAGTGCATCTTTCTGCCACGGTTCCCCAGTCAGCAGTGCGAGCTCACCCTCTGGAACATTCTGAAGGCTGAAGGGGCTATTTCCGACTTTCCACAGATGCTCTGCTCTCCTGGCTGCCTCTGAGCGAGGAAGCAGGCTCCACTGGGGGTGTTTATCATCTGCTTTTTGAGATTTAAAAAAAAACTTTTTTCAGCTTTACCAAGGTGTAGTTGACAAATAAAACTGGAAGATACTCCAGTGCACAGCGTGGTGCTCCGGCTCATCACCCGCTGTCTCATCTCATCTGCGTCGTGTCTCTTCCTAGGCAAGCTCTTTTTGGAGACCACGTTAAGAAGCCACAGAGCCTGGAGGACACAGACCTGAGCCGCCTCTACACAGCCACGTCCCTGATGCAGATCGACGACAACGTGATGAGGTGATGTCACGCGGCGGGTGCTGGCGGGAGGCGGGGCTGCCCCAAACTGGGGCTTCCTCAGGCCCCATTGGGGTCAGGACTGTTTTTTCCCTTTGAATATATGTCCAGGGTCTAATAATTGAAACTTTGACAGAAAAAGTCCAAATGTCTGGTGTCTCTGAGTTCTCTCCAGTCCCTGGCTCTGTGTTCCTGCCGGGCAGGGACTGGGGGGCTGGGGTGCACCCACCTGGTGGTCCCTGCCCTGCCCCGTGTACCTCAGGGCACACCATCTGCATTCACCAGGGAGTAAAAGCATAAGGAAATAGTTCTTGTGCGTGTCTGTTTCCCTGGCAACAGTAAATTAAAAACATGGGCCTCCCCGGTGGCGCAGCGGTTGAGCTCTGGGTTGCAAGGCTGCCCGCAGCCTCTACAGCTCCGGTTCAATCCCTGGCTGTTCCCCGGCCACCGGAGGAGGGTCCCACATGGCGCGCAGACCTCTCCTGCCGCCCGCTGCTCCCCTCAGCAGTGTACTTCGGTCCTTCTGCCTGCTCTGCTCCCCGCTCTGGCTCTGGTGAATTCTCTCACCCTCATGAGCTTCTGACTGTACCCAGTGCTTGTATAAATAAATAAATAAATCTTTAAAAAAAAAAAAGTAAAAACAGAGTAAGAGGATTGTGTCACCAAAAAAAGAAAAAGGCAGACCCACTTTCTTAGGGGCGTGAAGACCCTCCCCTGAATGTAATTTGCAGCCCCCACCCACTTTGCCCTTAAATCCCACCCGAGACCCCTCCAGGCACCTGAGTACAACCTGCAGGTGCCAGAGTATCCGATCAAGGATACAGCTAAGGTCAACTGATCTCTGATCTCGACATATTCTTTAAAAATCACCCCTTAAATGGTCATTTGATACTTTGAACATGGTCGAAAGCAAGCTAGTGTTCATCCAATAGGTTGTTCTGGAAAATGTCTTTGAATTTCAGTTTCTTAGAATCTATGGTGAGATCCGGTTCTGTGTCGCTTCAAAAGATGTGATGCCTGCTGGTAGTGACTGTAGACCAAGTCCTGAGTAACCGCTGCGGGCCGCCCTGACTAGGGGGTGCTTCCTGTCACAACTCTCGGTGTCATGGTGGGCGGTCCTGTCCTTGGCTCCATTTTATGTACTTGCTCAGAGAGGTTGTGCCCTCTGCCTGAGGGCACACAGCCAGGTTATGCCCTCTGCCTGAGGGCACACAGCCAATAAGTCTGAGAGCCAGGATTTGAACCCAGACACCAAACCCGGTGTTCCTAAACCCTAACTCTACTGCTGGATGTTCTACTGATCTGGCGGCCCATGGCGGGGATCTGAGCAGCAATCAAGTGAGCCCTGAACTCCTGTCCTGTCTCTGACGAGTCTCCTTCCCTCTGCCTGTTGTGTGTTGCAGGAAGTTCCACGGCTACACCTCCCTGAAGGAGTACTACGAGGAGGAGAGCTGCCTGCGGTACCTGCACAGGGTGAGTGGGGGGGCGGGCCAGGGCGGGTTGGAGTGGGCTTCCTCCTCCTCCTCCACTCCACTGGAGGCGCAGCCAGAATCTGGCTCCTGGTGCCAAACCAGACTGTCCCTCTGTGACCTTGTTCCCCCAAGGAACCCTTAAAGTGACCAGACAGCCATTCCTGCCTGAGTCTTCTTGACCCATCCCAAAATCCCCCAGCTTTCTCCTTTCCACCCTTCAGATTCTTCTGGAAGGTTCTGTTGTCTGGAGTGGCACGAGCTCCATTTATCCCCATCCACAGTGTGAATGAGGGAATGGGGACTTAACTCTTGGTAAATTCATTTTTCTGGAAGGAATGGCTAATCCAGAGCTCGTGGAAAACATTGGCATCATTGTGCCAGTGGGCACAATGCTTCATCACTGCAGGGGGTCGCTTTGCCCCCACCAGCCAGTACCGCCATCACAGAGGCACTTGTGACACGTGTGGTCGAGAATTTATCAATGTGGTCTAAGGAAGGTAGTGGATCGTTTCATTCCACTTTATTTTCTTGCGCAGATTTACGTGCCTCTCATGCTGGTGAACGCAGCTGATGACCCCTTGGTGCACGAGAGTCTTCTCACCATCCCAAAGTCTCTCTCAGGTGAGTGTCCTTCCTGCTGGCCCTGCTCAGCCTCGCCGCACACTGTCGCTGTCCCCAAGCTGGCCAGCTCCTGGGAAGGTCAGCCTGGCCGTCCCCCAGGGTAGGGGTGGCAGGACTGTCATCTCTCGCCAGCGCCAGGAGGGGCTTGGGGGAGCCCGCTGGTGTCTGCTGGCGTCTGCGTAGTTGTTGTGCGAGGTCATGATCTGTCATGCTTGAGAGTTTTACTTAAAGGGACATCTTTAGACTTAAAAAACTTACCCTGAAAGCAAAACAAGTCTGCGACCCCTGTGGCAGGCAGCCTCTCGCCTGCTTTGAGGACACGACTGACAAGATATACACGACTGACAAGCCAAGGACGGCACCCACGGGGCGTGTCTTTGCTTCCGGCTCCTCACAGTCTCCCTCTGTGCTGGGCAGAAATTAGAGAAGCTGGGGAGAGGGGCCGATGCAAACATTGAGCCCCTAAGTTATTGTGCGTGGAATCCAGGCCCAGACGCCCCACCCCTCCCTGTAAACATCCATTCACCTGCAGAAAGAGGGAGACTGGTTTTCTCCGGCCCCAAACTAGGGAGAGTTAAAGATATAGGTGGGGGGAGCTGCCCCCAGAGCCCAGGAGTGCTGCCTGGAATGCACTGCCATTGTGGGAAGGCTGTGACAGATGCTCCCGTCAGCCCCCAGACCACGGGCTGCGCAGAAGGAGCCCACACGTGCGGCTGTGGGAAAGCGACTTGTTTCCTCCTGTGCATGTGGGGCCTGGTGCACCAGTCTAAGCAACCACTTGGGGCTTTGTGAAGTGGCCACGGCAAAGAAAGCGCAAAGGGACCCCCAAGAAAAGGGCTCCGCAGAGCCAGAGGCACGAATACAGGGAAGAGCCCTAGAGGCACGGAGCCACCCCCCAGGAGCCAGGACAGTCATTCCTGGGGAAGACAGGTCTCCTCAGGTATCTGGCCTACCTGGCTGCCCCTCCTGCTGCACACACCTTCACTGATGTCCTTTCCTCCCCACCCCACCTTGGGCCTGTCTCAAACGTGGGTTCGCAGTGTCAGGCTCCAGGTCAGCCATCATCAGCGCACCGTTTCACGTGTGCCAAGAGCCCGGGCATCCTTTCACACGACTTGCAGCTTCAGGTCACGATCTAGCCTTTAACATGCCTTAGGGAAAAAGCAGGGCACCCCTGAGTCCACCTGGTCCTCCATAAAGGAGAGATTATTGCTGCGAACCTGCTCCACATCTGGCCTCCCCCAAAGCACTAGCATTGTCCAAAATGCAGACCCTCGTACCCTCGCCCGTCAAATCAGAGTCTGCATTCTAAGGCAACGTCCCAGGTGATGGGGTACACAGAGGTGGGAGCCACTTGTCTGTGCAATCAAAGCAGTTGGGGACCCCACGCCTGGGCCCCCCGTCTCATACACACTCGAAGAATTCTGCTTCAGTCGTTCTGGGTGACGCCAGGGAAGTCTTGGGGGTGGGGTCTCTAAAGACTGGGTGAGTCTCCTCTGCAGGCACATCCCAGAGATCCCAGTGTTTCTTAAGGCTGGTGCCAGGGCCAGGCCGCTGTCCTGACCTGCTAGATGGCACTGTCTCGCCTGTCCCCCACACCGTCCCTCCCACTCCAGTGGACCAGGCAGAGCAAACAGGCTGACTCACTCTCCCACCTCCACCCGACGCTGACGCTGAGCAGGGATGGGGACTCATCCGCTGCTTTGCCCCTGCAGAGAAACGGGAGAACGTCATGTTCGTGCTGCCACTGCACGGGGGCCACCTGGGCTTCTTCGAGGGCTCCGTGCTGTTCCCCGAGCCCCTGACGTGGATGGACAAGCTGGTGGTGGAGTACGCCAACGCCATTTGCCAGTGGGAGCGCAACAAGTGGCAGTGCTCCGACACCGAGCAGGTGGAGGCGGACGCGGAGTGAGGCCGGACTCTGGTGCGCCCCAGCGGCACCCCAGAACCGCTCCCCCCGGCCGTTTCAGGTCCTGTCTCCCTTAGTGACTTGGCTCGGACCTCAAACCACCGGTGGCCCCGGGACACCTGTCTCAGAATAGGCAGCCGTCCCCAGGAACTCCGGGCTATTTTTGTGCTTAGTTATTGGTTTTCTCCATTGCCTTGTTAGCCAAGGTGACAGGCCTCGGGGTCTCACCCGCCCTGTCCAGTCTCAGCGTCTGATTGCTTTTAAGCCAATCACATCTAGTTTCCCTATTAAAAATGTCTGAACAGCCGTTTTGCTCTGCCAATCAAAAGGCTTCTCCAAGACAGTGAGGATGTATGTTCCCGGTGGTGATGGTTTTGAGCCCTGACGTGGGCCCAGCCCCTGCTCACGAGGCCGCCCAGCTGGGAGCCTGAGGACCTGCGCCTCCCGCCCGAGTGTTCCACCCTCGCGAAGCTCGAAGTTTCCCCCACTTTGCCCGTGATGAGAGTTACCTGGGGCGCTAGTTAAAAATTCAGCCTCCCAGGTGTCTCCCCTTAGAGAAGCTGGCCCCGCGGTTGGGAGGGAGCCTGGGGATTTTAATTTTTGACAAGTGCCCCAGGTGATTCTCATCACAGGGCCAGTGCGGGGAAACGCCGCCCTGCGGGGCCTTCCCTCGAAGCACGGCGGCCTCCCGTGTTGAAATGCGTGGCCAGAGGTGTCTCAGCCTCCGGGAGCCACCTGAGCAGTGAGGCCACCCCAGGGTGACCACAGGGTGAGGTCTGGGAAGGGGCCTGGGTAGGGTGCAAGGAGCTGGGCTGCGTCAGACTCTGTCCCCCCCCCCACCGGCCATGTGACCCTGGAAACTTGAACTTCGTGTCTTCTCCCATAAAGGGGGGCTGCAGCAGGTCGCCAGCCGAGAGCACCACCAGTCCTGACGTTCAATGACAAACTCAGTGTCCTGAGGTTTGAGAGAACATCCCTGGGGGGCCGGGCGGGCTCTCCTGTCCACACGGAAGCCCACGCTGTCGTTTGCCTTTTTTCCTTATTTCATGGCCCCTCGTTTCATAGGAAGAAGCGTTTGTTTGTTGCTTGTTTGTCTGTTTTTCAAAGCACTCAATGGTAATTTTATTTTTTTAACCCAGGTCTCTCTAACTCTGGCTTTTGATACCAAATAATTCAAAAGTTAGAGAATGATCTTTCCAACCCCAGAAGGGGGTTATTTTGAAACCAGATTTTTTTTTTAAATAGCCTCTGTTTGTAGTCTGTCAGATAGATCTTTCCAGAGTGTGTCTTCTCCAACAAAAATGTCACTCGAGGTTTCAAGTACTCCTTCCTCCCATCCTGTGGTACTTGAGTCTCTAAACACCCTGCACTTTGAAGCATCAGCATGGTTCTCTGGAGCGAGACAGAGCTATGAGTGAAATTGCCTGAATACTTAAAAAAAAGTCCCTGCATCATCTCCTTGGCCCAGGACAGCAGTCGCAGAACTCGGGGGCCTGTGCGCATGTTTGAGGGGCGGGCAGCCACCAGGGCCTGGGTGCCGAGGGTGGACGTGGCTTGGGCCTTGGTCCAGGTGACCCCGAACTGTCTGTAGCCCCCAGATGCTGTTTTCTGACAATCCCCAGGTCATCCCCACTAGAGACATCCCAGACAGCCGTCGCCTGACGGTTGGGATTTCCGCCGTCTCAGCTTCGCGCAGCACTGCCGCAGTCCCTCGGGGTTCCCGGTGGTTCTCCCCTGCGCTTCCTGCCCCTGTTCCGGCACACATCCGGCACTTTATCATCTGCCCCCCAACCTGGAAGCTACTCCCCTCTCCCCTGTTACTTCCCCTCCACCCGGCCTTGGCCCTGATCTAGAAGATTCACAGTCAGATTTCCTGCTACTGCCTTCGCTTGGCAAGACTGTGACTTTAGGGAACTGAAGCAATAGCTTAAGGGCTGGGCCTCCATCCCCGGAGCAAGAGCCTCCTTCTCCTTTTCTTTGCCTGAGGTCACATCCCTTGACCTATTGGGACAGAGTGGGGACCAGGTACCAGCTCCACTGGGGAGGAGACAGGACCGCCAAGTTGTCAGCACACGTTGCAGGGACCCCAGAAATCCTTGGTGCTTGGGCCAGGAGGCAGTCCTGGTGGCCCCATGGGGGGCGGGGGCTGGGCCACAGCCTCTGTCACCACACACCGGGAATCGCCCCAGGCCGTGGCCCGGGTCCAGCTGAACGCTCCGAAGGGCACTTCCGCGGCTTGGCTCTCAGGACACGCACTGGAGCCCTTTGTTCCCGCCGCAGCTCTCAGGCTCGGCAGTGGCAGCGGGACTGGGTGCCTCACAAGAAACCGCTTGTTTGTCCCTGAATGGAAGCACAGAGGCTCTGAATTTGCAAACCTGCTTAAGAACCTGTGCGGCAGCTCTTTCCTTCCTCCGGTTCCCGCGGCCTTTCTGCCGCCCGCGAGCGCGCCTCTGGGAAGGTCTTGTGTGGGCGAGAACAAGGCAGGATTCTCAAAGAGCCTTTGGACCCGATGGAAGGAGAAAAGTTTTAAAAATCAGATTAAGGGTGTAAATCGCACAGCCCTCCACAACCTGTTGCAGGAATAACACCGTCCAAATCTAGGAAGGAAGCACCTGCGGCCCCCCCCACCCCTACACCCCCCCTGCCCCTCGCCCCCCACCCCGGGGGTCTGGCTGCCTCCTGGGAAGCTGATCCCCATCAAGGTCAAGTCAGGATTAGCCAACTTGGAGAGCGAGTCCTTGCTGCACTGAGGTAGGAGGGAGTACAGCTGACTTGGGAAAAGCCGCTGCTCTCCCTGCAGTCAGCCCCACTCTGCAGAGCAGAAGGGAGGAGCCTCGTGTTCTTCCAGCCTCGCCCCAGGGCACCCTGGGCCAGAGAGAGCAGGGTGCTCCCTTCTCCACCCGGGGTGCTCCCTTCTCCACCCGGGGTGTGTGCGCCCCAGAGTCCGTGAGTCCCGGTCACCTTAGGCGGCGGCCACATCTCTTAGTCCTCCTCATCTCTTTCCACATCCTCTGCCTGGGCCTCCCCTCTTGGCTTCCGCAGCCCTGGCCCGTGGAAACGGATGTGCCCAGTCGGGCTCAGACCCAGCATTGACATCCCAGGGCACCCCTTCGTTGCTTCTGGAAGCCTGGTCCCATCACAGCTGAGCTGGCTCCTCTGCCCGGCATCCCAATGAGAGCCCGCTTTGTAGCTCAGCGGCTTCCATCCCTCTCGCCAGCTCCGGCAAACACTGCGTTGTGTGCCTGTTTGTCTTTGCCAGACAGGCAGCTGGCGAGATGTGAGAGGCTTTTCTCTTCCTGGAGCTCAAGATCGTTTAACCACCACCGAGTTCAGAGAACCTGGGCCTCGGAGCTTGAGGCGGGACAGGGGAATTTGGGAAACTTTCACTGCAGCCTCCTCTCACACTGTCATCCCGAATTGTTTCCTTTGTCCAGAAAGCCTTAACTTGCCTCTAGAATATTCCCTGGTGTGACAACGGTATTGTGGCATTGGAATTTGAATGATTCTGCTGTGGGATTTTGAAGCCAAACCACAGCAAAACCAGAGGCTCTTCCAGCCCCTACGCACATTTCAAGACCTGGCCATTGAAGGAAAGCTTTTCTCCTCCCTGCCTTATCCCCGAGCAGAGCAGAGTGAAGTCCCCTCTCCTAGTCAACTAGGATTGCTTTTGCTAAACTGTATCTGAAACTGACGGGAGGGTGCCTGGCCCCTGCTGGCAGTGAGACCTGGAATCCCACCCAACCCAAGAGCCGCTTCTGGCTGCCGGGCCAGCTGCTGTCCCTGCTTCGGACGCTGCCGCAGCTTTTAGAAGCAGCTGCTGAGAGACCTCTGGCCAGTAGGCTGGCCACTCTCAGACCCCCGGCCAGTAGGCAGCTGACCCCTTTGGAGGAGTCACCCCCTCCCTGTTTTCTGGACTGTTTTTCCTAGCATGTACCTGGTTCAAGCTTTCACGTTCCGCTAATGAGTAAGCTGACGTTAATGTCTAACCGGTGGATTAAGACTTTTAACAGGACTCCTGTCAATCAGTAGTGAACTCGATCCCCTGCCTCTGCCCGCTTCTGGTTCCCACTAGCCAAGAAATCTACTATTGCCATAAGTGGGGGACAGTCCCCTGATAGCACCTACAGAAATACCTTTCACTCGATGGGCATTCTCCTTCCAGACACCCACACGGAGCAGCCAGCAGTCGCCCGGAGTGGCTGCTGACCCCCTGGTGCCAGTGCTGCCAGCCGCGCCCCTCCCTGGCTGTTCCCGTGGGCGGACCAAACCCTTGGGTGGAGGAGTGGGTTTTTCTTGGGGGCTTTAGGTCAGTTACCTAAAGCACAAGCCCACGTGGCCTCCGGGCACCTCCGCACCAGGTCTGGATGATCCGGCCCCTCCCACTGCCTCAGGAAGACCTTCACTGTACCTGAGCTCTGACTTCCGCCGCTGCGGCTGCCTTAGCACACCCAGGGGCGGGCGGGCGGGGGCCAGCGGGCCCCCCTTTTCTTGGCTATCCTCCAGTCAACCACATTCTTCTGTTGGCAGATCTGCTTCCAGATTGATTTTTGAGAACCATCACTTTCACATTCCTAATTTTCGTTTGTTTTGTTTGATTTTCTGTGTTTTATTTAGATTTTCTGAAACTTAAAATGCTGCCCTGAAAATAATGTATTTTTGAGTTTGTGTCCTGAAAACCTCTGTGCTGCCGGGTTTGGGGGAAATACAGGACCCTCCAGCACCGAGGTGTTTAAGATTTGCAACTAGCAATGCAATTTTTTCTAAATATGAGGATATTTACCTTTATTAAGAAATTACACTAAACAACTGTGTCCTTGACCATTTTATGTTCTCATTTTACTTTTGGTTCTATTTTGATTCTGAGTGGTGGTAAGCAAAGATCATTTCAACAAAAACTGTAATTTTGTTATCTTTGATTCAATGGAATTTCTTTACTTAAAAAAATAAAGATTTTAAAATGTGGCATGGCTGTGTGTCCTTGGGTGAGGGGGTTTTCTCGGGAGGAGTCGCTCTGCCTTCCCCAGAGCGTGAGCTTGAAGGTAAAGGGCTCAGCACCAAGTTCTCATCACAACTGATCTCCACCCAAACTTGCCACCACCACCAAAGAACGACCAGCCCACCAGGGAGCTGACCAGCCCGTAGTCTCCAGGCCAGAGAGCCGAGGCCTGGGCTAAGCAAGACGCCGGCATTTAGCCCCTTTGCTCTGTGAGCGAAGCTCGTGGACACGGGCCGGTGGGATGCAGCTGCGTGGCCACCGTGATCTAGATGCTTCTCTGACAACGCTGGCTTCCCTGAGTCAAGGTCACCTGAACTAGCTGAGCGGCGGTGGTGTTTGCTTCTACTTTGGACCTGCCTGAATCCAAGCAGAGGGTCCCTGGGGGTCAGGGTTGGGTCCAGCCAGGAGAGGGCCACGGGGCAGCTTTGCACTCAGAGCTGCCTCCCCCGACTGGGCAACAGCAGGGGATGGGGTGGGAGGGTCTGAAGGACGGACCATCACAGGACCGATATCAGATGTCGGAGTGCAGGTGCGCCTCGCAGGTGAGCCAGCCTCCTCCCACAGGCCCGGCCCCACGCCCAAAGTGGCCAGACCAGCAGTGTGACTCTGCAGCCACTGTGACTATGCAGCCGCCTCTCTTTTTTCCCCTTCTCCTTTTCCTAGTAATCTGTCCTTTTGAAAAGTAAAAAATCATAATAGTCTTTGCTGATCCACGAAAACCAACTCACAAAGAAGAGCTTTCAGACCCGGGAGTCAAGCAGCCTGCCACGCGGTCACCTGGCACCAGCCAGTGCACAATTCAGCTTCCCTGAGGCGATGCTGTGGCCCCCAATCCCTCACTGTCCCAGGAGGGCCCCCGTATTTGTCATTTTATCTTTCATCAGCAGGCCCCTTCCTGCTAGTCCTGCTAGTAGGAACGTGTCCCCCGCAGGCTGGTGGCCCTTTCCCTGCTGAGAGCCCGGCCTTTGCCTGCGCCTCGGCCAACTGACTGCATCTGCTAAGGGGCCAAGCTCCCCTGGGGCAAGTGAGCCCAACATTCCCGTTCAAATCACTGGTATGAGGCGGAATCCCTGCCTGGCCCCAGACACCCCCAGAAAGGAAGTGTCCGCATTTGGTGGCTTCGATGTTTTGTCGTCCCCCTTCCTCTCATTAATGTGGGGTAGTGGCACTGCAGGATCAGAGCGCATAGGCTGCTGGGACTTTGTGAGGTCTTCCCAAGGGTGGCACCTTGGGGGCCATCTGGCGAGCTGGTCCCTGTGCTGGCAGGCAGTGCCGCGGTGAGACCAGCAGGGGGCGCTGTCAGCCCGCCGTCAGCACCCACTTGCTGGGTCCACACCCTGGGCCTTGGTCCTCACCAAGACCATGGGCTTCCTGGCAGACCCCCTGCCTAAGTGAGGCCTTGCACTGCTGGCTTTAAGGGGGACCCCAGCACCCCATTTGGGCTTGAAAGAAAACAAAAGCTGCCCCGGGGACCTCCTGGAGGGCATTTGCCTGCTGCTTTCCTCGTCCCCTGATCTCATGCTTAAATTAGAGACCCCACAAATCAGACCCCAGCCCACAAGGCGGGCCAGGGAAGGAGGCAGCCATCCAGGAGGGAGCCACCACTGCCTGCCTCGGATTGGGGGCACAGCTGTGTTGACAACTTGAGGTGATTACACCCTTAGCGGCTGATGTTCTTGGAGGTCCCTCCTGCTCATGCTGGTGAGACCCCTTTTTTAAAGGCTGGAATTCCATCTAAGATTTGATTTGGATACATGGTGCCTCAGTTTTTACAAGGGTCTGAAGGGTTTAGGGGAAATCCTCCCAGCCAGCGTCCCCCGCCCCCACCCTTCCACCCACCATAAATTGCTGTGATTCTCCTTCCGGCTCGCTAGTCCAAGGTAAACACTGATCACGAGCCTGGACTGTCGACTGAACATTATAAAGAAGGAAATGTCTTGGGTGATGAGCTGGCAAGTCCCAGAAATGCAAGAACAGATGTAAGAAATCTATACACATATATGGGTGCTTGTGTCTGCGAGGGGACCAGGCCACCCCAAAGTGGGTGCTTCCCCCGAGTTGAGTGGAAAATCCCCTCTTGCCGGCAGCTGTTGAACGGCTCCAGGGGCAGGATGATTAGTGCGCAGTCCTCGCTCATAATCTTTTTATTGGTTGTTGGGGAGGGGAGGGGGGTTAAACCAGCTCTCCTGCCCGTGTCCACAGACCCTGAGAGCAAAACTCCGCTACAAAGGAACCACCAGAGATGCCGCCAGACTCTTCGAAATTCAGCCCACACAAGGCACTGCCCTCAAGCTGCAGAGGTGATAGGATGTTGCTGCTCCCAGCTCCGCTGGTTCCGGGGAACTCCCGCTATTGTAACGTCCCCTAACTTGGCTTCTAGTTCGCCCCGGCTTCCTGGGACCCAAGCCCTCCAGGGAGCACTTTCCCCAGCCCTGGGGTCAGGACGGCCGGCGCTGACTGCTGCAGAGGCTGCCAGCGGCCGCGCTCAGAAGGCTGTGTCCTCCTGGGCCCGAGGGCCGAAGAGCCGCTCGGCGACAAGCTTGCCGTCGTACTTGGGCAGTGTGCCCCCGAAGTCGGCGGGCAGGATGTCCTTGTCAATATCCTGGAAGAAGCCGGAGAGGTCGTCGCCGTGGACGAAGACCTGCAGGGAGCAGAGGACATGCAGCTGAGGGCGGTGTCGGGGCTGGGGGCGAAGCATGGAGGGTCGGCGGGACAGGGGCACAGGGTGCCACGTCTGCCCGGGCTGTGGGACAGCATCTCGGGGGGCCCCCACCCCTCTTGTGCTGTGGCCTGCGCCCTGCCCCCCAGCAGACCTCCACCCCCTGCCCCCACGGGCTGGCGCACCCGCTGGAGCAGCTTGCCCTTGAGGAAGGGCCTGACCACGCTGAAGGTGGTGGTGAAGTACCACGGCTGGTGGATGAAGTGGACGGCTTTGAACCGGGCTGGGAAGGAGTCCTGCGGGAGAGAGAGCACCCCAAAGACCTCATAGACCTAGGGCCCACTCACCCGCCCACCGCCTTGACCCCCGGCACCAGCACACACTCCTCTCATCACAGGTTGCCCTGAGGACAGCCCCCCTAGTGACTGGGGAGCCTTGGCTCCACCCGGGATCGGAACTGCAGACAGTTGGGGTGAGGGTTGCGCCAGTCAGGGCTATTCATGGTGCGTGCGGTTGACCTCTAAAGCCCTGCTGGCACCGCCACACGGGCCACAGACCCCCTCCAGCCTGCAAAAGGCCCTGCGGGACAGGCCCGGGCACACCTGGAGCATGTTCACCATCTTCCTGAGGTCGGAAGGCCGCAACCCAGCAGCCTGCTGCACAGTGAAGCCCTTGAAGTTCTCAACGATGCAGAAGCCGTTGATCTGCGTCTCCTCGTTCTCCAGTAGCTTCTCCAGGATAAAGCAATAGGCCTGCAGGATCTGGGGTGCAGAATGGACAGGCTCTAAAAGCCCAGCCTGCCGGGGAGCAAAAACTGGGCTATCCTTTCTGAAGGAGATCTGTCCCAGGCTCGAGCTGGGACGGTCCACCTCTGTGAGTGTGTGAACCCCAGAAAATAACCTGGAGCCCCATGTCCATGGCTGGATGCCCAAGTGTTTGTCCATATGCCCCTGTAACAGCAGAAATGTGATGTTTCTCCTGGAGCTCATTAACTTAAAGTTCATAGGGGAAATACGCAAGAAAAACCAGAAAGACCCTGAGAAAAGCTATCCCCAACAGATGTTAAGTGAGCTATACAAGTTATGATGAAAACAGTGATACTGGGGCCCAAACAGACAGAAACTGATAGAAAAGAATAGAAAGTTCAGAAGTAGACCCGAGTGCATATGAAAATAGAGGCTATGATCACGGGGGCATCTCAAGTTATTGTTGGAAAATATGGACTTCAAAATACATGGTGTCAGGATCTGTTTAAGATGAATGTGTCCCTTTTTTCTTTAAAGATTTATTTATACAAGAACCAGGGTACAGGCCAGATGCGCGGGAGGGTGAGAGGATACACCAGAGACCGAGCAGGGAGCAGAACAGGCAGACTGATGAAATACACTGCTGAGGGGAGAAGCAGGGAGACAGGAGAGGTCTGCCACGCCATGTGGGTAGCTCCCTGGCCGGCTGGGATCGAACCCACGCTGCAGAGGCTGCGGACAGCTTCACAGTGTGATGCTCAACTGCCTGCACCACCAGAGAGGCCCCCTTTTTTCTTTTTAAGGCCCAGTGACATGCTCCCAAGACAAACCCTAACTCCCCACCCAGGGCAGCTCTCTCAAGGGCCTAACAAGAGAAATCGCATGGCTATAAATGCAGAGATCTCAGGCTGCCAAATGCTCAGAAACCGTGCTTTCTGGACTCTCCCCCAGCCCATGGTCCAGGAGCCCCTATCCTCTGTGTGGCTGCCAGCTATCGGCGTTTGGCAGGGCCGACCCAGCTGCTGGCCCACAGCGGTCATCTCACTGGGCGGGGTATGGTGTGGGGGGGCTGGAGGGGGCAGTAGCCCCGCTCGCAGGCTGCTGGATTTTGAAGTTGGCACATCCGAGCCATTCTCCTCCTGCCTGGTGGCCACTGGCCACACCACACCTCCCAGGGAGCCAGGAGTCGGCCCCAGAGAGGGCAAGGTCAGGGAGGGGACACAGCCCAGGAGCTGGGAGGGAGCCTGGGAGTCCCCGCTGACCTCGTCGAAGGTGACCTCCTCGCAGTCCCAGTCCTCGATGTTGAAGAGCAAGACCACCCGGCCGTACCTGTCCCGGCTGGAGAGGACCCCGGGGAAGCCGGCCTCCACAGTGCGGCGGACGGCCTCCAGGGACAGGCTGTCAAAGAGCTCGGGGTACTGCAGCCGGAAGCTCACATAGCCTGGTGGAGGGGGGCAGAGAACCCCCTTAGGGAGGCATCCCGTCCTGGGGGGGTGCCCAGAGACCTGGCCCCTGCCTGGCTCCTCCGACATCCTGTGTGTCGGGGGAGGCGGGGGGTGGAGGGTGGAGGGTGTGTTCAACCTTTCTGAGCCTCATTTTTCTTCTCCAAAAAATAGGCTGAAGGGCGCTATCGGCCTGGGCCCGACCGTTGGTGATAAGGCAGATTCTGGGCCTGACCAGCTTGTAAACTATACAAACGTGAGGTGTGATCTGATATCTGAGGCCAGACGTGACTTGTATTTCTCTCTCCCACGGGCAGAGCCACAGGTGGGCACAGCGTGGGGTGGAGGGAGACCCGCAGACAAAATTCAAGCCCCAAGTAGGGTGCAGAGGCGCTTTATGATCCCAGCGGAGCTGTGCCACCCACAAGCCCATCCTGACCTGTCCTGAACAGGTGCCCAGCCCTGCAGCTGCCAGGCCCAGAGGGGGATGGGGAGCATGAGCCAAGGGGGTCCCGCTGAGCTGGGGGAGGGGGACTCCTCCCTCCTTGGGCACCCAATTTGGGTGACGCCATCCTACCCAGAGAGTTCCAAGGCCTGGAAGAGGGAGAGAGGAGCCAGACCTCGAGGCCTCTGCCGCTCACTCACGCTTGCATTTCCAGTGCTGGCCAGGATCCTGGGGGGATCACTTCACACTCACCCCCGTTTACAGGTAGGATAAGGAGGCTCAGAGGGCTTGGCTGGCCAGGGAGGGAACGGCTGCCAAGTGGAGGGGCAGGTCTCCTCTGGGGAAGGACCACCCCAGCTTAGGGCCACCCCTCCCGGTTGCCACCCCGGCCCCACCGTCTCACCCTGCAGCAAGTCGTAGGCGCGCCCCACGTGGAACTTGCGCGCACGGATGAAGCGCAGAAAGAAGGCGCTGTCCCATCCCTGCGCCCTCTCGGCCACCGCCAGGGCCAGCGCCTGCCCTGAGGCCGCCTGCTCCCGCACCAGCTCCCGCAGCTCTCGCACAGCCTCCTCCCGGCTCTCCTCCCGTTCATTCAGCTCGTCCTTGGCCTGGAGCAAAGCGCAAAAGGAGCCCACAGGAGTCTCCCCCCGGGCTGGACACACGGCCTTCGGCAGCACCTGCCCCCGCCCTCGGCTACCAGTTCCGTTTGGAGAAAATGAGGCCAAGCTGTTCCTCCTGGGCTCGTTCGCTGGAGAAACCCCCAGATTAAACGTTTCCAGCAGTCCCAGCCTGCACTTACTGGCGCCCTTCACGCCAAGCTTCCAATGCACTATATGTTTAAATCCTTGCACAACCTCCCACAGTAGGGAGAGCAAGCTTATCCCCGTCTCTCAAAGGCGCGCCCTGGGGTTCACGGAGGCAAGCTAGCCTTGCCTGAGGCCACCTGAGCAGAGGATTGGAACTGGACTCAGCCTGGACTTCTCATAGCCCAGCTCTGCCCCTCGGGCTTCATTCCCATCTTTGCAAAGCCAAAGATGGCCGGCAGGGGGCAGCCTGCCTCCCCCGCCCTCCCCGCAGCGCTGGCCCTAGAGGACCGCAGCACTTGCCAGCCAACTCTCCTCCACACAAGAGGGGGAGTCGGCCCTTGGGGGGGGTGGGCGGCTATCGGCACCATTCCCTGGAGGTGCTCAGGGAAGCAGAGAGGAAGCAGAGCAGCCCGGTCTCCCCCTAACCCCCCAGGGCAGTCTGGTCCTGTCTGGGCAGCTCCAGCAGCGTCCTCCACAGGCACAGAAGGCCAGGCCCAGGAGGGAAAGCCAGTCCCGCTGGAGGTAGATGTGATCCCAGGACTCAGGCCTCTTGCCTGTCCAGAGGGCAGCAGCTGGGCAAATTGGTGCCTCGAACCTACAAATCCAGGATGAGCCTGGTCCAGGGGCCCTAGGCTCGGGCACTGCTGCCAGGGCTCACTGTGGGTGCTGTGGTTCGGATCAGGCTGACCTGTTGCTGCCAGGGCCCTGACTTCTACGGTAGCACCGGTCACATTCCAAACTTGTTGCCTCCCCAGAGTGCCCCTCCCAGCACCCAGGGCCACCTCACCTTCTGCAAGGTGTGGGGGGGCAGCTGGCTGCATGGGCCAAAGACAGGCCCGTGGTCCTTGGTGGTAAGCCGGTCCAGCTGGGTTCGGAGCGCCTGTTCCTCTTCAGAGACCATGTGGAACGTGCCCGCCTAGGGAGTTAGGACAAAGCAGGAGCAGGCCCCATTAGTGGGGGGCTGCCAGCTGCAAGGGCCTGCTCACACCCTAGGTCAGTGCCTTTGCCCCTCCCTTTGGATGGGGACTGCAGGGAGGTTGTGGGGTGAGTGCCCGTATGCCTGGTACCCCTGAGCAGACCAGATGTAGGGGAAGCAGGGAGGGATTGAGGGAAGGAGGGGAGGGCAAAGAGGAGCCCCAAGGTGTAGGGGTACCCACCTCCTCTGACATGCTGCTCTGGATGACCTGGAGTCCCTGGCAGAGGAAGGGCCTGTGTCCTCCACCCCAGTCTCTGCAGGCGGGTTCCCTGGGAGAGGAGGTTGGCTGTGCTGAGGTCACAGGCACGGTTCTGTGATGGTCTCAGAACCAGGGCCTCAGTCACACTTGGTAGAAATGCAGGTGCCTGGGCCCCAGCACCTGTGATTCTTACCCAGGAAGTCTGGGCTGGCGTCCAGAAAACCACACTTTGAAGTAGCCCCCCAGATGACCAGAGATGCTCCCCCTTGTGAAACTCCTTTGAGGGCAAACACAAACACAAATACAGTTGACCCTTGAACAACAGATTTGAACTGCGGACTTTTTTCCATAAATATGTAAATGTCTTGTTCCTCCTTAGGATTTTTTTTAAAGATTTATTTATTTTTGCATGCAAGACCTGGGGTGTAGGCCAGAGGTGCAAGGGCGAGAGGATCCACCAGAGACAGAGCGGGGAGCAGAATAGGCAGATCTTCTGAAATACACTGCTGAGGGGAGCAGCAGGGAGTCAGGAGAGGTCTGCTGTGCCATGTAAGTCACCTCCCTGGCCAGGGATCGAACTCATGCTGCAGTTGCTGTGGACAGCTTCACAGTGCTGAGACTTAACCCCTGTGCCACCAGGGAGGCCCTCCTTAGAATTTTCTAATTAACACTTTTCCTCTACTTAGTGTAAGAATATAGCATATAGTACATAAAGCAGAAAAAATGTGTGTTCACCGACCGCTTTCATTTTCAGTAAGGCTTGGGTCAACAGCAGCTTCTTCGTTTGGGGGAAGTCAAATGTTATACTCAAATTTTCCATCGTGTGGGGATCACAGCCCTAATCCCAGTGTTGTCAAGGGTCAGCTGTACCTCTAACCTCAGTTCTTCCAGATGAGTCGACCCAGCCAGGAAAACCCTCGAGTTGGCCTTCTTTCTCAGCCACAGGATCTTTGGGTCCCTCCTCTGGTCCGGACCCTCCTCCACCCAAAGAGGGACCTCAGAAACCTCCCACCCCAGAGGGTGACCCTGACCTCAGGAGGCATGGCGACCTCTCATCATGCTGGGTGCATGCACTGTGCTTTGGGGTGCACTTAGCATATTCAAATCCATTCTCTCAAGCTGGGACTGGCATGATTATTACCATTTAACTGAGCAAGAAACAGACCCTGGAGAATAAGTGACTTGTCCAAGGTCACACGGTCAGAAACTAGTCAGGGATTAGGATTCATGCCCAAGTTCTGACTTCACCTCTCCTCAGCGGGAGGAAGTCCTGGGTGGCAGAAATTGGACCTGGATTGCAATCAGCCTCTTTCCAGCTGCAAGTTTTGTGTTTTAACCTGAGTCCTGCCTGCTGTAATTATGACGATTTCATTCAGTAACCTAAACATAAGCAGGACTTGGCCACCCAAACAAATCCCAGCCATCACCCATGGACTTCACCTGCTCGCCCACTGAGGATTTTGGGAGGTAACGCTCCTGTTTCCAGATTTTTTGTTTTCTCCCTCAAAGCATCCCCAAGTGCCTTCAAGGTGCCTCTGACCAGGTTCCTATTGGTCGATTCTGTCACCTGTTGGCACAGGTGGAACTTGAGACCATCTACCTTTGATACTTGGAGCCAAGACATCTCCAGGCAAACTCACTGGGATGGTGGGTGAAGGGTGAAAACCCCTTAGGGTCAGAGAGACTGGGTTTGAATCTGGCTTTGTCATTTACTGCTCTGTGACCGTCAGCAAGTTAATGGGCCTTTCTGAGCCTGTTTCCTCATCTGCAACTTGGGGGTAATAATGACACCGCCCAGAGTTGTAATGAAGACCAGACACTAGGTGTTGCTCTAAGGCAGTTATCTCCCCTTTCACAGCATCATTCTGACCATCACCCCAACTTGCACTGGGACACTTGGAGGATCTGAAGGCTTCCCATGTCCGCCTCTCTCATGCCACAACTCCAGAGGCAGGGAAGTCCTGGGAGCTGTACTGCCCCAGCAGGAACCCACGCAAGCCCTCTCTCTGGAGGAGAACTTCCAAATACGTGGGCAGAGGACAAGCAGTCTGAAGTCTGTGCTCTCACTTCAGATTTTGCTGCAACAGGAATGGAACCACCTCAGGAGCTCAGCCAGGAGACCAGGCAGACACCCCAGCCAGTTACGCAAGCCATCAAGATAAGATCTTCCATCTCAGAAATAGGCAGAGTCAGTGCAGTAACACTTTTCTAAATATAGCCAAGCTAATTATGGGCTATAATATAGCTGACTTACGAAGTATACACAAGGAAAACATACCCACCTCCTTCCACGTGAAGGCTGTTCCCTGCCTCCTAAGGTTCAGATAAAATACCAAATACTCATTTATAGGTGAGTGTCAGATCACCAGAAAATCTCTTTGATGTGTAAGTATGTCCCCTTCAATATTTGGGGTATATTTATACTTGCTGTTCACCTGAAAATCACACTGACCTGGGCATCTTGTTTTCATCTGCTAAACCCACCACCAGGTTGGTCCCCCTCACCCTGGAGTGTGGCCTGTTGGTTTCTGTTTTAGGGGCAGTCTGGGTTGTGGTCTCCCCACCCCGGACTCCTCACCCCAGTCCTGGACTTCCTGGTCAGGCTGAGCCCTGATACTGACTTACCCCCAGGTCAGCAGCTCCTCCTTGGGGCCACCTGGTGCCCGAGTCCTGAGGACCCAGATGTTGCCTCTGTTGGGGGGCGTGTCAGTCAGCAGGTCTGGATTACCATGTCACAAGGAACTGCTCACCATTCCCCTGTTAAGTCAGGCTCACAGGGAGGCCCAGGTTGGGGCAGGCAAGCACGGGGGAGAGGGACTCAGCAGGGCCTGACTGGGCCGCCTCAAAGCCCTCCTTTGTGTGGGGCTGCTGCTGTCTCAAGGTCCTGCTCAGCCATGTGGAAGCAAGAGGGGGGGCCTCTGGGACCCTTTCCCTCTGCTGCCTGCTCTCCACCTCCCCACAGGGTCTGACAAAGCCCCCCAGGGTGGGACATGCAAGATCCAGAGGGAGAGTTTGTTTCATTTTTAATTATCTATGTTTCTTTTTTCTTTTCTCATCAAGTTTTTGCTGATTTGCCCTTCGTTTGGGAGGCAGTACAGTCCTGGGACTTCAGCTTCCTCTCCCTCCCCCTAAGCTGTGCCAGCTAACTGGAGGGAACCCAGGCCTGTCACCCACTGAGGGATACCAGTGGAGATGGGAGCTGATTAAGGTGGAGCTGGGCAGGGTAAACCCGCCGCCTTCCAGCCAGAAAGGCCAGCGACAGGAGCAGCTTGGGGAACCCCAGCTCCTCGCCTACCCACCCCAGAATCGGGTCCCTGTTAAGTGGGGATGTGGTGGTGCTCAGCTCCGGGCTTGGTGCTGTGAAGTGGCCTGCAAGTGCCCCACAGTCGTGAAGGCAAATGCTCAGTCAGTGTTGACTGATGTTGTTCTGATGCGATGCTGGCGGTTCATGAGCAGGGTGCTTGGGTTCCCTGAGTAAAGTGTGTCCCCCACCAAGTTCCTGTGTGGCGGGTGTGGGGTGTGGGGGTGCTTAGGGGACCTGGAAGTCGTCTGCCGGAAATAGAGGGGGTGATGGACACGTCTGAAATAGTCCCACGAAGAAAGGAAGGAAACATATGAGGGAAGGGTGAGAGGATTCACCAGAGAGTGGGGAGCAGAACAGGCGGACGTACTGAAATAGACTGTTGAGGGGGCAGCGGGGAGAGAGGAGAGGTCTGCTGCGCCGTGTGGGTAGCTCCCTGGCGGGGCTAGAACTCAGGCCGCAGTGGCTGGTGAGAGCTTCATGGCTCTGAGACTCAACCTCTTGCTCCACCAAGGAGGCCCAGACACTGCATTTGTAAGAGACACACACACACACACCCCCACCGCTGCACAGCCTGCGCATGCTCAATGGGGCTCGCGGCCCGCCCGAGGCGCCGCCGGCGGAAGTGGGCGGCGGGGGCGTGGCCGGCGGCGGGAGGGGCGCCGGAAGTGCGGGGGCGGGACGTGCGGCGTGAGCGCCGGAAGTGCGCTGGCGTTCGGCTGCGCGGGAGTTTTGGAAGTCGGCGGCGGCGGCTGTGGTGAGTCCGAGGGGACGGCGCCGCGGGACCTGCCCCGGGGCGGGCGTGAGAGGACCGGGGCTCCCGGCCGCAGGGGCGCTCTGGTGTCTCCCGGGGCAGGCGCTCCCCCGCGCGCCCCGGCTGCGCGCCGCCCTCCTCTCGGGGGGCTGCCCGGGCCGCCCCTCCGGCCGGCCAGCGCCTCCCGTCCAGGGGCCCCCCGAGCCCCGCTCCCCGCGCCACCTGCTTGTCTCGCCCGGCTGGTGCCTCCTTGAGCGCAGGGGAGCTGCCGCGCGCCCGCCTCCGAGCGCCTGTACCCGCCGAGACAGGCGGAGGTCGGGCTCGGCTCATCCCCCTGCACCGGGCTCCTTGCGCTGGGCCCGCGGGTTCCCTGTCCTCCGCCCCCCAGGCCCTGACGGCGGCGGGGGGTTGGGAAGGAGGCAGAACCTTGGCGTCTGGGGCCAGGCTCCGAGTTCAGCTCTTTCTGGCCTCCTGACTGAAAGGTTCGGCGCGGTAAAGAAAAGGAGAGCCAGGCTAAATTTCTCAAAGAAAGGAAAAAAATTTTTATATTAAATTTTTAAATTAATATTTTATTTTATATAATTCTTACATCATTTTTCATTTCTGCACAATGTATGCATTATCATTTTGGTTATATTCCGCATACAATTGCACCCCCCCCTTATTTTGACCCTAGTCCTTCCTCTTCCCTTCCCTTTCCTCCCCCCACCCCGTGGTGTGTCTCTGGTTTATAGTTGGTTGTTGATATTGATTTTTACTTTGTATTAATTAATCGTTTTCTAAATTCCTGATATGTGTGAAACCATCCCGTATTTTTACTTTTTTTTTTTGTTAAGATTCATTTTTATTTATTTATACAAGCACTGGGTACAGTCAGAAGCACGGGAGGGTGAGAGAATTCCCCAGAGCCAGAGCGGGGAGCAGAGCAGGCAGAAGGACCGAAGTACACTGCTGAGGGGAGCAGCCGGTGGCAGGAGAGGTCTGCGCGCCATGTGGGAACCTCGCAGGCGGCTGGGGAGCAGCCGGGGATCGAACCGGCGCTGCAGAGGCTGCGGGCAGCATCGCAACCCAGCACTCAACCGCTGCGCCACCTGGGAGGCCCTTCCTTTACTTTCTGGCTTAGTTCGCTGAGCATGATCCCTTCCAGCGCCATCCATGATGCTGCAAACTGCATGTGTTTATCTTTTTTGAATGCTGAGTAATATTCCATGGTGTATATGTACCACATCTTCTTGATCCAGTCATCTATTTTTGGGCATTTGGGTTGTTTCCATAGCTTAGCTATTGTAAACAGTGCTGCTATAAACATAGGGGTGCAGGTGCCCTTTTGAGTTAATGTTTCTGTGTCCTTTGGGTAAATACCTAGAAGTGGAATTGCTGGATCATATGGAACCTCTATGTTTAATAGGTCAAGATATCACACAGCTCTCCATAGTGGTTGCCGGGGTGTGCACTCCCACCAGCAGTGCAGGAGAGTTCCTTTTTCTCCACAACCTCACCAACATTTGTTGTTGCTTGTTTTTTTAATATGTGCCATTGTCACTGGTGTGAGGGGGTATCTCATTGTAGTTTTGATTTGCATTTCGGAAGGGAAAATTTATTGTGCCGCAGGCAAACCTCAGGACCCAAGGTGGGGGTCACCTTTGAAGCCGCGCCCATTGTGGGGAGAGATGTCCTTTTATAGGGTGAGGAGAGGTTAGGCTGGAAAACTGGGTTGGCAGGGGGGGAAACAGGTTTAGGCAGAACGAAGTTGTTTTTCATGGAGCAGGGTTGTTTTTCCCCTGTTTGTCAAGGGTCCTGGTGTCAGGGCCATCTTGTTTTTTTCTATGTGGGCTTCCTCATTCCTGGCATTAGCCTTTAGCTGACCTGGGGCAGAGTCCTTAGTCTCCGAACCCCAAAAGTTCTTCATCTAAATTGGGGCTAATAACACCTCCCCTCAGAGGATTATTGGAGTGAGGATCAGATTGACCACGGTGGAGGGCTGGCCCATTGCAGGGCTTCGACAATTCCTTTGTTCAACTCATTTTGATTGGCTGTCTATTAGGGGTTAATTATCTGTGCTAAGTGCTGGGCAATCATTGGTAAAACCAGAGGTGGCCCTGACATGGAGGTTTTAACTAGTTCAGTGAGAGATGAAGTTCTTAATCTAATCATATATATATATATATATATTTTTTAAAGATTTATTTATGCATACAAGAACTGGAGTGTAAGCCAGAGGTGCAGGGGGTGAGAGGATTCACCAGAGTGGGAAGCAGAACAGGCAGATCTACTGAAATACACTGCTGAGGGGGAGCAGCGGGGCAACAGGAGAGATCTGTGCCATGTGGGTCAGCTCCCTGGCCGACTGGGGATCGAACTTGTGTGGTAGTAGCTGGAAACAGGTTGATAGCGCTGTTTTAACGCCTGCGCCACGAGGGAGGCCTATTTGGGGGCATTTTGATTGTTTCCATAATTTAGCTATTGCAAATAGTGATGCAGTAAACATAGGAGTGTAGGTTTCCTTTCAAATCGGTGTTTTTGTGTCCTTTGGGTAGATTCCTGGGAGTGGAATCTCTGGGTCATATGGTAGTGCCATTTTTAGTGTGGTGAGGGTCCTCCGCAGGCTTTCCCTAGTGGCTGGACCTGGGTTTGCCTTGCCACAAGCCGAGTAAGAAGAGGGCTCCTTTATCACCACATCCTGGCCAGCTTTTGTTTCTGCTTTTATTTAATGTGGACCATTCTCACTGGTGTCAAGTGCTATCTCATTGTGCTTTTGATTTGCTTTTCCCTGATAATTAGTGATGTTGAGCTTTTTTTTCATATGCCTATTGGCCATTTGCATTTCCTCTTTGGGGAAGTGATTTTTTAATTTTCTGGGCAGGTTTTCTACCAATCTGCATTTCTCCCTTTACTCCCATAGCTGCTCACTAAATCCTGTCTGCCTAACGTGACTCCATTGCATCTCTTCCTTTCCACTCTCTCGAGTCACCACCCTAGTACAGAATTTTATTACTGAGGAGAGCACACCCAGGCCACTCGTAAAACCCTCACTGCCCAGCACCTGAGGCACCGGAGATAAGCTGACAGCAGTAAAGAATTTCAGCAGACCCCCTCCCACAGTGAAGACCCCTCACTCGCTTGCCAAAAATTCCCTACAGTAATCTAACACTATAAAGACCCATTTTCCAGTCTGCGGGCATGATTCTCACTCTGCTGCAGCCGGGAGTGCACCTCACAGGCATCCATTAAATAAAGCCCGCTTCAGTCTGATACTGTTGGCCTCCTTTCTTTTCTCCCATTCACCACCACTACAGTGGCTCCCATTAGGTCTAGCCTCTGCTCCTTTTCCTTAATCCCTCCCCACTTTCATCTACACATTCATGCCAGGTTCACTTTCCTCAAATACTATTTCAGATTGTCTTTTGCTCCAAAAATTTTGGGTGCTCTGTTAGTTACAAGTAGATTCCGTAACCTGGCGTTTAAGACCTTGCACAGCGTGTTCTCAGCCTGTGAGAACGTCACCTTTAGGCCTTTCTAGCCTTTCTACTCCCCACTCCCCCATAGGAACTGTCTACCGCAGGCTATTTACTCACCTTTCCCAAGTAGGTTTTTTTTTCCTTTTTTCTTTTTTTTTTTTTTTTTTAAGATTTATTTATTTATGTATACAAGAGCTGGGGCACAGGCCAGAGATGTGAGGGGTAAGAGGATTCACTAGACAGAGTGGGGAACAGAACAGGCAGACTAACTGAAATACACTGCTGAGGGGAGCAGCCGGTAAGACAGGAGAGGTCTGCTGCACCATGTGGGTTGCTCCCTGGAGGGCCAGGGATCGAACTCTTGCTGCAGAGGCTTCGGATTGCTTCATAGTGCGGTGTTTAACCCCTTGCACCCCCAGGGAGGCCCTCAAGTAGGTTTTTCAAATTCTCATAAGAATATTGATGATACTCTGTTCCCACTGGTGTATAATGTATACCAACTCGTGTCTTGACCATCTATGAAAAATATATATGAAGATGTGGGCTAATGAAACCACTTGATTAGAATCCAAGTTCCTAATAAGGAAATTCTAGAGAATTCTGAATTATTATAGAGAATTCTGAATTCTGATTATTTTGGCTTGGAGAAGAATCACCTACTCAGATAGTCGAACTTTGTTTGAGGAGGATTCACGAGTACATAACCTATAATATGTATGAGATACTCAGTTATTAGAAAGGGGGAGAAAATCAAGCTTCAATACTTCTGGAAATTTCATCAATTCTGGTATTTTTTCTTTTATAGGTCCCTGATATGTGCAACAATGGACCAGAAAATTTTATCTCTAGCAACAGAAAAATCAGCAGACAGACTACAGGAATTCCTTCAAACCCTGAGAGGAGATGATGTGAGTAATAGGAACCTTGTTCTGCTGAAGGTTCATGTCAGGCATGACGAGTTCAAAGGTCATGTTAGAGAAAGTGTGACATTCTGCTTCATCCCTTCCATACCCTGTAGGAGACACAAGGTCCATTTGATAATAATTTATAGTTATAAAGAAATGGGGGCCTCCCCGGTGGCACAGCGGTTGAGCGCTGGGTTGCGAAGCTGCCCGCGGCCTCTGCGGCGCCGGTTCGATCCCCGGCTGCTCCCCGGCCACCAGAGGAGGGTCCCACATGGCGCGCAGACCTCTCCTGCCGCCCGCTGCTCCCCTCAGCAGTGTCCTTCGGTCCTTCTGCCTGCTCTGCTCCCCGCTCTGGCTCTGGTGAATTCTCTCACCCTCCCGCGCTTCTGACTGTACCCAGTGCATGTATAAACAAAAAAACAAACAAACAAACCAGCAAACAAATAAATAAAGCATGCCTCTATAAAAAAAAAAAAAAAAGAAATGGGAGAGAAGAGAAATGGTCACTTTGTGGGCATGTGTACATTTCAGTAATTGCATAACATTTGTAATACACATAGCCAAATTTCTACACTTTCATTGTTTTTAGAACACTCATCTGAAAGTAATATCCAAACTAGAGTTGATGTGAGGCATTAGATTTGCCTGTTGATGCATCTTTATATTTTTATAAGGAAAATCAGTTTATCAGGACTACCACACATAAGCCCTGACCTTTTTTTGTTTTGTTTTGTTTTGTTTTGTTTTGTTTTAAGTAGAATTGGCTATTGTAGTGGTATGGTGAAGCAGTTCTGAAGCTATTCTAGGTGTGTTCTAGGTTGTACTGCTCTGGGTGTCATGGTGTGTGTAGCAGTGGAAGGGGCACTGTGGGATGTGGGACAGCAAGGGAATCCCTGTGGGCATAGATTAGAAATGGAGATACTGCTTGAACTCAGGGTTTCTCAAATTTATATATAAATTTGTGCATGTGTATATTTGTATGTGTGGGCATACACATGCATGTATTTCCTAGCTCTGCCCACGGATCTAACAGAGATGCCACAGTAGCAACAAATACACCCACCACCCAGTTCTCTGAGAACCATTCCCCACTAGAAGGGACAAGAGCTCTTTGGAGAAATGACTGATTTTGCAGGTGGTGTAATGGGTGTAAGATGAGCCTGGAGTACTGTGTCATGCCTAAAGGTGACGTGCTCAGAAACAATGGGGTCATGTTACGAGGACATAACCGGCTTGAAGGGACTCCCATCAGCCAACCCTGGGACCATTTCAACATTAATATAATTAATCCAATTACAATCTCTAACCCATTGAAAAATGGATATTCATGAGTCCATACTGGTTTTTTTTTTTTTTTTTTTTTGGAACCTTTTTTTTTTTTTTTTTTTAAGATTTATTTATTTATTTATACAAGCACTGGGTACAGTCAGAAGCGTGGGAGGCTGAGAGAATTCACCAGAGCCAGAGCGGGGAGCAGAGCAGGCAGAAGGACCGAAGTACACTGCTGAGGGGAACAGTGGGCAGCAGGAGAGGTCTGCGCGCCATGTGGGACCCTCCTCCGGTGGCTGGGGAGCAGCCGGGGATCGAACCGGCGCCGCAGAGGCCGCGGGCAGCTTCGCAACCCAGCGCTCAACCGCTGCGCCACCGGGGAGGCCCCATACTGTTTTTTTTAAAAGATTTATTTATTTATGCATACAAGAGCTGGGGTACAGGCCAGAGATGGGGGGGTTGAGAGGATTCACCAGAGACAGAGCAGTTAACAGAACAGGGAGATTGACTGAAACACACTGCTGAGGGGAGCCGCAGGTGAGACAGGAGAGGTCTGCTTCACCGTATGGGTTGCTCCCTGGCCGGCTGGGGATCGAACTCATGCTGCAGAGGTGCGGATTGCTTCATAGTGTGGTGCTTAACCCCTTGTGCCACCAGGGAGGCCCCCATGAGTCCATACCGTTAATAAAAAATGGGAGGGGGCTCTCAGTGCTAAAACTGGAAAATGATTTTCACCATCATGATAAAGATCAAATTAGACAAGAAGCATGAGAGTGCTAACTCCAGAGAAAATTTTTTATGCTTTTCCTTTGAACTGCTTGCAGATTGATAGAAAAGTGAAAATAATAGAGTTTTCATGTATCCCTTTCCCAATATTAGCATCTAACTGGCCTTAGCAAAAAATTTAAAATGAGGAAATTAATGTTGCTATGGTACCACTGGCAAAACTTAAGATCCTATTTGGGGCCTCCCTGGTGGCGCAGCGGTTGAGCACTGGGTTGCGAAGCTGCCCGCAGCCTCTGCAGTGCCTGTTCGATCCCTGGCTGCTCCCCGGCCACCGGAGGAGGGTCCCACATGGCGTGCAGACCTCTCCTGCCGCCCGCTGCTCCCCTCAGCAGTGTACTTCGGTCCTTCTTCCTGCTCTGCTCCCCGCTCTGACTCTGGTGAATTCTCTCACCCTCCCGCGCTTCTGACTGTACCCAGTGCTTGTATAAATAAATAAATCTTTAAAAAAAAAAAAAATCCTATTTGAACGCTACCTGTAGTTTTCCCTTACTGTCCTTATGTTCCAGAATGCCACTAAGGAGACCACATTGCACTTAATTGTTATTTTCCACTGATTTTCTACAATCTGTTCTCAGTCTTTCTTTGTCTCGTGAGCTCGATAACCCTGAGCAGTATCAAGTGGTTGCATGTCCCTCAAGCAGGGCCTGTGGTATCATCTCATTGAGTTGAGGTCATGCGGCCCTGGTGGAAAGGACTGTGTAGATGGCGCCGTCCTCTTCTCACTGTGTCATGTCACGGAGCTCCAAATGCCAGTGTCATTCTTGGGGACACTGACTGCTGGATTTTTCCATTAGATGAGGGGAGATTATAGAGAGGAGCAGGATGCTTGCATGATCTTACAGTGTATTCTTACCAGTTACTGCAAAAGGATGGGGAAAGTAATTATACAGTGGGAAAATTGGGCAGTACCATTTGCTCAGAATTGACATTCTCAGTGAGGGGTGCATGGGACCCTTCAGATGTGATGTTCTTTTCTTTTTTCTTTTTGCATTTTAAAAGGACATATTTATTAGGAAGAGGAAAGAAGACAGATGCCTGCATAGTCACAGTCAGGCAGAGAGGGGAGATGCTCAGATGTGATCTCTGAGGATAAAGTATCACTTGGGTTCTGACTGAGAATATGTAAATTCAATCTAAAGGAAATGAATAACCAAAAATGAGGGCTGTTCTCTTAAAAAGAATCTATACTTTTTTGGACCATGCCATTAACTCGGTAGTTCTGGTCAACCAAGTTTAAGGAAAAGAAAAATTCAAAGCTTCCAAAATAACAAGGACACTTCATCTTACTTGGTTTGTCTGTTATGTTTTAAGATGCAATGAAAACAACATCAGAAATCCGTGGAGGACTTGGGTAGCATGACATTCAGTAATATTAATTCTTTCAGTCCATGATCACAGGGTAGCGCTTCTTTTAATCAGTTTCTTTCATCAGTGTCTTATAGTTTTCAATACAGGTCTTTCATTTCCTTGGTTAAATTTATCTCTAGGTATTCTAAGATTAATTTTTTTAAAATATACTCCTTGGGCCTCCCTGGTGGCTCAAGGGCTTAAGACGCAACCTATGAAGCTGTCCACAGCCACTGCAGTATGAGTTTGATCCCCGGCCAGGGAACAACCCACATGGTGCAGCAGGCCTCTCCTGACTCACCCGCTGCTCCCCTCAGCAGTGTACTTTGGTCATTCTGCCTGTTCTGTTCCCCACTCTGTCTCTGGTGAATTCTCTCACCCTCCACACCTCTGGCCTGTGCCCCGCTTTTGTATGCATAAATAAAAACAACAATAAATAAATAAACATGTACTCCTCTTCCGTCCTTAGTTATTATGTCTGTCTCTTGTTTCTTTGCATATATATATATATATATATATATATGTTTCTGTGTGTTTTCTTTCTCTTCTGTAAACTGAGTCAGATTACCATGTTCCTCTTCTTCATCCTTGTATCCCTAGTGCTTAGGAAAGAGAACATGCTAAAATAGTATTTGTTGGGCCTCCCCGGTGGCACAGCGGTTGAGCGCTGGGTTGTGAAGCTGCTCTCGCAGCCTCTGCAGTGCCAGTTCTATCCCCGGCTGCTCCCCGGCCACTGGAGGAGGGTCCCGCATGGCATGCAGACCTCTCCTGCCACCCGCTGCTCCCCTCAGCAGTGTGTTTCATCAGTCTGCCTGCTCTGCTCCCTGCTCTGGCTCTGGTGAATTCTCTTACCCGCCCACACTTCTGACTGTACCCAGTGCTTGTATAAATAATAAATAAATAAATCTTCAAAAAAAAAAAAAGTATTTGTTGAGTATATATTCAACAACACAACTCAATACCCAGTGCTGATTAAATACTTAGGAAGTGTTTGTAGAGTGAGTGTATAAGTAAATTTCAGTCCTGACATCCCAGCATTATATTAAGATCTATCCTGCTCTGTTTAAATAAATATGGTATTTGTGATACCTGGAGTCTCGGAATGATTTGAACCTGGTAGCTAAGTGTTTCATCGCATGGATTTAGCTTGTTGGGTCAGCGAAATTGTACAGCTTTCCCTTTGATTGCAGCTGGCTGATCTCCTGCAGAATCAGGCCTTGAAGGGAAAGGCTGCCGGAGCCCTCCTGAGAGCCATCTTCAAAGGTAATAATAATTAAGGCCACTTCTACTTCCCCTGGGCTCATTGTTAGATTTGTTTACTTTTGGCACACATTGTTATTTTTCTAACTATTTGAAGCCCCACTGGGACATTTTCTGTGTGTTTGGGAGTCTACAGATTTAGCTAAAACAGCAATCTCTTGTCTTGTGGACTTAAACCATTTTACTGAAGTGGGTTGAAGTAGCTACCTGAGATTGTATTGCTGGTTTGGGCACCTGTAAAGTGCCCATTCGCTTTATAAAATCTACTTTGGTTTCCTTGTGCTTTTAAAATTGTGGAGAAAACAGAAATGTCTAGTGCTTAGTCTGTGCTGAAGCAGGGAGGAACTGGGAACTCTTCAGGTTTAATGAAATGGAGTATCTTGGGTGCCTTATATAGATTCTTAATTCCCAGTGTGCTGTATTTGTTCCTGTGTTGTGAACAAAGGCTGGGTCTATATTACTGCAGGTTATGATTCACAATGGTTTTATAAATGGTGATAGGATAAAATTCCACAAGGTAGACATTGAAAGTGACTTTGGATTCTTCATAGATTATTTTAACTTGGTTAGTTTTTCTTCCTTGAAGTAAATTGGGTCTTCACTGTAAAAGTACAAAAACAGATCTTCCTATTCATGAAAAAAAATTTCAAAAATTGCTTGAGTCAACCTTTTGGAAACTTGCTAAATGACTTTTTGTAGAAATACTAGAGGAAAGGAAATACTGAAAAAGCAGATGCAGCTGCCTTGTAGTGAATCACAGTAACAGTTAACAGTCAGTTTCACTAGTTCACTAGTAACTTTTCTCTTGGATGGGCTAACCTGGGGCATAGCTGGCTTTTTCCACCTAATTAAAAAACACTTGAAAAGCCCAGTTTTAAAAGTAGTGTGAATTATAGTATTGTTTTAATCCTGTTAAATTGATGATGTAAAAGATCAATAGTTAGCTTACGATGACATTATTAAAAACTGGATATAGGGCCTCTCTGGTGGTACAAGGGGTTAAGACGCAACCTATGAAGCTATCGGCAGCCACTGCAGCATGAGTTCGATCCCCAGCCAGGGAGCTGACCCACATGGCACCCAGACCTCTCCTGACTCACCCGCTGCTCCCTCAGCAGTGTATTTCAGTCAATCTGCCTGTTCTGTTCCCCTCTCTGTCTCTGGTGAATCTTCTCACCCCCCACACCTCTGGCCTGTACCCCAGTTCTTGGATGCATAAATAAATAAATCTTTAAAAAAAATGGATATAACTCAACATAGTAAAAAAGTCACCCTTTTGAAGTGTGCAGTTGTTAACTGAGATATGACTGACATGTCATACATTTCACCCACTTCCATTATGCAGTTCAGTGGTTTTTAGTGTATCCATCACACAATCATTTTTAAGAATATTTTTATTACTCTTAAAAGAAACTGTACCTCATCACTGTCACCTCTCCCAACGCCCCTAACGTTAAGAAAGCACTCTTGCTGGGCCCATTCTGCATGTGTCATGTAAATGGGGTCATGTAATATAAGGTCCTTTATGGATGGCTTGTTTCACTGAGGTAAGGTTACCAGGATTCATCCCTGTTGTAACCCGTATCACTGCTTCACATTTCTAGTCATTGTATGAATTTCATTGTATGAACTTACCACATTTTTCCATTGATGAGTTGATGGACATTTAGGTTGTTTCCAATTTTTGGTATGAATAATGTAGCCCTGAAATGTGTAACAGATTTTTGTGTGGACACATGTTTCCATTTGTTTGGTATATCTCTAAGGATGAAACTGCTAGATCATAGAGTAACTCTGCTTAACTGCTAGGGGCAGCACCAGACGGTTTTGCAAAGTGACTTTGTCAGTTTACATTAACAGCCCAGGGTGAGGATGCTGATTTCCCAGCACTTGTTATTGTCTCTTATTCTAGCCATCCTTGTGGTACCTCGTTTTAGTTTTGAATCCTTTGATATACTTACTGGCTTTTTGACTCTCCTTAGAGAAATGTCTAATCAGACATTTGCACTTTTCTTTTTTTTTTAAGATTTATTTATTTATTTGTACAAGTACTGGGTACAGTCAGAAGCACGGGAGGGTGAGAAGATTCGCCAGGGCGGGGAACAGAACAGGCAGACTGATGAAACGCACTGCTGAGGGGAGCAGAGGGTGCGGCAGGAGAGGTCTGCGCGCCATGTGGGACCCTCCCCTGCGGCCGGGGATCGAACTGGCGCTGCAGAGGCTGCAGGCAGCTTTGCAGTCCAGCGCTCAACCACTGCGCCACCGGGGAGGCCCCATTTGCACTTTTTTAAAAAAGATTTTATTTATGCGTACAAAAACTGGGGTGTAGGCCAGAGGTGGGGGCGGGGCGTGAGAGGATTCAGAGACAGAGTGGGGAGCAGAGCAGGCAGACTGACTAAAATACACTGCTGAGGGGAGCAGCAGGGAGGCAGGAGAGGTCTGCTGCACCCTGTGGGTCAGCTCCCTGGCTGCGAATGGAACTCATGCCACAGTGACCGGTGATAGCTTGATAGCACTGTGAGACTTCAACCCCTTCTCCACCAGGGAGGTCTCCATTTGCACTTTAAGAAAAAAATGGTCTTTTTATTGTGAAATAATTGTTTATAAAAACTATCATAATTATTATAAACTAATTTTTAAAATTAGGGTGTAATTGTTTACTGTATTCTAAATAGAAGCCTCTTATTAAATACATAATTTGTAAAATTTTTCTCACATTCTGGGTTCGTTTGCATTTTTTTTTAGCACAGTTTTAAATTTTGATGTCCAGCTTTATTTTTTTGTTGTTTATATTTTCAGTGTTATATCTAAGTAACTATTGCTTAATCCAGGGTTATGGAGATTTATGTAATTTAATTAAGACAAAATTTTATGTAACTTTAGCTTTACTATTTAGATCTCTGGTCCATTTTAAGTTAATTATTGTATATGGTCTGAGTAGTAGTACAACTTCAACTTTCCCCATATTTTTCCATTTTAGCATTTTTATGAAAAATGTATGTAAAACAACTTTATTCCTGCATCTTTCCCATTGGTTCTTCCTTACATTTGCCCTTTTCCTTTCCTACTTGGCAGATTTGACTTTGCATTCTAGGCTTTTTTTGCGATTTTGTCCAATTTTACTTTTATTTTTTTGGGAAGATTCATTTTTATTTATGCATACTAGAACTGGGGTGTAGGCCAGAGATGTGGAGGGTGAGAGGATTCTCCAGAGACAGAGTGGGGAGCAGAACAGGCAGATCTGCTGAAGTACACTGCTGAGGGGAGCAGGGGGAGCGAGTCAGGAGCAGTCTACTGCGCCATGTGGGCCAGCTCCCTGGCCGGCTGGGGATCGAACTCATGCTGTAATGGCTGCTGATAGCTTGAAAGCACTGACTTAACCGCTGTGCCACCAGGGAAGCCTGATTTTGTCCAGTTTTAGTCCACTGATGGCCCCTTGCTGGGGTGGACGTCCACTTGGACAGTGGCGCTACTCGCCTCTCCCACTGCACAGGTCCGTGAAGGGGACACATTTCTTCCTGGAAACCTGGGCCACTTTGCCACTTTGCTGCCCTTTGTAGTGTCCTCACTTAACCTTCTGGATGACACGGGCTGAACATTGAACGTCTGTCTCAGCTCTTTGGGAAGAGGGGAAGACAGAATATCTTCCTATGAATGTGGGACAGTGCATTGAAGTGCCTTTTACAATCACAAAGGGATTAAACTTCATTTTAGCCACTGATTCTTCAGCTGTTACCACAAAAGGGAAGAGCTGTCCCCATTTTTAATAGCACTCTTATTGAGAATCAGTACTCTATAAATGTGAGAGGTTATTCCTCCATTCCCAGTTCTATTCACTTGAACTACACGTCTCTCCAAATGTCACCTCAACAGTGTTGATTAGCATAGCTTTGGAGCATATTTTAAAATTGATACATGTGAGTGCTGGGTCCATTGTGTCCCCATATGAATTTTAACATCAGCTTACCAATTTCTGCTAAGTGTTCATTGTAGTGTATAGAAATGCAGTGGTCCTCTGTGTGTTGATCTCTTATCCTGCAACCTTCCTTTACTTATTTTACTGGCTCTATAGTTTTTTGTGTGTGTGTATGGATTCCTTAGGATTTCTTAGATATAAGATTATGTCATTCATGAATAGAGACGATTTTACTTCTTTTACTTCTTCCTTTACAATTATGGGTACTTTTTATTTATTTTTTACCTAACTATCCTGGTTGAAACCTCCATACAATGAATAGAAATGGCAGGAGATGGACATCTTGTTTTGTTCCTGTCCTTAGAGGGAAATCTTTGATTTTTCATCATTGAGTATGATGTTAGCTGTGGTTTTTCCCCATAGATGCCCTTTATTAGGTAAAGGGAGTTCCCATCTTTTTCTCTAGATTGTTGAGTGTTTTTAGGGCCTTGGGTCTCAGATTATTTAAATGTTTCTCTTCTGTCTACTGAGATGACCTTGTAATTGGTAGTTTGATAATTCCATTTTCTAAATCAAACACCAAAGCTGTTTCCCCCTGCCAAGTTGCCATTCAAACTTGTAAGACTTATCTCTTTGTCTCTTTACCACCTGTTGAAAACAATAAGGTTCCCCCTGCTCTGAGGAGACTGGAGCTCTTCGGAGACGCAAAATATACACTTGCTGCATCCAGTTGGTGGAATCGGGGGATTTGCAGAAAGAAATAGCCTCTGAGATCATAGGAATACTAATGCTGGAGGTAAGGTGGGAAAATCTTTGGTTTTGGGTAGATTTGGGGAATTTATAGATAAGTTTATTGAGGGAACAAACTACATAAGCTAGCCCAGCTCCTATTTATGAGTAAGAGCTGCTGCTAAAGAGCAGAACAGTAGGCAGATGGGCCATAAGCCACCTACGATTTATGTGTCTGGTCTCGTGAACACTTTCTCAGTGAAGAGGTGGCATATCTGAGAACATCACGGCTAGAGAATTCTGACCTTTAAAATTCTTTGCAATTATAAGTTTGTATTACAGCAGAAGGAGCCATGGACACCTACAGGATCAGATCTGGGTTCCAGTGGTAATTCTGTTAATTCAGCAAAAGGCTATTTCTCAGGGATATCAAACACTTAGGTTTCTGCCTAACATTTTCTTTATCCCATGAACTTGTAGGCTCACAATTTTCCAGGACCTTTGTTGGTTGAATTAGCCAGTGAGTTTGTTGGGGCTGTCAAGGAGGGCAACCTAAAGAATGGAAAATCGCTGGAGTTACTACCTGTCATTCTCTCTGCCCTTGCTACCAAAAGGGAAACTATAACTTACGAAAAAGGTAGGTTTCTTTGAACTTTAATGGCTTTTTCTTTATTCAACTAAATTTCTTTCTTTTTTTTTTTTTTAAATCCTCCTATTTTTTTTTTTTTTTTTTTAAAGATTTATTTATTTATACAAGCACTGGGCACAGTCAGAAGCGCGGGAGGGTGAGAGAATTCACCAGAGCCAGAGCAAAGAGCAGGACAGGCAGACAGATGAAGTACACTGCTGGGGGAGCAGCGGGCGGCAGGAGAGGTCTGCGCGCCATGTGGGACCCTCCTCCGGTGGCCGGGGAGCAGCCGGGGATCAAACCGGCGCTGCAGAGGCTGCGGGCAGCTTCGCAACCCAGCGCTCAACCACTGCGCCACCGGGGAGGCCCCTAAATTTATTTCTTAGTGTATTTTTTGCATTATTAGGTGAACTGAATGGAGAAGAATGTAAGAAGCAGTTGATTAACACCCTCTGTTCTGGCAGGTGAGTCTCATTAATGTGTGGAACTATCTCAGGACCACAAGTGGCCAAAAAAGAATTAGCATTTATTGCAGGAATTTGTATCATTGAGGTTTTTTTAGTCTGATTTTTTTTTTTCATAACACTACTGCTATGAAACCATTTAGTCTGAAATGAATTTTTGAGTTTATTTACTATATTCTCTGTTCTATATCTCTGTATAATTTCTATTTATCTTGACTGTTCTTATAACTGTACAAACATTTCAATACCAATTTTTTTGAGGTTTATTTTATTTATTTATGCATACAAGAGCTAGGGTATAGGCCAGAGGTGGGAGGGCGATGAGAGACAGAGACAGGATAGGGAGCAGAACAGGCCGATCCACTGAAATCCACTGCCGAGGGGAGCAGTGGGGAGACAGGAGAGGTCTGCTGTGCCATGTGGGTCAGCTCCCTTACCTGGGATTGAACTCGTGCTACAATGGCTGCGGACAGCTTCATAGTGCTGTGACTTAACCTGTTGTGCCACCAGGGAGACCCCTCAACACCAAAACTTTTTACCAACTTAAATACACATAATAGAGAGATGTGTCAGTTATGGTATATGAGCTATGTGAGTTAAGGTAGAATTACTACATGAAACTTGTATTCATTAAAAATGAAATATATAGGGCCTCCCCGGTGGCGCAGCGGTTGAGCGCTGGGTTGCGAAGCTGCCCGCGGCCTCTGCGGCGCCGGTTCGATCCCCGGCTGCTCCCCGGCCACCGGAGAAGGGTCCCACATGGTGCGCAGACCTCTCCTGCCGCCCGCTGCTCCCCTCAGCAGTGTACTTAGGTCCTTCTGCCTTCTCTGCTCCCTGCTCTGGCTCTGGTGAATTCTCTCACCCTCCCGCGCTTTTGACTGTACCCAGTGCATGTATAAACAAAACAAACAAACAAATAAATAAAAAACATGCCTCTATAAAAAAAAAAATTAAAAAAAAAATGAAATATATAAAGGGTCCTCCCTGGTGGCTCTTGTATGAATAAATAAATCTTTTTTAAAAAATGAAATTTATAAAGATGTGCATCATAGAAAAATATTGTATAATCAGTGAAATATAGAGAATGCCAAATTATTAAGTTATGTAATACTAGGATTATGCTTGGGTCTGTCAGAAAGAACCGAAAGGGAATACTGTTTCAAGATTATCTAAGCCAGAGATAAGTGCTTTATGACTTCTTGCATATGATTCCTAATATAAATTTAGGCATGTATCAGTACATGTATGTTGATCCATTTACTAATTTTTTTTTCATTACAGTGTTTATTCGATACACGCTGTAACATACCTTGTCATTTTCATGTAATAGTTCTATTCGTGTCGACACATACAACTACATCATTCTTTGTAACAGTCCTGTGGTATGCTGTTATTATTTGACCAGTCTCCAATTGTTAGATTGTTTTTTCCCAGTAAGTCTGGTTATTTGGTTTTTGCTGTTATAGAAAGTGTTAACATTAAATATCATTATCTGTTTAGGTGAACTTTAGCAAGCATGTAAATGAGATATTTTTCTAATAGTAAGCTGGGTGGGTCTGTGTGTTATGTGCTTGTTAAAAATTGATATGTATTGCCAACATCTCTGAGCATTTTATCAGTGTACACTCCCTGAAACAGTATGTGAAAGTGTTTGTTTTGTTTTTATCAGCACTGAGTATCATCAGGTTTTGGTTTTGTCAGTCTAATAGGTTAAAAGCAAAAAAAAAAAAAAAAAAAAAAGGTTAAAAGCTGTTACTTCATTGTCTGAATTGTGCCAAATCACTTGAAGTGGCGCTACAATTTTTCTTCCTTACTGATTTTACAAAGTAGTGTGTAAGTAATTAAAGTGAGATAAACTTTGATATCTTTTGTCTTCTTCTTTAACCAGATGGGACCAGCAATATGTAATCCAGCTCATCTCCATGTTCAAGTAAGCATCATTCCCTCTTCTTACATCCTATTAGGAACCGAGATGTAGGAAGTTCAAACACTACTCTCCCCACCCGCAAGCAAACATGCTGACATCCCTGTTTTCCATTACAGGATTTCCTCTCCTCTTTTTTTGGTTTTGTTTGTAATTAATTTTTCCCCCACACGGTGACTTTGCTTAGATAAGATTATTGGTCTTCTTTGAGGTTCTCCATTAGAGGGAAAAAAAAACGAAAACAAAAAGAGTTATAATATTTTAATATTTCCCAAATTAGTCTCTGGTCTTGGCCTTTAGTATCTTTCACTCACAGGGATGTCCCCCTGACTGCAGAAGAGGTGGAATTTGTGATTGAAAAAGTGTTGAAGATGTTCTCCATGCTTAATCTTCAAGAAATACCACCTTTGGTCTATCAGCTTCTGATCGTCTCCTCAAAGGTACAAATAAAAATACCGTTTCTCTTTAACTAGGACCAGTTATTAGCTTATTCACACTCTTGGTTTTCCTGCTGTGGCATTGCTGCTTTTATTTCATGTGTGATGGTTGATCTAGTGGAAAAGGTCATGCTCCTCATCTGAGGAAACTGTACATTATCTCTTCTTCTACCACATTTTCTGTGTGTGGTACTGGAAGGGATCGCAATCTCAAAGCGCTGACTATAGACCCCTGGAACCTGGCGCTGAGATGTATTTCACACCAATTCAACATGGAAGTGTTCTAATACATTCCTAGTGTGACTCTCAGTTGTACTTTGTTAAATTTGTACTCCATAATCCTTTAAGATGAAAAGTACTTTAACTTGCTTATCTCCCTTTTTGTGTGGGTCATCTTACTATTTTGTACTTTTTTAGGGAAGCAGAAAGAAGGTTTTGGAAGGAATCATAGCTTTCTTCAATGAGCTGGATATGCAGCATAATGAGGAACAGAGTGGTGATGAGTGAGTATTATAGACTAGAAATGAAATCATTTTTATAAATTCATCTTCTCATTGTATATTTTAGTTAATTCATCATTAATCTTTCGGCTCTACTTTTATGTCAGAAAAGAACTTTCCTAGTCCTCTGCTAACTGCTCAGTAATACTGTAAAAAGAAAAAAAGTTCAAGCATAGAGCAACCTTTTCGGCTGTTTCATTTGTCCATTCTCAGGAAAACAGCAATAATTTTCTGTAAGTTGCAAATTTAAGTTATTAAATGTCTGCTCTGCACCAGAAACTATTTGACCCAAAGACTACAGTGATGCACCAGTCAGGCAAGGTCCCTGCTTTCCTGGAGTTTAAATTTTAGTTAGAACAGAAAATAAATAAGCAACAACAAAATATTATTGTTGCAGTGGCTGTGCAGATAGTTCAAATTGATGATGTGAGAGAGACAGGAGTGCCACTGTGCATCAGGTGGTCAGAGAAAGCCTCTCTGAGAAGGTGTGATTTTAATTGCAGCCTGAATGATAAGAGCCTCAATATGTAGGTCATGAAAAAGAAGGTTCTCAAGTAGTGGAACAGTTAGCACAAAGGCAGGCCCAGCATGCATATCCAAGAATGAACATTTTAAAGCTCATAAAGCTGCTTTTTAAAGCAGTTCTTTGTGGAGTGCTTACTCTGTGCCAGATGCTGTTCTAAGTAAGCACTTTAAACCTCACAACAACTCTCTTTTGCCTCTTTTATGGATGTAGGAGCCAAGGCAGAGAGAAAATAAATTTCCCAGGGTTATAAAGTGATGGAGGTGGGGTTTGAATCTAAGCAGTTTGGCTGCAGAATTCATATTGTCAATCCTGGTGCAGCCTGCTGCTTCTGATCTACAGTGATTTTCATTTGTTTCACTTCTGTCAAAGGCCTGAGTTAGGAATGGCTGACAGGAAAATAGATTTAGGGGTAAGTAAGTTCCACTAAGTTTGACACGTGTGGTAACATCCATATGGAGGTGTTGACCAGGCGGGCTGGAGCTACAGGGAGAGGTCAGGACTGGCGATAGATTTGGAGCGACTAAGCTCATAGAACTAAATGGGGTCAATTAGAGAAATTGTGGACAGAAAAGAAACCCAAGACTGAGTTTAGAAGCATTCCACTATTTAAAGGAAAGATGAGCCAGCAAAACAAATTGAGAAGAAGCCAGTGACAGTGCCCCTCAGCTAAGAGAGGAAAGTGCTTCAAAAAAGAAGTGGTCAGCCATGTCAAATTTGCAGAGACATTAATTAAGATAGGACTTGATTACTGGTTTTGGTACCATGGAGGTCATTTTGTAATGCTTGCAAGAACTGTCAGATGGCATTCAAATCTAATTGAATTGGATTTGATTGGGACAAAGTAAAGTGGAAATGATGGCTATAGACAATTCTTTGAGGAAGTTTTATTGTAGAAACAGTGAATGAGGCAGTAGAATTTGTATTTGCTGCTGGCCTTCAGTGATGGCATAGGTTTAGGTTGAGTTGATATGTTTGTTCATCTGGTCTCTTGCACAAACCATAGCTCATGCTTTCCTGTTGAATCTTTCAGGCTGTTGGATCTTGTTACCATGCCATCAGGTGAACTGCGCCATGTGGAAGGCACCGTTATTCTACATATTGTGTTTGCCATCAAGTTGGACTGTGAACTAGGCAGAGAACTCCTGAAACACTTGAAGGTAGCATGAGACCTTGTGGTAATCCAGATCTCTTCATGAGTCAAGGGCATTTGAACTCAGGCCTCTAAATGCCTGTTAGTTAGTAACAGGAAACCAGTAGGAGACTTGTGGTATGATCCTGGGCCTGAAGGAGCTCTTCTTTGCTCCTGGAAAATAGAAAATATATGATGTCACCACACTCTTAAAACCGTACTTTAAAACCATACCTTAAATATTCTAGTTTTTTTTTTTGTTTTGTTCTGTTTCTTTAGCGCTTGTTTATCAAGAAAGTCAAAATCTAATCTTAGCTCTGTATTACAGGCCCTTCAGCCTCAACCTCTGGTTCCCATTTATGCATTGGGAATATTAGCTATTTCTAATAGTGTGTGGGGTTTTGTGAAGCTAAGTCATTCATCTGATATCTGTGAAATAGTAAGATAAAAATCAAATAGATATGTAATGAGCTCTTAAAATTAATATACAGATAAAGGGTTTGTTTTTTCATCCAGCTTTTTATCTTGAGAAGTTTAACCCACAGAAATGTTGGAACCCTGGCATGATGAACACCTATATACCCCACGTTCACCAGCTGTATACCCCACAGTTCACCAGATACTTGGCCACATTTACCTTATCTCGCTTTCTCACATATTTCTTTCCATTTGAAAGTAAGTTGCAGAAATCATGGCACTTATGAATGCCTGAATACTCCCACATGCATCTCAGAATAAGGATAAGTATCTTTTAAGTGAAGTTTTTCAAGCATCCAGCCAGTTGTTTTGTGTCTCACATTGTTAGATTTGTCTGTTTCCTCTTTCCTAGTGATTGGATTGAAAGTAAACATCTAAGCAAGAATGCCTTCTAAGTGATCTTGTATACTCTCCCTTATAGGGTCAGCACACTTCTGCAAGGGGCTGGATGCTGTTTTAGTCTTTGTGGGTCATATGCACTCAGAGCTTCCTCAGCTCAACATGGGCACTGAAATGTGAATTTTATTTAATTTTCATGTATCTGGAAATTATTCTTTGATTATTTTTTTTCCCGACCAACAGTTAAAAATGCAAAAACCAGTCTTAATTTGTGAGCTATCCAAAAACAGGCACAGCCTATTTCTGGTCTGGAGGCCCTGGTCTGCCGACCCCTCTTCCTTTGCATTACACCAGGAGGCTTGCAGCACCAGGCTGTCCTGCTACTGGTGATGCAGCATCATTTGGTTAAGATAATGACCATCTGTTTTCTTCATTTGCAAAAATATGTTTCCCTTTGTAATTAGAAAGCAATCCTTGGAGTTGTGATTGGAGATCATGTGAAAATCTTTTTCCTTAGCAACCTCTCACAAAATGGTTTTTTTTTCCCCATCTACTAATGAATGATTCTTGACCCAAATCAGTATTTTTGCTGGGAGTTGCAAAGTTGTAGAATTAAAGAAAAATTTTTTAAATGTAATTCTATCATTCTCTCTGTATTAAAAGCTGTCTCCTACTCAAAGAACCTCCCCTCCCTATTTTTTAGTATAATTGGTATTTATGAACTCTTGAAAATTTAGTGTACTCGTTATGCATTTCTGTCTTTCGTTATTTTGCTCCTCAGAGTGACCCAGATTTGACCCATTGGATCTTTCCAGTTGGCTTCTTGTCCTCCTTACGTGACTCCCATCAGTCTTTGAGTGCTTCTGAGGCACATGTTGTTCAGGGCTCTCCTGGTACTTTGCCCATTTTGGATGTCAGCCATTTGACTAGGGAGCCGTGTGTCCCTGTTGTAGAAGATAGAAATGATGTGGGAACTAGATTTAAAGCTCCTTTATCTTCTCTAATTTGTTTGCTTCTTTTATTCAGGTTTATAATAACTGATAACTGTGTTACTGTCTTTCCAAACTTTGTTTTTTATTTGGTGTTCTGTTAGTTTTCTCTTTCATTCACCTCTGATTTTATGTATTCATTTTTTCTTTTATTTTGCTACTTGGGTATCATTTAGGCCTCAGAGACCTGTTCTGAAAAATTTTATCAGGGTACATTATGTGTAAAATTCACCCATCTCCAGGGCCTCCCCGGTGGCGCAACGGTTGAGCGCTGGATTGCGAGGCTGCCCGCAGCCTCTGCAGTGCCGGTTCGATCCCTGGCTGCTCCCCGGCCACTGGAGGAGGGTCCCACATGGCATGACAGACCTCTCCTGCCACCCGCTGCTCCCCTCAGCAGTGTACTTCGGTCCTTCTGCCTGCTCTGTTCCCCACTCTGGCTCGGTGGATTCGCTCACCCTCCCGCGCTTCTGACTGTACCCAGTGCTTGTATAAATAAATTAATTAATTAAAAAAATTCACCCATCTCTACTGTACAAATCAGTGATTTTTCATAAGTTTACCTAGTGCAGCAGCCAACACCACCTCCAGCTTTGGAACATCCTCATCACCTCTGAGACCCTCAAGCTCTTGCCGTAGTCTACATCCAGCCCCAGCAATGCACTGCTCTACCCTCTCTCTCTCCAGACTCACCTTTCCTAGCATCTCGTGCAGGTGGCACCATACACAGCATGTTCTTTTATATGTGACTTCTTTCATGTAGCATGATGTTTTCAGGTTTCATCCATGTTGTAGCACAACAATGTCAGTGTTTCACTCCTCTTATTGTTGACTAGTATTCCGTTGTCTGCATAGACCAGTCTGTGCAGTCATTCATCGGTTTCTGACATTTGAGTATGCCCTTTCGGGCTGTTGGGAGTAATGCTGTGATAAACATGCGAGTCTTTGCTCACGTTTTCATTTCTCTCGGGTAAGTTCCTAGGAGTGGGATTTCTGGGTTGTGTGATATACTTATGTTTAAACTTTTAAGAAACTGACAGAGTTCCTCAAAGTGGCTGTATCATCTAAATACCCACTAGCACTATGTGGGGTTCCTCTTTCTCCACATTCTGACCAATGTTTGTTACTACCTGTTGTTTTGTTTGTTTTTTCCCCTAATTTTACCCATCCTAATGATGTGACAGAATATCTTAATGAAATTTGACTTTGTACTTCTTTAATGACTAATGGTAACTGGGCATCTTTTCACTTGCTTATTAGCTGTCCTAAAGTCTTCTTAGGTGAAATGTCTATTCCAGTCTTTCGCCCATTTTTTGTTTGTGTATCTTATTGACTTGTCAGACTTCTTTGTACATTCTGGGTACAAGTCCTATATCACGTATGTAGTTTTAGCAAATACATTTTTTCCCTCATCTGGCCTGTCTTTTCATTTTCTTACTGGTGTCTTTTGAAACACAGAAGTTCTAAAGTTCAAAGAGGTCCAATTTATCCTTTTTTTTTCTTACAGAAATTATGTTTTTAGTAGTATTGCTATGATATCTTTGCCTAAACTAAGGTCTTAAGGATTTTCTGTGTTTTCCTTTAACGTTTTATAGTTTTAGTTCTCATATTTCGGTGTCTCTGACCCATTGAAGGACCTACTCTGTTAGACTTTGAAAATGTAATGACTTCTTTTTGGTTTATCCGTTCTAGGCTGAACAGCAAGGAGATTTCAGTAATAATATATGTCCCTTCAGCATTGCCCTCCTGCTCTCGGTAACGAGAATACAAAGATTTGAGGAACAGGTACTTACTAATGATTTTTTGATTCCTTCTATGTTTCAATGGAAGTCAGGCTGTTTTTAGGCCATCCTTTCCTAAACAGCTGTTCCCATGCAGCCAGCAGTACATTCCTCTGCTAGACTTCTAGGCCCACACTGTGCTAGCGGGCTGTTTGAAGATGTCTCTAGTTACTTGGTTTATGCCTCCATTTCCAGTTGTGTGGTCAACCAGGTGGTAGGATAGGAATAAGAGTGGGAAAATATCACACAGTTAAGTAGCAAGAACAGAATTTTAGCAGAATTCACTTGCGAAATTACTATGTTGTAACTTTCCAAGAACTTGTTCCTGATGGAGTTGTAATTAACTTAACATAGGGTAGTTTCAAGGATGAAAATACAAAATGCTTTACTCCTTTTTTTACTCGTGTATTTTATGGTGTGAGTAATATTAATACTGATTTTTAGTCCATTTCCTCTCTTAAGGAAGGCCTGTCTTCAACTCAAGTTCCCATGGGCAGTCATCATTTCTGTATCATACTTAGTGAAGAGTTGCAGGGCTCAGAGTGTGTGGCAGCAAGTAGATGCAGCTCCACAGGGTTAAGATTCTATAGTATGGGCTGTCATTTTTGCTTCATTTTCCCATTTCTTTCATTATATTAGGTGTTTGACCTTTTAAAGACTTTGGTTATAAAAAGCTTTAAGGATCTTCAGCTTCTCCAAGGATCAAAATTTCTACAAAATCTAGTCCCTCATAGAACGTGTGTTTCAGCCATGATCTTGGAAGTGGTAAAGAGTAGGTGAGTTGGTGAACCGTGTTCTAGTAGGTTCTTACTTATGGCCATCAGGAACTATAACTGTGGGCTTCACCTGTCAAGGTTCAGTCCTTTAAAGTTCGTCAAACTGACTTTCTCTGTCTTGAAACGTTCTTAAATCCTAAGACCTGATTTCTTGGCCGAGAGTATGAAACCGAAATAGATATTTTTACTCCTTTCCTGATATTACAACTTTTTATTGGCTTGAGTTTTCATTGACATTTAGATGAGCAAAAAAAAAAAAATTTCCGGATTTGTTGAAATTTGGTGCTGATGCTTGTAAGTATCAGTTTTACACAGTTGACTAGCAGTTTTAGACAAACCCATTTAAAGTCAAGCTGAAAAGACTAGTAACCATCCTGATTATTATTTTAATTTTAGGATATGCATTGGCTGGGTAGTAGTCCTTATGATGTGATGCTTTGTCTACGGATTAAATATATTTTTTGAGTTTTATTATTTAAACCATAATTTTAAGGTAGATCTCATTTCAGGTCTGGGAATTCTGATTTACATTGAATTTACATGTCAAGTTTGGGCAATGTGCAACTTGGCAATACATACAAAGTAAGGTAACCACTAAGTTTTCTTTTTAACTAAGCTTTGTCTTCTTGCAGTGTTCATAGTTGGGATCATGTCACTCAGGGCCTTGTTGAACTTGGCTTCATTTTAATGGATTCATATGGACCAAAGAAAATTTTTGATGGAAAACCAATAGAACCCAAAATGCCAAACCAGCAGGCATGTAAGCTGGGAGCTAATATCCTGTTGGAGACTTTTAAGGTGAGACTGGTTTGGCAACCATTCCCTAATTCTGTGAAATTATATTATGAATACGGCATGCATGGCATTTGCCTGGGAGTTTGGGTGACAAGGGCATCTTAGTCTGTCGCCGTTTCTGGGAACAGAGGTTGGCATAGTGTTGGAATACTATAGATCCAGTTTGATGGATTATTTACTTTCTTATCCTTTATTTTATGTAAGTTTTCCACACTAGATTCAGTTGTATCTGGCCATTTCTTACAAGTTTCAATATGATTTTGTTTTCTCATGATTTTCTCTTCCTCTTGCAATAAATCATTCCTGGGTTTTTCTTTTTTTAATGGTATTCCCCTATGCAAAAAGCTATCTTTCAGGGATGTCTCCTTGGTGGCACAGGGTAAGTATCAGTGCTAGCGAGCTATTGCTGGCCACTGCAGCACAAATTAGATCCCTGATCTCAGCCAGGGAGCTAACTCACACCACGCAGCAGACCTCTCTGTCTTGCCCACTGGTCTCCTCAGCAGTCTATTTCAGTACATCTGCCTGTTCTGCTCCCCACTCTGTCTCCAGTGAATCCTCTCACCCCTGTACCTCTGGCCTAGATCCCAGTTCTTGTATGCATAAACCAATAAAATAAATCTTTTAGGAAAAAAGTTATCTGGAACTAAACTTTGACTTGCTAGTGATTCCGTTAAGTCATCTTCTCGACATTCTGTTATGTAGTATAGCTGTGTTCCGAAAGTGCCTCCTAAGAATGTTACTCAGGGCCAGTTTACATGTGAAGTTAGGGTTGTGCTACAGAACTGGGAGTGATTGCTTGCACTAGTCCTTGAGAGTTGTGTGTTACAGGATATACATGACTCTTCTTAACAGTAAACTGACTTAAAATATTCCTAGAATAAGAGACATTAATGGTTTTTTGTTTTTAAATATTTTTAAAATTTAGATAGTTCTGCTTGATTTCACATAGATGTTGACTTTGTCAAGACATCTCTAGAGCAAATAATTTACCACTAAGTTTAACAGGTAGTCTCCCACAATTTTTTTTTTTAATTTATTTATTTATGCATACAAAAGCTGGGGTGCAGGCCAGAGGTGCAGGGGGTGAGAGGATTTACCAGAGACAAAGTGGGGAGCAGAAGAGTCAGAGCCACTGAAATCCACTGCTGAGGGGAACAGTGGGGAGACAGGAGAGATCTGCTGTGCCATGTGGGTCACCTCCCTGGCTGGGGTTTGAACGCATGCTGTAGTGGCTGGTGGTAGCTGCGTCTTAACCCCTTGCGCCACCAGGGAGGTCCGGTTTCCAGAAATTTTCATGGACCTTTAAAATTTGAAATTAAAGTTACACGTACTGTTACAAACATGGACGTTGGCGTGTGGTGGACACTCAAGTAGAGCTGCCCAGTGTGGTACTGGACCCCGTGTGTAGTAAAGCTTGCCTGTGGTCTGTGCTGTAAGCCAATGAGCAGGCCCAGCTGTGGAGTCGTCTGAACATGGAATGAGGGCAGAGTGAAGTGATTCTTTCTACACATGACTCCTGTTATGTTTGTCTTTGACATAAGCAGTTGAGTTTTACCCCTATCCCGATTGTTTATTCTGTCTAACATGCATTTGTAAACTGAAGGTGACAAAAGGTTACTTTATTGTTTTTTCTTCTTGTTCTTGTGTAGATCCATGAGATGATCAGACAAGAAATTCTGGAGCAAGTCCTCAACAGGGTTGTTACCAGAACATCCTCTCCCATCTGCCATTTTTTAGGTATTGAACTCAGAGTAGATCAAACCCTCAGAAAAATGTTTATTTAAATACCATGTTTTGGTTTTAGAGAGAATTTTTTAATAATATAATTTAATCTTATATCTTTGATTATGACGCCAGTAATATGTGTCTGCTTATATTCCCTGTGGTTATCAAGAAACAAACAGACATATCACTCGTTATTGAACTTGTCTCTGGAATCAACTTTCTCTTTTTTTTGTCTTAATACATCTGAACAAATGAACACAGTGTTTCTACCACTCAGGACCTTCCGTTGTCTTAACCCTTGGGATTCCGATGCCAGACTCCTCTCTTTAGTGATCTCTGAATTTAATACACACCTCCTCACACCGAAATGGAGTCGTCTTTCCATAGTGACCATCACTGTTTACAACTCCCCTGAAATATTCTTAGATATGTTCTCTGATACCCATAATAGTTTGTTTCTTCTTCTGCCTCCAATCTGGTCTGCTGTCTATCACTGTAGATGTTATTTTTTGAATTTTATGGAAATGCAATCTTACATACTTTTCAGTCTGACTTCTTTCACCATAACATTTTTTATACAGCTGATCTGTTCATGAATTCTTTTGTATATCACAAAATGTCTATTTTGTATTTTTTTGGAAGATTTTTTCGCTTAGTATAGAATTGTACATTGAGGTTTTTTCTTTTTCTTTTTTTTAAGATTTATTCATTTGTTTATACAAGCACTGGGTACAGTCAGAAGTGCGGGAGGGTGAGAGAATTCACCAGAGCCAGAGCGGGGAACAGAGCAGGCAGAAGGACCGAAGTACACTGCTGAGGGGAGCAGCAGGCGGCAGGAGAGGTCTGCGCGCCATGTGGGACCTTCCTCTGGAGGCCAGGGAGGAGCCAGGGATCAAACTGGCGCTGCAGAGGCTGTGGGCAGCTTCGCAGCCCAGCGCTCAACCGCTGCACCACCGGGGAGGCCCCTGAGGTTTTTTCTTTATTAAAGATGTTACTTTACTGTCTTGTGGCTTTCACTATTTCCAATAGAAGTCTGCTCGCTTATTTTTTGTTCCTTTCTGTGTAATTTCTTTGACTGCCTTTAAGATTTTTTTCATATCAGGGCCTCTGTGGTGGTACAGGGGTTAAAGTCTCAGCACTGTCAGTCTATTGCCAGCCACTGTGGCCTGGGTTTGATCCCCCAGCCAGGGAGCTGACCCCCATGGTGCTGCAGACTTTTCCCATCTTGCCCGCTCCTCCCCTTAGCAATGTGTCTCAGTCTGTCCGCCTGTTCTGCTCCCCACTCTGACTCCAGTGGGTCCTCTTAATCTGCGCACCTCTGGCCTGCACCCCAGTTCTTCAGACTGGGAGTTTTTCCCTCCCCTGAGAATGGGGAGAGGGGGAAATTCACTACAATTAGAATGTATGGTACAGAATTTCATGTAAATAAGGTGTGCCAGCAGTGTGATAATGTAAAATGTATTTTTTTTAAAGATTTATTTATTTATTTATACAAGCACTGGATACAGTCAGAAGCATGGGAGGGTGAGATAATTCACCAGAGCTAGAACAGGGAACAGAACAGGCAGACTGGCGAAGTACACTGCTGAGGGAAGCAGGGTCTGTGGAGAGGTCTGCGCGCCATGTGGGACCCTCGCCCGGCGGCCAGGGGTCGAATCGGCGCTGCAGAGGCTGCAGGCAGCTTTGCAACCCAGCGCTCAACCGCTGCGCCACCGGGGAGGCCCCTAAAATGTATTTAAACAAAAAGGACGAATGCACAAACTTACTACTGCTTACATCACTGCAGCTTCTTTTACTGATTTCAAAACAAAACAAAGGCCTCCCTGGTGGCCTAGGGGTTAAGTCTCAGTGCTATCACCACTACAACCCGAGTTCAATCAACCCGAGTTCAATCTCAGGCCCAGGAGGTGACCCACCCCAGGCGCAGCAGACCTGTTCTTTCTTGCCTGCTGCTCCCCTCAGCAGTGGATTTCAGTAGATCTACCTGTTCTGCTCTCCACTGTGTCTCTGGTGAATCCTCTCACCCTCCACGCCTGTGGCCTACATCCCAGTTCACACACAGACACACACACACACACGTGCCTGAAAGAAAAAAAAACTAGTCTGGCACTTGCTAGGCAATAAACCATGTCTGAGATTATTAGATATTTGTATTTTGTATTTACTTCTTTCATCTTTTAAAAGAATTTATGCTTTTATTGTATGCTTCTTATAGGTCCATATTACACTTGCACATAATGAGTGTTCATAAATACTTAGCTTGGATATGTGAAGACTGTGTATGCTACTTGGCTGGGCAGTGCAATAGGTTTCTGCCCTTTCAGTTTAATTTTTGTAGTCATGTACTATCACAGACCAATGTTAAATGTCCTGGTCACACCTACTGTAGAGAAAGTGTATAGTATCGGTAGAAATTTATACTGCAGTATGATTAACTTCTTTGAGAAGGGAAGCAAGAACAGTTATGTCATTTTTTTCTCCATATTTCTTTCGTTTATTTGAAATATTTCATTATTGGAGGCAACTGACTAGAAATTTTGTATTTTCAGACCTGCTTTCAAATATCATCATGTATGCACCTTTAGTTCTTCAAAGTTGTTCTTCTAAAGTCACAGAAGCTTTTGATTATTTGTGCTTTCTGCCCCTTCAAACTGTGCAAGGGCTACTGAAGGCAGTGCAGGTAAATTTTCTGACTCCTATGGTGCTTGCCAAACTGAGGTTGAACTGAAAGTGGAAATCTGATGTCTAAGAAATCCTGTTTCCCTTAATTGAAAACACAAAACTTGAAATTAAAAGAGTTTAGCACTGAGCTCAACTGTTTTGCAAGTTTACTTTCTCTTTATGGCATTACTCTCTTTTGACTTATTTTCATTAGTGAAGTAATTGAAATGCTCTTAGAAAATTACTGAGAACAATAAATGTAAAGTCATTCACAACAAATTTCAGTTTAGTATTTCAGATTATACTATTGTCATTAGTTAAGTGTAGTAAACATTGAAACATATATATAAAACAAAATCAAAGTTCCTTGTATAAGCCAGATGGTAGTGGCATGGGATAGAAGTGAGCAAAGGCCAATAAATTTGTTCTGGTTTTACCTACTGATTCTTCCTCTTTTAGCCCCTTCTCAAAGTCAGCATATCAGTGAGAGACTCCCTGATACTTGTCCTTCGGAAAGCTATGTTTGCCAGGTAAGCAGCATCCCATGATAATGTGGGGGTGATGCCTTCCGGTGTTGATTAAGTCCTCTGCCATCTCCTAGTATCACAGCTGTTCACAGCGGTCACTCAGAGGCCTAACCTGAGAGGAAGAAGCCAGTGTGCCCAGTGTTGTATGTGCTTCATCTCATGCAGTCTCCAAGCAGGTTTAGGAACCATGAGTGACTATAGTTCCCTTGTTACAGGAGACTAAGTGGTTTTCCAAGGGTCAAACAGGTGGTGGCGGCGCTAGGATTTGAGTGTGCCATCTCAGGTATTCTGCGGTGTACTCTAGAGTATCCTTCAAGCTATGTTCCATTGCCAAGTACTTTGAAATGAGAACTGTAAACAGTTCTGAAGAGGAAAACCCCTTAAACTTTAGTGAATTTCAAAATCATGGTCCAGTGATTATAGATAAAAGAAATTGTCAAGGTATCGTGGAGGGGTTTTTTTGGCTCAGCCAGTACTTCTAAATCTCTCTTCCCTTATTTCTTAGATATAAGCTAGAGATGATAAACCATCTAAGAAAACACTAAGACAAGTCACACGTGGGAAGCTTTTGTTTGTATAAGATACCCAGTTGGTGTCTGGCCATACTGTAATGTGCTCATGGCTCTCCAGAGGAGCCAGAATTAATGAACTTTTGTTAATCTCTTCCCAGAGGCATGTCTGATAGGCCAGGGTGTATACTGCAGCCTTTAGAACATGAATTAGTCATGCCTCAGTAAACTTGGTGTATCCTTTTTCTGGATGGAAGGTTTATAAGGCGACATTATAGGAAGAAGGGGCGTGCTCCTTCAGACAAGAAATCCTGTCTATTCAACCCTTCACGTTTGCACTACTAGCCCATCATGCTGCCTCTCAGCACTCTGTTCTCATGCCCCACATTCACCTGTCAGCAGGTAGAATAAAGCAGTGGCGTGAGTTACAGAGATAATAGCTCAGCTGAATCTCTGTGCTGCTAATCGCTGTGAGCAGCTGATGCCTTATTTCATGAAATAAGGTGTACATAAGTTCACCTTGTTTTGCTCTGTATTTCCTTGTTTACACTTATTTCCCCTCTGTGGGACTAACTGGATTTTCTGACCAGAGCCTATACCTGTGAGGTTAGTCCTGTTTGTTAACTTTTTCATGGTCTGTTCCTGAGCTAGCCAGCTTGATGCCAGGAAGTCTGCAGTTGCTGGGTTTTTGCTACTCCTGAAGAACTTCAAAGTCCTAGGCAGCTTGTCGTCCTCGCAGTGCAGTCAGTCTATCGGGGTCAGCCAGGTGAGTGTGGCTCATATCAGCTGCTGTGTGCACCATGCGGGCGTGTGTCATGTGCAAGCTGATCGCCTCTCCTTGGTGGGTGTACGAATGACCCTGAAATGGAGTCTGATGATGACAATACCAGCTGCCACTCACTAGCGGCAGATTTGCTGTCTGCTGACATGTGCTGCTTGCTAGTGTGGCCACCACTGCCTCACTGGGGCTGTCGAACTGAACACAGGACCAAAACAGGTGGTCGTGAGCTGTGCTGTGTGTATGAAACACAAGAAAGTAAAATACTTTATTAATCTTTTATTTTGATTACATGTTGAGATAATAATTTGGCTATGTTGGTTTAAATAAAATATTGAAATGTCACCGTTTCTTTTTCCTTTTTCTAACTTGGCTATTAGAAAATATTAAATTGCACGTGTGGTTTGTGTTACGTCTCGTGGGCACCACTGCTCGTCATGCTAAATGCTTTACGTGCATTACCAGTTGCTCTTCACAGGACTCCTGAGCAAGATACAGACTGTTATCCCCACTTTGAATATTTTATTTACTTTGCATACGAACATCTATTAAACTCTGCAATCTGAGAAAGCAAGACTTTTTATAAGAATATGCTTATCTTTCAGGCAGTACTGTCTTCAAGATTATTAATATTGAATAGATGCCTGTAAGCTGTGTACTGTACAGTTGTGAGTGAGACATTTATAGAGCAGTTGCAGTAGGAATCCTTTTTTTATTGGTATGGTATAACTATAAAACTTGTCTATAAACTATTGCATAGGTTAAATATTAGGAACACTAGGTATCATTTATGTATTATTATCTTGATTTTAAGAATAAGGATTCAGAAAAGTTAAATAATTGGCCCCAGGCAATATAACCAATAAAGGGAAGAACTGGGATTTGACCTCAGTCATTATTAACAGCCTCACTAAGTGCCTGCAATGAGGATTAGCAGTTCTTCAATTTCCTAAATTTAATATGTAAATCAAATTAAGGGATATTACTCTTTGTCATGTCTGTTTCTAGACTAAAAGTTACCTCTAAACCATAGAATTTTGTGGAGGCAAAAAGAACTTGATTCTTTCAGATATTGAAGACAATCCAGTGCATTTTAGTGCATTTCAGATATTGAAAACAAATCCACTGCATTGTGATCAATATTGGAACACTCCTTTCAGGTGCACGTGGACGTTCACAGCCGCTACAGTTCTGTTGCCAATGAAACATTTTGCCTTGAGATCATGGACAGTCTGAGAAGATGCTTGGGCCAGCAGGCTAATGTCCGACTCATGCTTTATGAGGTAAAGCACCAAGTGAAAAGAGCGTAGCACTGCTCCCAATCCTTTATTTTAGTGATTTTTTTCCCCCCGAATATAAAAGTATAAGAAATATGCTTGTGTTTGTTGCAATTAGAACCAGTAATTTGTGATGCTGAGCTGAAAGTTGCTTATAGGGGCAGCTCTCCTGCCCGCCTGTGACTATGCAGGAGCCTCTTTCTCCCATTCCTAATAAACCTGTCCTTTGATTTATTTTTAATAGATTTTTTTTATTTATGCATACAAGAACTGGGGTACAGGCCAGAGGTGTGGGAGGATGAGAGGATTCACCAGAGACAGAGTGGGGAGCAGAACAGGTGGATCTACTGAAATACACTGCTAAGGGGGGCAGCGGGGAGACAGGAGAGGTCTGCTGCGCCCTGTGGGTCAGCTTCCTGGCCGGGGATGAAACTCATGTTGCAGAGCCTGCAGATACCTTCATTGTGCTGAGACTTAACCCCTGTGCCACCAGAGGGTTAAGCCTATCCTTTTAAAAAGTTAAGGGAAAAAATTGCTTAAGGTAAGAAATATAGAGTCATTAAAACACTTTAAAATCTTTATCTTATTTTGAAATATATAAATACATTTAATTTTCTGTTCTTTTATTTAAAAATCAAGTACTTTTGTATTGTTTTGCATATGAGTGCCAGTCGGAACTTCCTGTTTCTCAAACAAACCATGACCTTAACTTATTGGCTATAATTTCAAGTTTTTGTTTACCTAAAGTGGGATTAAAAAGTTTAAGACACTCGATACCATCTTAGTGTAGAATCCTTATAGTGTTCAGTATTTTCCCCATTTTTTTATAATTGCCTTACCCCAATTCACCAGAAATTGGTTTCAGTGATATATTCTCATTTGCATCTTTCCAAACATCTGCCTCAATTTTTATAGAAACTTTGTCTTTTTGCACTTAACTTCCAACAGCTTACAAAATGATTATTATGTGATTATGTAGTTAAATCACATAATTATGATGTCTGTGCAATTAGTGAAAAATTAATGGAACAAATACAGCTACTGGCTTGTGGTCAGCACATAATTCAGCCAGAGGGAACAAGCGTGCACATCATGGAGGGGCACTGTAGTTTTTGGCTTTCTGGGAGCCGTGCACTCCAGCGTTCACACGCACGGATGGATAGTGGCACACAGCGTAGCACAGAGGTTAAATGGAAGTCATTTCAGAGAGCAATTATTAAAATACCTTCATTTGACAGTCTTAAAATGCAGTCGTTGTTGGGCACTGTGTTTAATTCTCATTATTTTTTTTTTTTTTAAAGAGGCACGTATTTTATTTATTTATTTGTTTTGTTTTGTTTATACATGCACTGGGTACAGTCAGAAGTGCGGGAGGGTGAGAAAATTCACCAGAGCCAGAGCGGGGAGCAGAGCAGGCAGAGGGACCGAAGCACACTGCTGAGGGGAGCAGCGGGCGGCAGGAGAGGTCTGCGCGCCATGTGGGACCCTCCTCTAGTGGCCGGGGAGCAGCAAGGGATCGAACCAGTGCCGTGGAGGTCGCGGGGAGCTTCGCAACCCAGCGCTCAACCGCTGCGCCACCGGGGAGGCCCTTAATTCTCATTATTTTTGGACATTTTTGTCGTTTCTACTTTTTTCAGTGTGAATATTGTACCTTAGTGTTTAATCATAATGCTGGATTACAGGTGTGAACATTGTAAAGTTTCTGGCAAGCATTGAATTTTATTTAATCACGAAAGTTACCTTTGTTGAACATTCATTTGTGGTTAAAAGAAAAAGAATCTTAGAACCTTCTTGCAAACTAGAATTAGAGGGAATTTCTGCAACCCGATAAAGCCTACATGTAGTATAAATGGTGAAAGGCTGAATGATTTGCCTCTTTTCATGATTGGCACTTCTATGCAGCATTATAGTGACATTCTTACCCAGTGCAACAAGATGAAAAAGAAAACCAGCCATATAGACTTGAGAGGATGAAGTACAGCTGTTGCAATTTGCGTATTATACATAGACAACACTGAAGACTAGAAAGTGAGTTTAGCTAGGTTTAGGTCATGGGGCACAGGATCAATATCATTGCAAAAATCAGTTTAGTTCCATATACTAGCAAGGAATGATTGGAAAATAAAATAGTTACAATAAATAAAAGTAAAATATTAAATATTTAAATAAAATTTTAATGTTAAATACATGGAGTGATGCAATGTTCACAATGGATTGATGGCTTACATACTTTTATTTATTTATTTTTTTAAAGATTTATTTATGCATATAAGAATGGGGGTACCGGCCAGAGGTGCAGGGGGTGAGAGGATTCACCAGAGACAGAGTGGGGAGCAGAACAGGAAGATTGACTGAAATACACTGCTGAGGGGAGCAGCGGGGAGACAGGAGAGGTCTGCTGCACTATGTGGGTCAGCTCCCTGGCTGGGTATGGAACTTGTGCTGCAGAGGCTGCAGATAGCTTCATAGTGCTGACACTTAACCCCTTGCGCCACCAGGCTTTTTCTTATAGATGAACTGTGCAGCCTCTTTCCCAGGTTCCGAAACAAAGTTCTCCCTAGGATTTTACTCTGAGCAATTTTTGACTAAGATTGGAAAGTGTGGGATGGAAGAAATGTCAATCATTTCCATTAAGGCACTTAGGACCAGGAGGCACATTTGAGGCACTGGAAACTTAACTGACAAGTCCTCAAAAGGAAGGCTGCAAATGTGGGTAAGAGAAAAAGAATGAACGCTAGGACGTCCCTGCTGTGGACAGGCGAAGTGCCCCAAAGCCAGTAGTGACCTTTGCTGAAAATTGTGAGGACTGTGGTGCCTTTATAATCCACTTCTCAGTGATCAAAGATGTCTTCTTACCTTAGGAGGATAACTGAAACTTTCTAAATTGTTTTTCCTCTAACAAATGTGGTCTCCTTCTTTTTCAAGGAACTGAAAATAAGGTAAACTTAATGTTATTTTAAAATTAAGATTGTCCAAATCAGGCCTCCCACGTGGCACAGGGGTTAAAGTCTCAGTGCCCATCAAGCTGTATTGGCAGCCACTGTGGCCTGAGTGCAATCCCCGGCCAGGGAGCTGACCCACAGGGCACAGCAGACCTCTCCTGTCTCCCCGCTGCTCCCCTCAGCAGTGTATTTCAGTAGATCTGCCCCTTCTGTTCCCCACTCTGTCTCTGGTGAGTCTTTTCATCCCCCGTACCTCTGGTCTACACCCCAGTTTTTTGTGTACATAAAGAAATAAAAATAAATCTTAAAAAAAAAAAAAAAAGATTGTCCAAATCCCTATTAACTTTGTTAGAGCTTATTTGTTCTCTATTTAATTCCTTTTAGGGCTTCTACGATGTCCTTCGAAGAAACTCTCAGCTAGCTAATTCAATCATGCAGACCCTGCTCTCACAGGTAAAATATATTTTTATAGAAAAAGAAAACAGATAATGAGAGATTGAAATATGATCAACATGTTTCAGACTTGGTGAAATACAAAATAATTCTAACTAGTATGTTGTGAGTCTGCTTGGGATCTAGAGGGTCGTCTTATTCTCTCACCACTCACTTTCCCGCCATGTTGCTGTCCTCTAGCAGTCAGCTCTCAGCTCACGGTCCATATCCTTAGTCACCGGACATTTTAATGAACCCACTGTACAGGGCTGTCAGCTGCTCCGTTCTGGTTTACTCCTGGGGAATAGCACTGGAGCCAGTACAGCAAACTGTTGACATTTGTTAAATCTTAGTGACAGATAAACTGGCGGCTATTAGGGTTTTTTTTGGGACTTTGCACTTTAAAAAATTTTCAAATTAGGAAATATTTTAAAGGACCATGAAGATAAGAATTAAGCTGGAGAATATCTGGTATAAATAAGACCTTTAACATTAAACATTTAGTCTTATTCATTAAGCATTTGTTTCTTTTTTTAATAGCAGCTTTAGTGAGATAAAATTCACATAACATACAGTTCGCCCATTTGAAGTGGAGGACTCAGTTGGTTTGTAGTGTGTTCATAGGAATTGGCCATCATCGCCACAACTGTAGAACATGTCATGAGCTCAGAAGAAGCCCCATACCCTTAACCTGCTGCCTCCCAGTTTTCCCGTCCTCCTTCCGCCCTCCTAGCCCCAATCAACCACTTGTCTACTTGCCGTCTCTGTTGTCTGTTCTGGCTGTTTTCTGTAAGCAGAGTCACACAATACACATGCTCTTTGGTGCCTGACTTCTTTGCTTTAACCTGTTTCTAAGGCTCACCCACATTGCAGCATGTATCAATACTTCATTCACTCATACATCAAATAGGCATTAGGCATGAAAGGTGCCATTAGCTTGACCAGCTAAAGAAGTGAAAGGCCATGAGCCACGGTGCTTTTTCCCTCACTGTGCAGTTGAGACAGTTCTACGAGCCAACGCCCGATGTGCTGCCTCCTCTGAAATTGGAAACTTGTGTTCTCGCCCAGGGAGATCAGATCTGTCTACAAGAACCGCTGGTGAGACTTCCGTTCCTCCAACAACTGTTATTTTTACTGTTGAGTTAAACATCTCTGTTGATAAGTTTGTCCTTTGGGAAGAGACCTTTCCCTCAGAGGCTCTCTTCCTGGTATTCCTAATGAATTTTTGCTCTTAAATCTTCCCTAATTATGGCTTCTGATCCATCATCACCATGATCTAATGGGACAGTAGCTCAGTGTCGGCATTTTACTAAATCAAGGCAACTACCACTTCTCCCAGGGAGCAGCTTCTCTCTCATCTGTTACTCCCTGGTGAGATATATTAAATAATTCTACTGTGAAATGTGGGTGGGAGGGCAGGAGATGAACTCAGGCCCCCGGCCTCATTAGTCTGGCGGGAGTGTATGATTTAGACTTCCCTAAAATGGACACTGTTGAATCTTCAGAAGGGCCAGGGCCAGTTTGGTTTCCTCTTGTTATCTAGACTCAAAGAGAGGGATGAGAGGATAAACACGAACGCTCCTCTACCCCAGTGACTTGGGGCTCATGACAGGACATTGAGCTGGTCTTTCAGCTGTATCCTGCCGTCAGAGGTAGGTGCTCAGGGCCATGAGATCCCCCAGCTTTTAGAATGGCCTCAGGCGCAGATACCAGAAAGGATTTAACTTTGTAGCCTGACTTCTCGGTGTCTGTAGCAGCTTAGAAATGTACACGGATGTTGCTTTCTGAGGTGTCAGCTAGTGAGGCCAGTTCTTCTGGGAACAGTCAGGAAACAATGCCTCTGGTAGTTCAGTTGTTTTTTTTTTCTGGTTTTGTCAGTTCAGATTGACTTAATTTCTGATGCCCGTGAGCGGCGTAGTTCAGCCTTAGGGGTAAGAATTGCTCACTGGTCAGCAGCCTCTTCATGACTTAGGCCTTGGCTCTCAGGAAGACCTAATTATCCTTTCCGTCTACAGGATCATCTGCTGTGCTGTGTGCAGCACTGCCTGGCCTGGTATAAGAGTAGGGTGATACCCCTGCAGCAGGAGGAGGTGGAGGAAGAGGAGGGATTCTACCAGGATTTAGATGACATTCTGGAGTCGATTACTAATAGAATGATTAAGAGTGAACTCGAAGACTTTGAACTGGTAATCAATTGCCACATCTCAGCTATATTGCATAATGGAGGTTTTAGTGCCTTATTTATTTATTTATTTTTTGTGGGACCCTCGCTGGCGGCTGGGGAACGAACCGGGGCTGCAGAGGCTGGGGGCAGCCTCGCAGCCCAGCTCTCAACCACTGCGCCACCAGGGGAAGCCCTGCCTTATTTATTTTAATCTTGTGTCTTCTAGGATAAATCAGCAGATTTTTCTCAGAGTTCTGCTACTGGCATCAAAAATAATATCTGTGCTTCTCTTGTGATGGGAATTTGTGAGGTCCTAATAGAATATAATTTCTCTGTTAGTAATTTCAGGTGAGGTATTGGCTATCATTCTGCTTCCAATTTGACAAATTACCATTGTATATATGTATTTTTTAATGCTAATAATGATGCTAACCGTACAGACCACAGCCATGACACTGTCTCTGATGGACATCTAAGGCAATGTTTTTCCCACCATAGAACCTGAAAGTATAGGCGAATCTTGTCCAGCTTGCAGGCTTTCGTTTATTCAGAATTCTTAGGCTGATTTTAAGACTTTGATGGGTATTTGTATTGACTTGTGTGGCCTGGGTTGCCTTTTTAATGAAGGCCCATTCATTGATAATATCTAAAATATGACACTTTTAATGAGGCATGGTGAAGTCCTTATTACTGTTTATTGTACGTAAAAGTAAACCACACTGTTCTGATGCTTGTCCTTGGTGATCTGTTCCCTTTTACACAGTAAGAGTAAATGTGAAGCGGTTTTGAACTTATTTATGTGTTACAAGAAACTCTCGGACATCCTTAATGAAAAAACTGGTAAAGGCAAAATCAAAACAGCCAACAAAACAAATGATAGTTTTCTGTCCCTGAAATTCGTGTCTGATCTGCTCACCGCTCTCTTTAGGTAGGTGTTGCTAGAGCAATTCCTATATCCATAGCAAGACATAAGTCCAGAGGTTTGTGATTTTCTTGAGATAAAAGCTGGATCATCATAGGTAGACAATCTAAAGAGGTATTTTGAATTATTTAAGGAAAATTCAACAATAACATGAAACAGTGAAAAGATATGGATGAATTCCTATGAGGTGGTGTAAGAAAATCTGCCTAAGTAGCTTAAGCACAATAATAGATAAAAAAAGGGGGGGGGATCCTGAATTAAAAAAAAAAAATAGACCGAAACAAAAGCAAGATTGACCTTTACATTTCATCAAAGTAAAAGGAGTGGGCGGGAGAAGGGAGGTTAGCGAGCAGAGTGGCGTTGGCGCAACACAGCCTGCCTGGAGCCTACCTGGCAAGCCTGCCACGCACTGCCAATCTGGACAGTTCTGGGAAGCCTCGCCCCAGATTGTGGTAGCAGCAGGGGAATCTTTTCTCTCTAGGGACAGTACCCAAAGCCATGAAGAGAGCCTGTCTGTCCTGAGGGCCAGCAGTGAGTTCATGCGCTATGCAGTGAGCGTGGCTCTGCAGAAGGTGCAGCAGGTCAAGGAAACCGGGCATGTGGGTGGCCCTGATGGCCAAAACCCAGAGAAGGTCTTTCAGCACCTCTGTGACATCACCCGGTAAGTCACTTGCTATGGAGTCAGAGAAGAGAGTAGTCCTGCCGTGAGGTGGGATCTTAGTCACATATGAACTGTTACTGTGGTACCAGGAATAAAGAGGGATGTTACATAATGAGGAAACACTTCCCTAGTAGACAGGACTTAAATACTTACACACGTAACAGCTGTGTGTAAGCAAAAACTAGCAGCAGAAACTGACAGATCTGAAGGAGAAATACAAGTCATGTATATATTCTCATACAGAACAACTTACCTTGAAAAAGATCAGAGGCATAAGTGTAAAACAACATGAAATGGGTAGAAGAAAGCAAAGAAAAACCTTCAAGACCTTGTTTTAATTGCTCTTTGAAAGATGCTCATGAGGAAATTAAAAGATAAGCTGCTGTGGTGTGTGCAAAATACGCGTCTGATAGAGGACTAGTAACCAGAGTGTACAAAGAACTCTCAGACTTATTAACAGCCAGTGAATAAACGAGTAAAATACTATTACAGACACGTTCCCAAAGAAAATAGATGGCAGACAGAGACGCAAAAAGATGGCCCACATGCTCATTAGGTAAATGCAAATTAAAGTTACAACGAGGCAGCTCTAAACACCTATTAGAATGCCTGCCACTAACGGGCCAGCCATACCAGCGTGTTGCCATGGATGCGGGGAATTTGCTGTCATGTAGTGTTAACTGCAAAATGGTACAGCCACTTTGGAGAAGAGTTGGACGGTTTCTCAAAGGTTGAAGCACACAACTACCAGCGATCTACCCCTTGCGCTCTTCACTAGTTCCCCAAAAGAATGATAGCAGATGTCCGTGTAAAGGTTTGCAGGGCTTTGATCTGTAAGAGCAAAATCTGGAGAGAGCCGACCCAAAGTTCCTCAACAGATGGACGGGTAGATTGATGAAGGGACAGTTGGGCACGTCCATCCAGGGATCACTGCTCAGCAATGAAATGGGCACGCTCCTGGTGCAGGCATCAGCACTTGTGAGAGGACTCTCAAAAGCATGTGCCAGGGCACCAAAGCCAGACTCTTGTCAAGAGTATAAAAGCAGGGCCTCCCTGGTGACTCAGGAGGTTGAGCACCGCACTATGAAGTGGACCGCAGCCTCTGCAGCACTAGTTCGATCCCCGGCCAGGGAGCAACCCACATGGCGCAGCAGACCTCTCCTGACTTGCCCACTGCTCCCCTCAGCAGTGTACTTTAATCTGCCTGTTCTGTTCCCCACTCTGTCTCTGGTGAATCCTCTCACCCCCCACATCTCTGGCCTGTGCCCCAGCTCTTGTATGCATAAGTGGATGGATCTTCGGGGGCGGGGGGGGAGTACAAAATCATAGCGACAGGAACCAAATTAGTAGTTGCTTAGAAGGCAGGGAGGTGGGGAGATGACTACAAAGAGCACAGAGACTTGGGGTGATGGAAATACCGGGATAGTGGGGAGTTTGTTGGAGTTCGTAGGACTGTGCACTTACAGGGTATGAGCTTTAGTGTGTGTGCTTGTCCCTCAGTCAGCCTGACCCGCTTTCCTCTCTTCAGGGTCTTGCTGTGGAGATACACTTCAATTCCTACTTCTGTGGAGGAGTCGGGCAAGAAAGAGAAAGGGAAGAGCATCTCGCTGCTGTGCCTGGAGGGGCTACAGAAGGTCTTCAGTGCCGTGCAGCAGTTCTATCAGCCCAAGATCCGGCAGTTCCTCGGGGCTCTGGGTGGGTGCTTTGATTTTGATAAATTGCCTTGGTCTGGGTTTCTCCTAATGATACCTCTTCATTCTTCTTGTGAACCTACCAGAGGACACCTAAGCATTGTCCTAACGTTGCTGAGGAGTGACATCTAGTGGGCTCAGGATTGGCGCTTACTGGGTTACATTTTACCACAGATAGTAACCAGAAAATGGAATATAGTGTTAAGTTGTAGAACGATAGGGACACGTATAAATCTGCTGCTAGACTTTTAGGGCTATTAAAAAGCAATAGATAAGTCCATTTCAAAGAAGATAGAGTTCTTTCCTTTCCTAGATGTCACAGATACGGAGGCAGAAGAGGCAGAAGTGGACGTCACGCAGAGAGCAGCATTCCAGATCCGCCAGTTCCAGGTGGGAAGCGTGGGAAGCTGCAGGGCCAGCCTGGTCCTTGCCCAGGGACCGTTGCTGGGGCCAGCTGGTGAGAGGGCACAGTGAGCAACAGGATGAATGTCATCCTAGCAGCAAGACACAACTCTTCGAACGGGGAGTAAGAGCATTGGGAGGGGTCTAGGGAAGGCGTGTGTTAAACCACGTAACCCTGCGGCGCTCACTGCCTCTGGGATTCCGTTGACACGAGCAGGTAGCCAGGCCCATTCGAGTTGGGAAGTAAGCCTTTGTTTTTGTGTCCTGGTATAACTTGACTTTCTCAAATTGTAAATATTTGACATGAATCCTAGTAGTTTTTAACCAATAGTTGTTACGGTATCAGGATCTGCTATTACAGGGTTTCTTTATAAAATAAAAAGTTTTAAGTTCCTACTTTGTACCAGGGATGTTACAGATGCTGGGGATATTGCAGGGAGCAGAATGTCTGCTCCCCAGAGCTCACACTGTTGTGAAGAGTGGGTGGGCTTCTGGGGTCTATGACCCACTCACAATAGGCAGGGGGTTGGAGGACACGGAAGCCATAGTTTTTTTCAAAGATGCTCAGTTTTATGATTGAAAATGGGGTAAAACTAGTTCCACCCCGATTTATTTTCTGATTTTATCTTAATGGAATTTTTGTAGCTTAAAATCCTTGCTGTCTCGCTTTGGCAAGATGTCTCTCTCTAGTAGGAATATGTCTGCTGATGTTTCTGTGTGTGCTTTCTCAGAGGTCCCTGTCGAACTTGCTTAGCAGCCAGGAGGAAGACTTTAACAGCAAAGAAGCTGTCCTGCTCGTCAGTGTTCTCTCCAACCTGTCCAAGCTGCTAGAACCTTCCTCCCCTCAGGTACAAGTACTGTTTATTCCATCCCATCAGAGACAAGGAGTGTACATATTAATGAGGTCTAGTTGATTAGATGGATATTTGACAATGCCCCTGAATTAGCATGCGATCCATAAGACATGGCCTTTCCTACGTAGTGTTTCTGCCATGACATAATTAGATGCAGCCATATAGGACAAGTGTGTCCTGCTTTTGTTTGGCCTCTGTCAAGGGTAAACAGTAAGCTCTCTACGAAAATTTCTTATTTATCTTCAGTGCCGTCAAACTTTTTAATGTATTTTTCCTCACTCTTTCCTCTTTTCTAAGACGGCAGTGTTGCTTATCATGAAGGCAGCTGGCACTCAGCATCTGTCTTTATCAGTAAGGTTAGCTGGTACCAAGTTAAGGGGAGGTTTGTAACAGAGCGTGACTGTAGCCCCACAGCCAGCTTGTGTAGACATGTGCGCATTCACATTGCATTGTTACCCCCACATGGGTGTCAACACACAGCAGAGCACGAGGAGGCCGCTTCCGTGGGTCGGTTCCATTTTTCCTCAGAGTTGAGGATGTGCGTCCTGCACATAGTACCTGCCGCCATGACGCTGTGTTCTCTGCCGGGCAGGCAAGGGGGAGCCTGGGCTGCGAGGCTCCTGGGGTGAGCCACGGCTTCAGCAACACCTGTCTCTGGGAAATTTGTGGAGCCTGGGAGTGTTACGGTGTTTCAGTGCTGAAAACAGACGTGGCTTTCCTGCGATCAGCGTTCCGGGCATTCCAAAGGTGTCCCTTTTGCTGCTCACCCCACCCCAGATCCAGACAGCTCACCCACATGACACTCTGAGCTCCGTTTTCTCCTGCTGCTGCTGCTACAGAGCAGAAAAGCGGGAAGGAAGCACAGCTATCGAGGGTTTGGTCAGGGGGAAGTTTGAGGGAAAGTAAATGCATTTCTTCTAATACATAGAAGAAAACATTTTAATTTCATTTTCACTGTCCATTCCCCACCCATGTGGTTTCAGACAGTCTTTTTCTTTTTCTTTTTCTTTTTAAGATATATTTATGTATTTATACAAGCACTGGGTACAGTCAGAAGCGCGGGAGGGTGAGAGAATTCACGAGAGCCAGAGCGGGGAGCAGAGCAGGCAGAAGGACCGAAGGACACTGCTGAGGGGAGCAGCGGGTGGCAGGAGAGGTCTGCATGTCATGTGGGACCCTCGCCCTGCGGCCAGGGATCGAACTGGCACTGCAGAGGCTGCGGGCAGCTTCGCAGCCCAGCGCTCAACCACTGCGCCACCGGGGAGGCCCAGTCTTTTTATTTTTAAATGTGTAATAAAGTCCCATGATTTTAACACCAGAAATGATAAATGATTGACGGTAAATGGCCTATGGTTTACCTCCCACCCATGTCTTCCACCTGTCAGTTCTTCTCCCCTAAGACAGTAAATCTGCTTTTTTTCCTGCACAAGCATTATCAGTACCGATCTTGCTCCCAGCTCTACCCCTCTTCACAGAAGCTGGCTCCTCTACCTACTCTTACATGTCACGTTGTTGGGAGACTTTTCTTATCAGTTCGCAGAGAGCTTTCAGTTTGCCTCTGAAAACTTGCGTTCTTGCTGGGCGTTTGCCTGTATCGCTGCGTCTCAGCACCTTTGTGCTCAAAGCCTGTTCTCCCGCCATCTTCATCCTCTTCTAACTCCCAATGCAAACTCGGGTTTTTGCCTCTTTTTCTCTGTTCCTCTCCACCCCTTTCACACCTCTGGCCTCTTGGTTCCTACTTTCTGTCTGTGGCTAGACTCTCCCTCTCCTCAGTCAGCGTCTTTGAAGAGGCCTGAGTGCTGAGGAACGGTGTGGGACCTGGGAAGGGAAAAGGAGGGGCTGTAGCCCTAGACACGATGGGAATGGCAGAGGAGGCTGGGGCAAGAGCCTGGCTCTGGCCCCGTGTTGCATCAGCAGCACCGCAGTGATGATGAAAAGAAACAGGAGCCCTGGAGCAGGCTGTGGGGTACAGGATGCTGCTCGATGCAGGGTCCTGGCATTTTTATTGACAGAGAAGGTGGGTCAAATTGAACACTGGATTTTGGGCTTTAGGGAGGGTGAGTCAACACCCGACTCCCACCCATGGCTCCAATCTTATTAACAAGGCATCCCTGATCAGTCCCTGAGGCGCAAAGCACATCAGTATTGCCTCAGTGGGATCAAGCATCCCGCTCTTGTCTAACTTGAAAGGAGCCTTGTAGGCTACACACACACCCCAGGACCTGTGGCCCTTCATGAAGGTAGAGACATTGAGAATTAAGTCATGTACTATGTCATGAGAAAAGTCTCCATAATTCTCTTAATTCTGATCACCTCTTTAGAGCCAGGCACGGTTTGGCTGGTAATCAGTCTGAAGGTTAGGGCTCTTCTGAGTGCACTCCCACCCAGTCCGGTCTCCTGGTCTCTGTCCCTGATGTCTGAACACTCTCTAGTTTGTGCAGATGTTGTCGTGGACATCGAAGATCTTCAAGGAAAATAGCCGCGGTAAGTTCCTGCCTTGTTTCCATTGGGGCTTTATATAAATCTTCATCAACTAGCATTTGAAAAAGAAACATTCTCTTCCACATCCTCTAGAGTGGTCAGGAAAAAGTTACACAGTGCCAGAACCCGGTGCAGGTGAGGGAGTAACCAGCTAGACTTCTGAGTCATTGCGGGTAGAGGCGTTTGTCACTGTAACCTCCCTGGGGAACTTTGGCTACATCTAGTGACGGAGATTGAGAAGCCTGTGGTCTCTATCCTGCGCCCAACAGAAATGACAGAAGAATTCTCACAGCAGCACTATCTTAATAGGCAAACCCAAACCCAACCCGACACCCATATGGTGTTCTCATAAGCAGAAGGGGTAAAAAAAAAAAACATGATGCCACACAGTGGACGCCCTGCAGTGGTGCAGGGGTGGGTGGTTAGAGCCATACAGTGCACAGGCATCGCATGGACTCAGGGTGCCATATCCTGGGGGACACGTGAGGCAGGAGGGGAAGATGGTGTCTGGGGTGCCCGCCTATTTTTCTGGGTGCAGGTTAGACAGGGATATGGCTAGTAGTGGGGAGTCTCCCTCCCTTGTGCACTTGAATGGGGTTCATGTGTAGGGAGAGCGCCCTGGTGGCCTGTGTGCAGCAGGGGATGCTGGTGCCTGGACAAGGCCATCTGCCTCCCCAGAAGGACTGAGTTAGAACTTGTAATTCTCGGGCCTCCCCGGTGGCGCAGCGGTTGAGCGCTGGGTTGCGAAGCTGCCCGCAGCCTCTGCGGCGCCGGTTTGATCCCTGGCTGCTCCCCGGCCACCGGAGGAGGGTGGTGCGCAGACCTCTCCTGCCGCCCGCTGCTCCCCTCAGCAGTGTACTTTGGTCCTTCTGCCTGCTCTGCTCCCCGCTCTGGCTCTGGTGAATTCTCTCGCCCTCTTGCGCTTCTGACTGTACCCAGTGCATGTATAAACAAACAAACAAACAAATAAATAAATAAAACCATGCCTCTATTTAAAAACAAAAAAGAACTTGTAATTCTCTTTCCTTCCTATTCCCAGAAGACGCCTCCTTCTGCAAGGGCCTGATGAACTTGCTCTTCAGCCTCCATGTTCTGTACAAGAGCCCCGTCGCCCTGCTGCGCGACTTATCCCAGGACATCCACGGGCACCTGGGCGATGTAGACCAGGTACTGCGTGAGCACTCACCACCATGTGCTGGGTGGGGCAGGGCCAGGGACCAGCCCTGCTGTCAGTACAGCGCGCCTCTCTTCTCCTCCCCAGGATGTAGAAGTGGAGAAGACAAACCACTTTGCAATGGTGAACTTGAAAACAGCCGCCCCCACCGTCTGTGTAAGTGCTGCTCCTCAGGATGCGAGAGGCCTTTGACATCCCCCTGCTTTATTTCTTGTGAAGAGCAAATTGTAGCGGCTCATTTTCTGAGGCCTGTCACCTAGACACACATGCAGCCATGTGCAGTGAGCCACGCCAGGCCTCCTTTTCTTCCACAGGTACTTGTTCTGAATCAGGCTGAGAAGGTCCTAGAAGAAGTGGACTGGCTAATCACCAGGCTTAAGGGACAAGTCCTGTCAGGTAAGATGATTCAGGGTGGGGTTCCTGGAATGGTGGTCCAATTCGGTGAATGTCTGCATGAAAGGGGCTCCCGAGCCAGCGTCTGTCCTTGAGCTAGATTTCTGACACGTGGAAGCAGAAAGTGATGTGAATCGTGCCGTGATGACTGCTTTGGTGTCTAACCCTCCTTCACTCTAACTGGCAGGTAAGCCCGCTGGGCTTCAGTGTGCCGCCTTCACTTCTCTTGGCAGAGTCCTCTCTTCAGGCGCCAGCCCAGCTCGCAGAGAAAGCCATCATCATACAGCTGGGCACTCTGCTGACATTTTTCCACGAGCTGGTACAAACAGCTTTGCCATCGGGCAGCTGCGTGGACACCTTGTTGAGGGACCTGTGCAAAATGTACACCACACTTACGGCCCTTGTCAGATATGTGAGTATCCAGAGGAGCGGAGTCACCGCCCCTCCCGCCCCAGCGTGGGAGCAGGCAGGGCGGTAGCCCACCACTCAGGATGCCCCGCACTCATCTCTTGCTCCATCTTCACAAGCCATGATTGGTGGTGGACTGGTCAGGAGGTGACGGGCATTTCACAGGTCAGGGGGCCCCTCCTTCCTGGGCCTGGCAGCCTGCAGCACCAGTTGAACGCACACGCGCCTTTGACAGCCTTCTGCCACATAGTCCAAGCTGTAGCTGTAGAATTTGATCTCACTCCAGATACACTCTTTAGACTCTTTCCAGCCAATCTGGCCGCTGATTTGCCTTCTTGTTGATGCCTTGCAGGTCGGGTACTCGGGTGGGGAGGAAGTTTGTTTTTGGTTAATATGAGGTGCAGCTTGGCCTTTACTGAGTTCAAGTTAATGCTGCTTAGTATCTGTTAAAGCTCTTCTTGCACTTGCAGTAATTTTGTTCTCAGCAGACATTTAGGAGGTGATAGGAACTAGCTGGTTTATTTCTGGTCCCAGCAACGACTCATGAAATACTTAGAAAGGCACAGACATCCCAAGGAGGGTGGCAGAACAGCACTCCCCGGACGGGGTGGCTGGGCAGCAGTGCGGCCACCTCTGACTCCAGGAGGCTGCTGCTCAGCCTCTAGCGGGAATCGGGAGAAACTCTGCTCTTTGTTGGTATTTTTGAAAGAAAAACAGCAAAGTCACTGGTCTTCCAAATGCAGGGACATCAGCCTCGAGGATTTTTTAAAGCATGAGCTGAGCGAGTCAGAAAGAAACCCGCGTTGCTTGTTTGTGGTGCTTAGAGCTCTGGGGAGGAAACAGAAGCCTGCCGTCCAGTAGAGGGCGCTCGGAGAGTAGAGGACACCCCTTCATCTTCTTATCCCCCTAGTCAGTGCCGACTCACCCCGTAGCCCACCTGAGCCACCGTGTCACAGGGTGTGTGTTGAGGACGGTGTCCTGATTCTGCGCATCTTTTGTTAGTATTTCCAGGTGTGTCAATGCTTTGGAGGAATTCCAAAAAATATGGAAAAGCTGGTGAGTTGGGGATGCCCTTCCTGGGAAAGGGAGGCGCTTTTCCAACCCCGGTGCTGGACTGGCTTCCTTTTCCATCACTGCAGGTGAAGCTGTCGGGCTCACATCTGACCCCTCTGTGCTATTCTTTCATTTCTTACGTGCAGGTAAGTGACTCAGAGCCCAAAATGGCTCTCCAGGTGAAATTCCGTATGCTCCCAGAGCCGTAAGCCAAAGGTGCTCGTGGGAAACCAAGACTTTGCAGCCAGGAAATTTTTTTAGTCACAGTTTAAAAAAAAATTTCATAGAGAGAAAGGACTAATGGCTTACATTGGAGCAAGGGAGGGACAGGTGTGCTGGGGCTCACTGATTTGCTTTGCCCCTGGGTGGCTCAAATCTGTGCCACTGAGCGTGCCTTGGGGAGTGTGAGCGGCAGTGAGCCCTGAAGGGGCTGCGCAGATACTGCGCCGTGTGGAGGGCAGCAGCACGTTCTGGCGGGTGGAGGGAACGTGGCCCTTTTCTGTCACTTGCCCAGATGCCTTTTCTTCTCCCCTAAATGAGTAAACTAACAGGTTCTTTTGGGATTGGGGGAAATGTCAGATGTCGTCAGTTTTCAGATACCACTGGATTCTTGTAAGCCGTTATCATTAGCTTAAACCAGGGTTTCTCGGCCTCAGCTTTGACATTTGGGACTGTCCTGTGCAGTTCAGGATATTTAGTCGTGTCCCTGGCCTCTTCCCGACCAAATGCCAGTAGCATCCCCCGAATTGTTACAACTCAAAATGTCTCTGGAAATTACCAGATGTCTTTAAGTGAAAAAGTTAGTCCCAGTTAAAACCACCAACTTAAACATCTAAGTCGGTGATGGGAGAGCAACCATTGTCTCCCCCCATGGCTACTCACTCACTGCCGCATCAGGAGCAGGCTGTAGTTGGTCTTTGAAGAATCAGAGAATTCATCCACTAATAGGCCGATCCCAGCCAAGATCCTAGAACCAGTTGTTAAGTTGGGGGATCATGGACGAGAGGTTGCATTGCCCCTCTCGTTCCCTCTGCTGTGCACGGGAATATCCCGTTGGCGTCTGTATGTTAAGGGGGCACCCCGCCTACCACTTGAGAATCAGTTGATGGAATGGCCTGTTGGATGGGTCTTGTGAAGACCTCGGTATCTGCTGGTGGTTGAGGGTCTCTGTCATCTTGACCAGTTTTGTGGTCTGAGCCAGGAGCACAAACGTCCATCTCTCTGTCTGGCCAGTCTATGGCCTAATCTCATCAAGCTGGTCTAATCTCTTTATGACACCTACAGACATGCTTCCTCACCCTCATGCTTGTAAATTTTCACAGGGTGCATTCTGTCAAACCAGCCTTTCCAGGACTCAAAGTACATTTCTTAGCACCAGCCCCTTCGGAATCGCTGCCATTTTTTGGTCTTCCAGAACATGCCCTGTGAACCAAGTGTTCTGCCCCACATGGCTCCAGGGCTAGCCTTCCTGCTTCAGGTCTGTCTCTTGTTCCCTGGAACTTGGGAGGTTCCATTCTTAGAGGGCATGGAACTCTCCTCAGCCTTCAGGTAAAGCTTCCTGCTTTGTGTACCTCACACAGGACTAGTTTTTCTCTTCAGTTTCTCCTGATTCAGGTGTTGATTCTGTGCTGCCTTATCAAAATCCAGGACTTCTTGATCCCCTTTGGTTCTTTCCTTTCTACAGGAACACTTTATTCTCTGGTTACAGCATAGGGGACCCCTTGTTCCGGTGACTCAAATCCTGGCAAGTGAGCCCGTGGCGTGCAGGACACGCCTGCAGAAGGCCTCCTCCCTGGCTGCCTCCTCGAGACACTGCTGGCAGGAAATACCTTATTCCTCGTCACTGCCCTGACAGTTCCCATTTGAACATGGGCCTGCACCTGGCCCGTCCCCTGCCACGCATAGGCCCAAATGCAGGACTGTCAGTGTTCCAGGACAGACACTCTCAGGGTTACAAAGGGCTGTAGAATGTTGCCCTCCCGTCCTCCAGCACTTGGTGCTGAATAGCCCTGTTCACCAGACGTGAGCCCTTGAAGAGCCCCATATTCTGCTATCATCACTTTCCTGAAAAGTTCCCAGTAACCAGCTAGCTCTATAGGGAAAATCTTTAAGAATGAGAGCGTTTTTATATTTCTTTAGAACAAGAATGGCAGCGTAAAATACACGGGAGAGAAGACCAAGGAGAACACTGCTGTTGCCACAGCCATGGTAAGCCGCTGCCCCTCTGATGGTTCTGCGGGGCTGCCGTGAAGAACAGCCACATTCTAAGCCTGCTGCCACCTCATGAAGCGTGGGCTGCCGTGAACCTTGGGAACATTGTGGGAAGTGAAAGAAGCCAGTCACCAAAAAAAAGACTAAATATGTAAAATGTCCAGAATATGCACGTCTAAGACTGAGTAGCAGTTGTCGAGAGCTGGGGAGGTGACTGCTAACTAGCAGAGTCTAGCTTTCTTTTGGGGCTGAGAGAAACTTCTCAAATTGAATGGTTGCATTACTCAGGCAAGATTCAAACGAACCACTGATAGTACAGTGTTATGGGTCATTTGTACGTCGTGTGGATTATTTCTCATTAAAGCTATTTAAAAAAGTGTGTCGGAAGCTGCTTCTCAGCTCTTGAATGTTAGGGGGACCATCTATATCGTTTAAACCAAAAAACATACTTTATCCAGGAAGCACCAGAAGTCGGTGGGTGCACAGGGTGCTCTCTAAAGATGTGTAAGAGATGGGCCTCCCTGGTGGCACAGCGGTTGAGCGCTAGTTGCAAAGCTACCCACAGCCTCTGCAGCACCAGTTCAATCCCCGGCTGCTCCCCGGCCACCGGAGGAGGGTCCCACATGGCGTGTAGACCTCTCCTGCCGCCCGCTGCTCCCCTCAGCAGTGTGCTTCAGTCTGCCTGCTCTGCTCCCCGCTCTGGCTCTGGTGAATTCTCTCACCCTCCCGCACTTCTGACTGTACCCAGTGCTTGTATAAATAAATAAAAATAAATCTTTAAAAAAAATAATAAAGATGTATAAGAGCAGGTGGGGGTTCAGGAGTGGGTGCTTTAGAATACTGTTGCCAAAGGCAGCAGTTTGCAGTTTACTGCATTTTAAGATGCCCAGTTCTGCACGACAGTAGTGTCTGTGTAGAACCATGCACACACTTTAGTGCAGTGATTCCACCTTTGGGGATATGACAATCACAAAGGCCTGCGCGCAGGATGTTCCTATCCAGAGCACATTTATAGGATGCTATGCAGACATGAGGGTAGTGCAAATCTGAGTGTTCGGATGATGTTTCTTAAAATGAGGATGTCCACATTTGTAGGTTTTTGAAAACTGCAGACACAGTTGTCTATGCATAAGAAATACTTGGGAGGCGCTCTCTGTAAGTTATAATTCAAATTGGGGAAGAGTCGTCATCCCAGTGAAAAGTCACATGCAGCCCCAGGGGGCAGCATAGCTGTGTGCAGAGGGCTTGAATTTTAGAGGTGTGAGACAAGCAGGCTTCTACGAACGGCCATGCCCTCAGCCATCTAGACAGCAGCCCGTGCTCGCTTACTGCTGTGGACGTGTGTTGCATTGGCAGACTAGCTGCAGAGGACCGCTTCCAAGACACATGACCCTTCTTCCGCCTTCCTTGCCCTGTAGGCCAGAGTTCTTCGGGAAACCAAGCCCATCCCGAATCTCATCTTTGCAATTGAACAGTATGAAAAGTTTCTCATCCACCTCTCCAAGCGGTCCAAGGTAAGTGTGCTCTGTTGCTTCTGCTAAGGGGACGAGGCATGCTGCTGGGGGCGGTGGGGCAGGGGCAGAAACATGGCTCGGGTCCTTGCAGACCTGGAGGCCTGAATGAATGCACAAGGCCTGGGGGGTCAGGGTCAGGCGGTGAACCCCTGCGTGCCCTCCTGTCCCAGGTGAACCTGATGCAGCACATGAGGCTCAGCACCTCACGGGACTTCAAGATCAAGGGGAACATCCTGGACGTGGTTCTTCGAGAGGAAGAGGAGGAGGATGAGGTCAGTCCAGCAGCCTTTCTACCTGGCTGCTAGCAGCCCCTCTGGGCACGGCTGCGTATTTGGGAAGGGGCAACAGGAGAAAGCTAGAATGTGTTGGGAGGCAGTGATAGATTCCTAAGAGCCAGGCTGCCCAGACCTGGAAATGGGGGTCATGACTGCTTGGCAGGTGGGGCTTCTCCCTGTGACCTTCTGAACACAGGTGCTCTGAGAGGGTTCTGGACAGCGCCAGCTGCCCCCCCTAGCATCTTTGAAGCAGAACCCAGCATGTCTTTCAGGAACAAACCCAAAAATGAGAGAATTCTAAGTGCAGGACAGAGGTGGCCATTCCCATTTCATGATCAGAGGTTTTAAATAAGCGCCCCTGGCAGTGCAGGCAGCCCCAGATCCACTCTTGCCGTTGGGTGGGGAGTAAGGGGGCATCTTGTCCCGCGAAAGGGGTTGCCACTGCCTTGCTCCTACTCGGCACTCTTCACCCCTGCAACATAATTACCTCCTGTGAGTGGAAAACAGGAGAAAGCATGACTAACACACCGATGAGAAGATAAAGGACTTGATTTTTATTTCCACTGCCTCTGAGCAGGTGTCACAACGTTACTTTTCTCCCCTCCTAGGGCGCTGCGTCAGAGCATGGGGAACAGAACAAAGAACCAGCCAAGAAGAAAAGGAAGAAATGAAATGCCTGAGTTATGTGAACTTTGGGGCTCCTGCTTTCTTTTTTAACCTTACAAGTCACCTCGCCCCTGGTCCTGCTGCCTACACCACGTTGGCATCTTGGTTCTGAACCCGTTGAACTCAGCTGCACCTTGCCTTGCCCTGGAGGCCGCCGTTCTTGGCAGGTCCTGCCACGGAGAGACGGCCGGCCTTGGGCAAGCCCTTTTGCAAAAAAGCACAGCTGAAAGCCTGAGTTTGGGAGCCTGCGCCGCCCCACGAAGCTCCACGGGAGCAAATCCGGCGCCTCTGGGCAGAGCTATGGTCCAGACTGGCTGCGTCTTTCCAAGGAGCCTTTGGTGAGTTCGATTATCTGGTAAATATCCAGCGCTTCACCTGAAAGACAGGGCAGCTTGGTCAGGCCGCTCCCCCCGTCATGCCTTGGCTCAGGAAGGAGGGTGCAGGTGACGTTAGCTTTGAGAGGGTCTGGTTTGTTTTTTTTTTTGGTAGAAAATAAGCTTTCTGATTTGTTTGGCATTTAAGCACTTTTTTTTTTCCACCTAAGAGTACACTGAATACAATAAAATCCTGTCAGCACTACTCGTGGTGTGATCTGAGGAGGAAAAGGGACAGAGGGCGCACTTGCAGCTCTGGCTGCCTTTGAGACAATCCTCTGTGATCTGAGTATCTTGTTGACCTTGGACCCCAGTCCAGGCTGACCGCTGTCCTAGACCACCCATGTCCACAGGGGACCAACCATGACATGCACACTCACCCTGGGGAATCCCGTATCTCCTTTCCAGCCCGGTTGGGTTGGAAGGGGTTTTACAATCCATGGTCACTTCCTTCCTGAGGCACTGGTCAATGTCAACCGCACTGAAAAAGGCGACGGACTGAGGCAGGTCGTTGAGACCCAGCTTGTAGGCGAACATGCACCTGCAAGAGACACTCTGTCTCGCCAGCCGTGTCCAGAGAGGCCCCCCGCGAGCACCCCCACCCGCAACCTGTCCACTGGTGCCACTGCCATGCCCACAACGCCACTTACAGAGCGGCAGCCAGTGTGGGCCGCAGTCGCCGGCAGTCAGGCCGGGGCCCATCCCCAGACCTCATCTAAGTGGTCAGCATAGCCCTGAGCGTGAGCACTGGGGGTCTGACTACAAGCAAATGAACTGCTACTTTTTAAGTGACATCAACAAATGATTCCACCCAGTCAGAACAGAAGCTGAAGTCTTCCGTCATTTTTAAGACAGGGAAGAGTGTTCTAGGGGAACCCTGAGAACTGTCCTCGGGGGCAACTGCAACCCTCCAGCATCTCGGTGAAGGCTCATCACCGCCTGGGGAGGGAGCTCGGTCTACCCGCAGCCCAGTCCAGGGCTCTGTGTTGGCAGTGCTCCTGCTGCCCATGACTACACGGGTCTCACTCCTTGTCCTAGCAGAGCTGTCCTTAAAGTGTCAGAGAAAGAAGAGGTGCGCGTGCCTGGTCAGGAGGTTGCTGATCTGCAGGGCCAGAGCGGCGCGGTGGCGGTCCTCCTCCTGCACCAGGTAGCGGACCTCGTCGTGGATGCTGATGCAGAAGCGCCCGTTGATGGCAAACTCCTCGAAGAGCCACTTCATGGCCACAAGCAGCAGGTGCAGGTAGTCCACAGCGGAGCTCTGCACCACCCAGTTCACGCGGCTGGTCATAAACTGGGGGCAGGGCATGGGTGAGCCCGTGCCCCTGCCCCTGCCCCTGGGCCCGGGCCCCCGCCACCCACGCTCCCAGAAGCGGGATACCTCCCCCTGGACGGCCGAGGGCTCCAGGGCCCGGCTGATGCGGCAGCCCAGCACCGGGGTCTGCGGGGCGGCGGACGTGGCGATGCTCTCCAGCTTGTTGAACATCTCCGACTCCGTGCCCCCCGACCACGCTCGCTCAGCAACCACCTGCCACTTCCTCCTGCGAGACCTGGGGGCCAGGAGCAGAGAGGCACCTCAGGCCTGAACACAGCATCCTATTCTCTCAGGGTGACCCAGACCCCCCCGCCAATCTCCATCCTTAACACAAAGGTTCTCACTTCCTTGAAGCTTCTTTCTGGATCCTGCGCACATCCTGCAGGGAAACCCAGCCGTCCCCGGTCCTGTCCACGGGCAGGTCCAGCTCCCGCACCAGCCACTCCCCCTCCTCCGACAGCCGGTACCTGCAGGCAGCATCCCATCACGGCCGGGGGCACCTCACCTTGCCTGCTCTGTTCACGCCCACCTCGCTCTGGCCCTCCGCTTCAGAGGGGGACACCGGCTATGAAGCTAATGACTTGCTGGGCTCATGCAAGAAGAAACCCAGATGGGGACCCGAAGCAGCCCAGCAATGGACAGACTCCACCCTGGGGGCTGCCGCTGTACCTGCTGTTCCGAGACCCTAGGCACGAGCTACCTGCAGACCCGCTGGTGGTGTACTGCTCAGGAGGCAGCAAGGGCTGCCCCCAGGATGGGAAAGGGGCTACTCCCTATAGGGCAGCTAGAGAAACGGCAGCAGCCAGGCCCAGCTGGCCCTTCTGCACTCCTGCCTCATGCTACCCCAGACACCTGGGGTCAGCCCTGCAGCTGTGGCCCTCATCCGCTACCATGCTCTCCTCCAGGACTCCCGAGAGGCCCTCAGGGCCACTGAGGGCCAGTCCTCCTTGTCATCACTGCCCTAGGATCCCACCCGCTCTGGACAGCTCCCCATGGACTCTAGGACAAAAGAAGGCAGCCCATTCAGGGCTGACTACACATGCCACTCCCCTCTGAGGAGCCGCGAGGGCCAGATCCGTACAGCAGCCCTAGCACAGGCGACAAGCCGGCAGCCGGCATCCAGTGCCCTTCGGCCCTTCCCGTCAGCTACTTTCTTGCACCCACTGGTGGGCACGTGAGCTTGCACCCCTCATGGGTCTGCTTTTCTGCGTGACCAGGGCTAATGACCAGCCACCATAACGAAACTGCCCTAACCCTGCGGGATATGTTAAGCACAAAGTGTCCTGGAGCCAGCTCAGAGGTCTGGGGGCCCAAGTTTGCACAGACAAGGCAAGAGGTAGGGGATGGCAGCAGTAAAGTGCAGTGGACAGCCTGTGGCCCGGGGCGGCGAGACCCTCACCGGCGGAGGCCCTTGGTGACAGCGTACATCTGCTGGGCCTTCTCGGCCGCCTCCTCCCGTGTGAGCCGGTGGTTGAACTGCATCAGCAGGCGCTCTGCGAAGGGCTGCCCTGCCCCGTAGATGCGGCCATAGTTGAAGACCTTGGCGTGTTCGCGGCTGATGCCCACAGTGGTGGCTGTCTTGCTGTGCAGGTCGGTGCCCCTGCTCTTCCTGCCCTGCAGCGTCATCCATCCGAAGGCCGTACAGCCTAGTGGGCCAGGCCACCATGAGAAAGGAGGTTCCCAACTCGGTCCACAACCCAGGCCCTGGCTCGCCCCCCACCCCAGCTCTGCTCACCGTGCATGCCGGCGAAGTGGGCGTCCCCTAGCACCGCTGCGATCCACAGCTCCTGAGAGTCCACATCAGCGCCCACGAGGACATAGCCAGGGGGAGCCTGCACCATGGCCTTCAGCTCACTGCCGACGCGGTCAGGCTGTGGAAGAGCCTGATTAGGCCTCCCTGGGCCCCCTGGGGAGACTCCCACACCCCTCCCATACCCCGAGTTGGGGCCTCTTGCGAGGGGCCAGCTTCAGGGAACAGCAGATAGCATTGCTGTATTTCCCACTCGAGGGCCAGCTGCCAAACAAAGGTGGGGGGCGGGAAGAACCCCTACTCCAGGCCACCGCTCCTGCCCCTCCCCTACTAGACCTCTGGCAGAACGCGTTTGCTCAAGAAATGGATGTCACGCGCTGCGACCTAAGCTTGACTCCTGCCTGACCCAGATCCGAGGCACCTTTCACACCTCTCTCCAAGTCTCCCAAGTCTTGAACGCTGAAATCCCAGGTTCAAGAAATACAGAAGAGCGTGAATGGGGTCTGGGGGTGCAGGGGACACATACCCGGGCATTGCTGGCTGTGAGCCACGTGGGCTCCACAGCCCGGCGGGTGATGGTGCCGGCGGTCACCACCTGGGGCAAGATGGCCCCGTAGCGGCCTTCCTCATCGTAGTCCAGGTGCCTGGTGGGGGGGGGCGAGTCTCAGTGGCTGGCTTTGGGCCGCCACGGCCCCTCCCCAACAGCTCTGTGCCCGCCATGCTGGGCCAGTCATACCTGGTGACCGCGCGGGGCAGAGCCGACTTGGGCAGCCACACCACCATCTGGGAGCTGTGGGGAGACAGGTGAGGCTCGGCACTGCTGTAGGGAGCGGGACCCTCCCCAGCTTCGGGGCTGTAGACCTACCTCCCTCTTCCCACTGACCTGACCAGGGGGGCCCTAGTAGCTACTATTCAGGTGCCTAAGTCATTCGGGGGCCTGACATCTGAGGCAGTTTCTGCCCCCAGCCTTCAGTATCTGGGGGCAGGCTCCGTACCCAACTCGGGACTCCTCAGGAGAGCTGCAGTTACACCCCAGGAGGACCAGTGCCTTCCAGGGTCCCACGCTTCACATACACAGGAGAACAAGCCCAGTGGGAGACATCTGAGGCCATACACCCCTAGGCACAGGCGGCCAGGCAGCCCCTGCTGTAGCACAGGCTGGGGGCTCTGGGGAGTCCCAGGGCAGCAGGAACCCTTAAGGGCACAGACTGGCCAGTCTCTGCCCTCCTAGGGTAGCCCACCTGATCCGTTTATGGGCATTCCTCCAGAAAGAAATCATTTTGTTAATTTCCAAGGCACGGGGCCCACTGGCACCTCCTGGGCCGGCCTGCAGGGTGCCATCCTCCATCTTGGGCAGAAAGTCCTTGGCAAAGGGGCTGCCCACATTGTAGCTGTTACCATCCTGTAGAGGGCAAAGGAAGCAGGGCTGCAGGCAGGTGGCGGGCCCTGGTGGGGTGCCATGTTCCCCTCCAACACCAGGTCCAAACCTCGAGCAATCGGGGCAAATCTACAGAACATCCACCCAGGCGCACACAGACACGTAGAGACACAAAAGCACGAGCCTGGCTCCCCTTGCGGGGATGTCACCCCAGGCGAGGCACCCATGCAGCACCAGACACCAACACCTGTGTCGTGACCCACCAGGCCCCTCGCAACCTGACTTCGGGAAAGAAAACAAGGCTCGGGGACTGGCCACTCTGCCCCACCACGACAGTCACTTCCCCGGGAGGCCTCTGGGGGCCGGGGCAGAAGCAGGACACACCTTGTGAGGCAGCTTGAAGAACCAGCAGCCAGGGATGTCCACCTCCAGGTAAGGCCCGTTGCCATGGTGATAGGCTGGCTGGCTGGCTTTGGGGCCGCCAGCGGCAGTCTGTGGGGGCCACACACCTAGATCAGGCCCTGCTCCAGCACCTGCATTCAGCGAGGGCCATGGGGTGGGGGTGGGAAAAGGGCCTGAAACGGTGCGCAGCCCAGGCAGGAAATGACAGGTCCCGCCGTCTCAGGCTCCTCCTCAGTCGCCTCCTCAGCCTCCTCAGGTGCGGGACTCCCGGGGGCAAGGCTGTGTCTGCCACCCCGCACCCCCAGACCTTTGGGGAAGAGAGGGGCAAGGGGGGGCACCTGGCTCACCGGAGCTGGGGGTGGGCCCGGAAGTGACGCTGGGACGACCTCCAAGGGGGCCTCCGCCTCCGCCTCCAGGCAGCCTAGTTCCTCCACCTGAAGGGTCCAGAGCACGGGTCTGAAGAGGGGCGGGAGAGACGGGGCGAGCAAGCAGCCCAGCTGCCCCCCAGACCCCCGCCCTTCCCGAGAGGCAGCCTCACCGTCTGCCACAGGGCGCTGCTGTCGGTGAGCAGGAACTCCTCGGCCAGGCCGGCCTCCCGTGGCTCCGGGGGCTGCTGCTTCCCCTGTTCAAGACAGTGCGCCCTGTACAGGGACTCGATGGCTCTGGGCAGAGAACAGCAGCGCAGCCTCTGATTATGGCTGCCACTCCGGCCCAGGCGCTCGCCGGGGGCCTTCCACGACACCCTGCAGCCCAAGTCGGCCCTGAGGCCGGGTGGAGAGCGTCTCCCTGAATTTCCACAGGGAGTGACGAACGCAAAGGGACAGGCTGGGGCGCTAATCCTCGTCTGATGCAAATCTAAGCTCCTCTCATGCCACCTCCTCCCCAGAAAAGCTCTAGAAGCAGAGCCGTGGGCAGTCAGGCCCCGGTCTGCCCCAGGCTGGCTCTGCCCACTCACCACCGTGGGGCTCGGAGAAGCAAAGCCAACCCCAGAGCTTTCTGTCCAACGGCCCTGGGCGGCGCCAGCTGACCTGGCTACACCTGACCCTCCGGTGAGGATCCGCCCTCTCCCCACACCTGCCTGTCAGACACTCAGCCGAACCCACTGGCGACCCCTGGCCTCAGTTTTGTCCACTTTAAAGTGGGGATCCCAGCCTCTCTCCTGGGCTGCCTGGGGGCCTGAGGGGAGCAGGACTGCCGAAGGCCGCTGCACAGAATGCAACGAGCGTGCGATGAAACAGACAAAAAAAGAGGTGGTCTGGGTGCTCCTGACACCGCCCAGCACGTACTCCTGCGGGGCCCTGAGGGTAAGGGCTGCCGTGGACAAGAGCACTGGAAGCCAGACCCAGCCAACCCTCCCCACCAGCGTGAGCAGGCTAGTTTCTCCAGCAAGGGGCAGGGGTCCCGTCCTGAGCCCACGGCTGACCTTACCTGTAGGGGCAGGTCGCCCCAGCTGGGGCCAGGGCAGTGCCTGCTGTGACCTCGACCAGGTTGTCCCGCCGCCCAGGCACCAGGTACCCCCAGCCGTGGCGCTCGGAGTAGTGCAGAGGGAAGCCGTCCCAGGTCAGCGCCATGAGCTTAGGGGTGACTCGCATCTGGAGGCTAAGGAGGCTGGGGCCCGGAGCCCAGGCAGGGTCGTCGAGCCGGGGGCAGAGCTTACGGTACCACCTACGTCCCACCAGAAGAGCCAGCATCACATGGGGGGCAGGCAGCACTGACTACCGGCAGGTTCTCGCTCCCAGGGCACGCCCCACCCATCCATCAAGGTCCCAGAGCTTTCTGGGGACCTCAGTTCACAGCCACTAGCCCCTCCCTCCGAGATGGCCAGGACCCCCACAGAATAATTCAAGCATCTCAAAAGAGAGCTCCTGGGTCAGCCCTGCTGGACTAGTCAGAAGCCAGGAGGCCCACAGAAGCCCAGGGCTGCCTCTGTCCCAAGCTCCGGCACCCAGGGGACTGGCCAGAGGAGCGCGCAGAATCTGCCCACCCTTCTGCTGCCCTAGACCAGGGAATAAAATTTAAGGAAGCCCCACTCAGAGACATGAAGGTACAAAGTTGGTGGTGCCCCACTGCTCACCCCAGCTGGCTGTTTTCTCACGTCTATTCTAGGTGGCGCAAGTGAAGTGTTACCTCCTCGAGGAAGCCTCCCCAGATTTCTCCTGGCAGAGTTACACACTGCCTCTATCTGCTTCTTCCCCCTCATCAGGGACTAAGTGCCAGCACACTGGCTGCATGCAAATTGGCTCCGCCTTAGGAGAAGCCCAAGTCAGCCCTGAGGCTGGGTGGAGAGCGCTTCCCCATAGCGCCATTTATTACCTACCCTCCCCCCCAACTCGTGGTGACTGGGGCCCAGCACACAGCAGGTGTGAGCCCAGCAAGCAGAGGGTCAGAGTGAACCAGGGAGAATAGGGCAAAACGATGGCAGGCTGGTAAGGGTCCACGTGGTGCCACATCTGTGCTGGGACACAGAATGGGGTGCCCTGAGAGCAGGATCACAAGCAACCTTGACCACATTAAGGGGACAGGGCTCACCCAGGGTGTCCTGGAAGGTGCTGGGGTCGCTTGGGCAGGAGTTCTGTGGTCCCCTTCAGCTGCTCCAGGCGCGTGCGGGCTGAGAGTGCTCGCTGAAACTCCTCTTCCTCGCTGGGGGGACCCGGGTCTGCACAGAAGGGGAAGACCATCAGGACTGGGGGGTGGGGAGGAGGGTCTCACAGAAAGACCTGCCCAGCCTGCTCCTCTGCAGAAGGTTGGAGTGACCCCATCCAAGGGTCCCTTGGGGTCCAGCATCTTCCCAGGGCCCCTCCCTGCCCCTCTTCCCACCCAAGCACCCCACCTTCCTGATCCTTGGGATCCCCAGGCGCCCCGGCCCCCTCAGTGGGCAACTGGCTGGCTTCGGTCGGCTCCTTCCTCTTCACCTTCTTTGCCTTCTTCTGTTTAAACTCTTGCACGTCCCACTCCAGGTCCCAGAGCCAGGGGTCATCTTTGTACCTGCAAGCCAGTCCAAAGGGCAAGGCTCAGGCCAAGCCCACGGCCATGCCTCCACCCGGGCATGCGCCCTGGTTCCTGCCCGCCAGAGCCCAGCTACCTGTCTCCCGAGAGCAGCTGGCAGGCATCGTTGGCCAGGTCCATCAGCGACTTCTTCATCTCCCGCTGCAGCTCCTCGTAGGTGCTCTGTGCCTCCTCCAGGTAACGTTCCCAGTTCTGGTTGACGGGCAGGTAAGAGACACCCATCTCCAGCATACCAGCCAGAGTCACCGGGTGGGGACACCTTGGGGGCAAACACCAGGGCTGCCACAAATGACCACAGGCCACGAAGCTTTGGCCAATACCTGTGCCGGCCTGGCAAGCCTCAACCCAGCCACCCAGAAAGCGAAGCTCTGAAGTAGGGCAGCGCGGACACACCAGCTCCAGCGCTTCCTGGCCCGAGACCCGCTAAGTCATGCCACCACTCCGAGGCCCAGTTCCTTCAGGGGCGAGGTGGGGATGACCCGTCACAAAACTGAAAAAGGCTGCCACTGCTGAGCAGATACCACGCAAGCACGCGGGTACGAGTCCCAACTCTGGGCGCTCGAGCACAGCTGCGTCTGTCCCCCAGACACGAGCTCTGAGGCTCGGAGGAACCGAGTGACTCGCCCAAGGGCAACAGAGTGGATACAACAGTCATGATTTGCAGCGGGCTGGCGGCCACGCACAACGGGACCGCTTCCTGCAGCAAGGGAGGAGGCTGACGGGAGCCTCGGCCAGGGCCACATGATAAAGCAGGCCGCACACGAAGCTAAGCACAGCCCTGGGCTCTGCACAGCCTTCCAGAAAGGCCGAGGCCCGGCCTGAGAAAGAACTAGGGCACCGGATGGCAGCGGGCCCTGGTACAGGAAGCCACAGGTCCCCAGGGGTCCTCCGGGGCGCCCCCTCACCTTTCCAGGAAGAGTGGAAGCTGCTGCTGGAAAACCTCATAGGTGGCCCACACGTCCTGGGCACAGTACTGCATCAGGTCCTGGCACAGGCGACAAGAAGGCGCTGGGTGGGCAGCCGTCCCACTACCACCGCCAGGTCTCAGGGTCAGGCCTGCAGCTGCACCCTGGGGGCAGCGAGGGGTCCGCCTGGCCCCTCTCCCCGGCACCCCTCTCCAGCACCCTACCTGGAAGTTCTCGCGAACGTCCTTCATGCTACCCTTGACAAAGAGTTCACGAGGCTCCTTCTCTAAGGGGGGGCCCCCCACATAGAGGCTGTGCACGTCGGCCAGGTTGTTGGCACTGCTGACGTCCAGCCAGTCCCAGGACGAGATCTGGGGACCAGGGTGAGGACACAGATTAGCCTGGGCGTGGGCTGGTGAGGGATCCCCAGCTCTGTACTCCGTTCCCCACTGTTCTCTCACCTCTGGGCCCTTGGCTTTGCCCTGGGACTTCTGGCCTCGCGCTGTAGGCTGCTGGGCCTTGTGCTTGCCCTGCTTGGCGGCCATCCACAGGTTGCGCTGGAAGCTGCTTAGCCCCGAGATGGCCATGTGCATGCTCATGGTGTCCAGAAAGCGCATGCGGGAGCCCTGCAGCAAAGTGGCATGCTGAGGGCCACTCGCAGCTGCCCACTCCTCACAGCCCCCACCAGCACCCATCATGCCGCCTCCCATACTAAAGCCAGAATCTCTTCAGCCACTCACACTTCTCCCTGGACCTGTGAGGGGCCTGACCCCACATCCCAGCCACCCGAAGTTGTGGCCTGACTCCATCCCAACACCCCAGTCCTTGGAGAGGCCAGTGGCAGCTGAGGGTACAGGGTGGCCAAGCAGGCCTTGGAGAGGCCAGGCCGTCGAGCCTGTGGCCCAGACAAGGCAGCAGGCGGGCTGTCTGGGCCTCGGCACCCTCAGTTATCAGCAACACTGCTCTCACCTGCCCCCCTTTCTCCTAGAGCTGTGAAGACACAGCAGCAAAGCACTTTCCATAAAATTAACAACTGCCACCACCACACATCGGGGCTGGTTCTGCTCCTGACATGGGCACTGCTCAGCCCAGCACCCCCGCCCTCCCCCACCCGCCCAGTCCTGTGAGGACGATAATCCTATGAGGTGGCCTCTGCTAACCACCTTCTTAAAAATGGAGGCACTGAGGCTCAGGGACGTGCAGGCCCTCTCGCTGCTCATCAGTGGCCGAGGGAGGTGGTGGGCCCAGCCTGGGCGCGGGGCCTCCACAGGCCAAGAGGGCCAAGACTGCCACCCAGAGACCAGGGCCATCCCGACTGTGGCTGCAGGGGCCCGGTACCGCCAGGTCCTGGGGACAGCAGAGGCGGGAACGGGCACCAGAGGGAGGGTGGATCAATAGGAGGCCCTGCGGCTGCAGCTGCCAAATAACTCCCCCAGCCTCCGAGACGGGGCCCCCTGCCCAGCCCAGCCCAGCCCAGCCCGCACTGGCCCTGCCCTGCCCCTCACCTGGATTAGGTACTGCTCCCTGATGTGGGCTCGGTCAAAACACACGTTGTGCCCCACAACTAACTGCTCCTGCCAGTCCCGCTGGGTGGGGCCGCCGGCGCTGGCAGGAACCTCCAGGGGGATGAGGTCAGCCGGCGACAGCTGGCTGGTCCAAGAGTAACGCTCTTCCACCAGCCGCCGGCTGCACCAGGAATACCTGAGGGGCCGGGAGGCGCAGTCAGTGTGCAGACCCTGCACCCCCTCAGGGCCCCGCACGCCCCACGCCAGCAGCCGGGACACAGTGGGCCGGGGCGCCCCAACCCTCAGAGCCGGGATCCCGGGGTCTGGTGAGGCAGTGCGAGAGGGAGGGTGGCCCCGGGCAGCCGGGCCATGGGGTGCAGGCAGCGAGGGGATCCCCAGCCCCTCACAGCTATGAGCACAAGTGTCCCAAGTGCTCAAAAAGGCGAGACCTGCTAACGATCCCACGGTGAGAATTTCTTTAAAAACTGAAAGGGGCGCAAAGAAGACATGCCGCACATGTCCAGCGCGGGCCTCTGTGCACCACCCTTGTGGGAGCCACAAAAGTGCCAGCAGAGAGGGACCCGGCAGGCATGCAGGGCTGGGGTGGGAGGGCCAGGTGCATGCTGCCGGCTTGGGTCCCCTGGGACCGGGGCGGGGGGGCGGGGGGTTCCGAGGGCTCAGCGTGGGTAAGTGGCCACAGAGGAGCAGTCCGTGAGGACCAGACTATGCCGAAGCATCAAGGCCACTCAGAACCAAAGCAGGTGAGGAGACCCCGCACGTCTACCACGCGCAAAGGAACGGCCCCCGGGCTGGGAGCGGTGACCCGCCCCAAAGGCTCCAACAAACAGAAAACAGCTTCTCTGGTGGAGAGGGAACCGGCACCCCATGCACTCTGCTGGCTGGTCAGGCCCCCCGCGCTGCCGCGGGGCAGGGATGTGCCCAGGGAAGTGAACTGCCCCAAGGACCCATCCGCCCCCCCCATCCACCATCGTGGGGCTCCCAGAGGAAGGTCCCAGCACCCGCCGGGCCTCGGCCAGCACCCACGCCACCAGGCAGACTGCGAACACCCTCCGCGCCACGGAGGAGGGTGGTGGTGTGGGGTCGGAAGAGAAAAGGGAGGAGAAGTTAACCCGCCAAAATGACAGGGATCCAAAAACAAGTCTTTCTTTGCCACTGGCCTCCTCCTCTTTCCTCCAGTCAGCAAAGCCGGCGTTCCCTCCCCGAACGAGGGGCGTCGGCGCTGGACCATCACGTTACATGCCGAGTGCTGAGGTGCCTGTCACCGGAACCCAATCAAGGCAGGAGCCTCGAGCTGTGCTCTCTGCAGCCACTGCTGCCTCCCTTCTCTACTCAGCCATCGGGCCGCCATTTTCAACCACATATTTAAGATCTCACAGTTTTCTTTGCAAAGATGTAGCTTCCAATAGGGATAAAGAAACTGCCAACTTTTGCTGGCCGTGCCTGAAGCAGTAAGGTTTAAAGAGTATTCTGATCCTGGAACGAAGACTAGAAAGGGGAGCAGCAGCACCGCCATCGCTGTTTGGAGGAAACCCGGACAGCCTCTGAAGTCACTTAAGGAAAGAGAGGGACCGGATAGACTTCTGGGGCCAAAACACCTGTTGAGGAGGCTGGGGCAGGAAGCAGAGTTCCTCCAGTGGAGTGACCGGGGGAAGCCAGCGCCAAGGGGCATGTGGGAAGGGGGGGATCTGGGCTGGCACTGCAGGGGGACCTGGGGGTGCTCATGTCTTGTACTGCTGGGACATAGCCCCCCAAGGGGAGACACCTGCAGCCCCCAGCAGGGCCCAAATAGAAATGGTCAGACATGGCCTAACCTCTCAGGAAGCAAACGGGATGGGAGAAGGCGCCGCATCAAGGGCTCTCAGGGGTCTCTGCTCAGGTACACCACCCTCCTGGGGTTCCCGACACAGCCCCTCTGACCACCTGACACCTGCTTGGGTGTCTTCCCGCCGGCTGATAAGCTCTGTGGAGCTGGGGGCCCTCCCATAGCTCCCCGCATCCACCGTCCCTAGCAGAGCATGCGCGCAGGGCCCATGCTCAGGGAACCTCACCGAAGCCCACCGACGCCAGCGCTCCCCCCCACCCCGCACCCCACAGAGGCACAAGTGCCGGCCCTACTTACCAGGCCGAGGGGGATATGGCCACCGCCAACGTGGGGCAAGTTCCCTCGGCCAAGCAGACCTCCACGTCGAACACCAGGGCCCGCTCCTCGGGGATGGCCACGGGTTCGGCCTCCCCCGCGGGGCCGTACCGGGTCCAGCCCTCCGCCCAGGCCCAGCTCGGGGGCCGGGCCGGCAGCTGGGCCTGCAAGAGCGAGCTGGCCGCCTGCAGGTAGGGCAGGCTCTGCTTCTGGGCCAGGCGGCGGAAGTGCTGGTCCAGGTCGCCCCCGTAGAGGGGCGGCAGGCGCAGCTGCACGTCGGGCAGCGGCGCGGAGGGCTGCCCCCAGAGCCCGTGCCTCTGCAGGTGCTCGACGCTGCGGCGCACCGCGGCCTCGCCGGGCCGCTCCCCGCCGGGCCCGAAGAGTTGCTCGTGGAGGCCCCTGGAGAGCATCTGGATGTGCAGCGGGTTGTGGCGCCGCTGCGCGTCCTCCGAGGAGGGCGCTGGCCGCGGCGGCGGCTCGTCGCTGGGGACGCACCCGGGGCCGGAGCTGGAGCCCCAGCGCGCCGGAGCCGGAGCCGGCCCGGGTCCCACGGCGGCGCCGGCCATCTTCTTCCAGAGCTGGCGGCTCATGCTCGGTGCAGGGCCCCCCCCGCTGGGCGTCGGGGCACCCGGCCTTGGGCTCCAGCTTGGCTGCTTTTACTGGCGGCAGGACGGGGAGAGAGACGCGGCCCGCCTCGGCTTTCCTGCCCGCGGCGTGGGCCTGACCATGCCTGCCTCGCGCGCGGCCTGCGGAGACGGGCCGGGGTTACTCCTGACAGCGGGTCACGTGTCGCCCGAGCGCGGCCCCGCAGCGGGCCGGTCCTCGGCGGCGCCCCAAGCCGCTCGGGGCACGAGCGACCCGCTCCGGAGGCCCCGGAGGCCGCGGGCGCCCCGGCCGGTCGGCGCCCCCGGGAGGCGGGGCGCGGCGGCGGGCGGCCCGCTCGGCCCGCGCGCGCGGAGTGACCTTGGGCAGCTCCGGCGCCCGCCGCCGCCCTGGGAAACGGGGCGACGGGGTCCCCCCGCCACGCCGGGCCGCGCTGGGGCGACCGAGCGAGGGCGCGGCGCGGCCCAGGCCGGGCATCCCCGCGCCGCACGGGCCGCGCCCGGACTCGAACCCGCCGGCCCCGGGCCCCCCCCCCCGCGCCCGGCCGCCGGCAGCGCCGAGCGCCCAGGGCCGCGCGCCCCGCCCCGGCCGCCCCCGCGCCGGGCCCGCCGGAAACCTCGGTCCGCCCGGCGCTGCCCCGTCCGCGCTCCGCGACCCGCCGGCGACGCGCTCCCCCTGCGCGCGGCCTACGCAGCCTCGGGCCGGCGCGCGGCCTCCGCCCGACCCGTCAGCCCCGCTGGCAGCCGCGACTTCCGTCTGCGCCCGCTCCGTCCCGCGGCCGCGAGAGGCAGGCGGAGACTCCCGGCGCCGCCAATGGGACGGCCGCGAGTGGGCCGGCCCGCCCGCGGGGGGGACGCGGACGTCCGGGCGGACCCGCTCTGCGGAGCGCCGGGAGCCGAGGCTCAGCGTCCCCCCCACTCCGGGAGCGGGTGGCCTGGTCCCGGCCGGCGGGCGCGCGTCACGTTGCTCTTTAGGTCGGCGCAAGCCGGCACAACACCGGCGGCCGCGTGGCCTAATGGATAAGGCGTCTGACTTCGGATCAGAAGATTGCAGGTTCGAGTCCTGCCGCGGTCGGGAGGCGGGCTCGTCATTTTTGGTTTCCGCCTCCCCGTTTAGAGCTGAAGTGAGAGAGACCCCGCGAACAGTCGCGGGGGGTGACCGCGCCACTCTGACGTCTGTTGGCACAGCCTGTGGAAGTGGGTGCTCGCAGACGCGGGGTACATTCCTAAAACACCCCCACCCGGCTGGAGTGGAGAGCGGGACGTCCTCTGGGGAAATCCCAGCCAAAGTGGACTGGTCTGTGGGAAAGGCTCGCGCTCACCCGCTCCTTGTAGTGAAGATAACACTGGCACTTAGCACCAGAGTCAGGGGTACAGCTCGGGTCGCCATTGGCACCTACCATCCCGGCCAGCCTCGTTAACACCTGCTCCCAGTTACCGAGTTTTCTTGTCTTGGGATGAGGAGGGACTTTAAAGATCTGCTCTGAGCAACTTCTAAGCACGCAGGAGCAGTGACTGTGCACGTGACAGGAAGCTTTTCCCCTCTGGCACCTTCACCCACTTGACCCCCGCTTCACCCGCTACCACTGGCGACCACCAGGCTGGTCCCTGCATCTCTGAGCTGGGTTCTGTTGTCTAGACTCCACACATAGGTGAGTTCTTAGGATGCTTGCCTTTCTCTGACTGGCTTCACTTAGCACAACGCCCTCAGGGCCCGTCCTTGCTTCCACAAACATCAAGATGTCTTTTCTTTTCCTGGCTGACTAATATTCCATTGCACAGCGTGTGTGCCGCTCCTTCGTTATGCATCCATGGGCGTTTCAGGTGCTCCCATGTAGACATGGGCATGCTGATAGCTCTTTGAATTAGTGGTGGATTTTGCTTTTTGAATTAGTGTTTTTGCTTTCTCCAGATAAATACCCAAAAGTGGAATAGCTGGATCATCTGGTAGTTCTATTTTTAATTTTTTTTCTGCACCCCCCTCCACTTTTTATTTTTTGAGGCAATTCTGATGGGTGAAAACGTTGTCTTCCTTTAAACCTGAATCTGCCCACCCGTTGTAAGCACACCCCCCTCAACAAGAGCACGGGGGTTGGGGGAGCCTCTGTCCCCCAGGGACCAGTGCACCCCCAGCCTTTGTGGTCTCCCATCTCTGCATCCACCTCCTGATGCTTCAGGCACCTCCGCAGCTCTGCTCTTGGGCTCTGAGGCTGATAACCTGTAAAGTGCCACACAGAATAGTCCCGTGTGAATTACCAGAGTTGGGAGGTTGGAGCCTAGAAAGCCTGTCATAGAGACAGGACAGTGAGGCTCAAGAGACCTGAGACAGGCCTGAGATCATGCAGCAGACTGCAGACAGTCCCACCTGCCAGCCATGGGGTGGGTGTGTGTGTGTGTGTGTGTGTGTGTGTGTGTGTGTGTGTGTGTGTGTATACACCAAGACACCAGGAACTGACGTGCAAATTTGACTTGTGATTTTTCAGGTGAGACACCCAGGGCAGTACAGCCCACCTCCTTTGCCATCCTGAGAGGTGCAGAGACCCCAGGCAAGCCTGGTGAAGGCACCCCAGTGACATCAAGCCTGGTCCTTCCACACACACCCCTTTTCTTTAAGAATGAAAGATTTTGTATACACAGTTCCCGGGTATTTAACAGGCACACAAGTGTTTTCTTGTTTGTTTTTTCTTTTGGCATAAACAACCATAATCAACTGAAAATTCACCATCTCATAAACTGTTTTTTTTCTCACATAACCAGGAAGTTGTTGACTTTTTAAAAAAATATGGAACATTGGGGCCTCCCCTGGTGGCACAGCGGTTGAGCGCTGGGCTGTGAAGCTGTCCACAGCCTCTGTAGCGCCAGTTCGGCCGCCGAGGAGAGTCCCACATGGCACGCAGACCTCTCCTGCCGCACCCGCTGCTCCCCTCAGCAGTGTATTTCATCAGTCTGCCTGTTCTGTTCCTCGCTGTGTCTCTGGTAAATTCTCTCACCCTCTGTGCTTCTGACTGTATTCAGTGCTTGTATAAATAGATAAATCTTTAAAAAAAAAGGGGGGCCTCCCCTGGTGGCGCAGCGGTTGAGCGCTAGGTTGCAAGGCTGCCCGCAGCCTCTGCAGTGCCAGTTCGATCCCCAGCCACTGGCAAGGGTCCCACAAAAAAAAAAAAAAATATATATATATATATATATATATACACACACATATGGAACATTGGGGCATCCCTGGTGGCGCAAGGGGCTAAGAAGTAGCACTATGAAGGTATCCACAGCCACTGCAGCACGAGTTTGATCCCCAGCCAGGGAGCTACCCAAATAGCGCAGCCGACCTCTCCTGACTCGCCCACTGCTCCCCTCAGCAGTGTATTTCAGTCAGTCTGCCTGTTCTGCTCCCCACTTTGTCTCTGGTGGATCCTCTCACCCCTGGCATCTCTGGCCTGCACCCCAGCTCTTGTCTGCATAAATAAATAAGGAACGCATCACAAGTTTGCGCAGGGCCCTCCCTGTTAATCTTCTCTGTATTGTTCCAATTGTAGTGCCTGTGCTGCCAAATCGAACCCGCTTGTTGACATTTTTACAAAATGCTGAGAGGACAGACTCTCAGCCTAAACGAGTATGTGTGTGTGTGGGGGGGGTCCTTGCACTGGGAGAACATGTTCATGAGCTCTTCTTATTTCCCACTGCAACTTAGCGTTTCCTTCCACCATGAGGCCAGGCTGCCAGCCGTGGGTTCATGACACGTCACAGTTGCTGCAGATTTTCAAAGCATTATTTACATTCACGGGCCCTCCAAGAGGGATGGCCGGCTGCAGGCTGGTCCATCTTGCTACTTAACGAGTTAAAACACACACACACACACACACACACACACACACACGGCCTCCCTCCTGGTGCAAGAGGTTAAGCACCGCACTGTGAAGCCATCCACAGCCTCTGCAGCTCGAGTTCAATCCCGGCCGGCCAGGCAGCAACCCACATGGCGCGCAGACCTCTCCTGTCTCCCGGCTGCTCCCCTCAGCAGTGTGTTTCGGTCCACTGCCTGTTCTGCTCCCTGCTCTGTCTCTGGTGACTCCTCTCACCACCACCCTCTGACCTCTGGCCCGTACCCCAGCTCTTGCATGCATAAATGGATAAATCTTTTAAAAGACTAATAAAAAAGAAAATGAACGAATACAGCGAAGTTCCTTGAGGCCCGCGCGTGTTCTGTGCGCGGGTCCCGGGAGCGGAGGAGCGCGGGACACGGCCCGTCCCACGCAGCCCGCGCGGGTGCGGAGCCCGCAGCGCTGGGCGAGTTTTCGGTTTCACGAAGCGAGAGGGCCGGCTTGAGCCCGCGGGAAGGACGCCCGCCCCCGCCCGGCGCCGCCAGCCTGTGGACCAAGCTGGAATTACAGGGGCAACACCCTGCCCGGAGCCTCGGCCCCAGGCGACCCCGGAGCCCCTGGGGACTTCGCGCGTGGGTTCAGGGCCACGCCCCAGCTTCCCGCCCGCCGAGGCCTGGCTGAGAGCCCGCGGGCCCCGACACCCGCCGAGACGGGAGGGTCACCCCTGGGACTCGGAAGGGTGAGTGGTTGAAAGGGGTTCTCGGCACCCACCGTGCAACCTCTGAGCATTGCCTGCCCCTCTGGCCTCGGCTGGGCACCTGCAGATGGACGGAGGCGTCCACATCCAAGCAAACTGCTTGGCCCGTACCTGGGCCTGCAGGGTCCCTGGAAGGTGAGCTGTGGTTACTGTTAGCACAGAGCACAGAAGCTTCCGGAAGGCGCCAGTGCCCTTGTGACTATCGAGCCCTTTCCTCCACCCCAACACCAGTTTACGTTAATGAGGTGACTTTAGAAAGCCACCGGGGATGGGAGGGGGCCTGTTGCCAGGGGAACAACCCCCCCCCACTTGGGGGGAGGAGACCTGGGGGGAAGGGGCCGAAGGCCCAAAGAATCGCTGATGGCTGGTGAGTCCACCCCCTGAGCTTCTGCAAGGAGGACTCGTACAAGCCGGGACAGGTGGGGCTGGGGGGGCTTCCGGGTTGGGAGAGCAGAGCGATG